TTGATCGTCGGATCCAGAGGCGATTCGGCTACCGTCCGGGGAAAAGGCTACCGACCAAACCCAACTGCTATGGCCCTCAAGCTTCCGCACCTCCTTGCCCGACTTCGCATCCCAGATGCGGATGGTTTGATCGGCGGATCCAGAGGCGATTCGGCTACCGTCCGGGGAAAAGGCTACCGACCAAACCCGATCGCTATGGCCCTCAAGCTTCCGCACCTCCTTGCCCGACTTCGCATCCCAGATGCGGATGGTTTGATCGTCTGATCCAGAGGCGATTCGGCTACCGTCCGGGGAAAAGGCTACCGACCGAACCCGATCGCTATGGCCCTCAAGCTTCCGCACCTCCTTGCCCGACTTCGCATCCCAGATGCGGATGGTTTGATCGTTGGATCCAGAGGCGATTCGGCTACCGTCCGGGGAAAAGGCTACCGACTGAACCCAACCGCTATGGCCCTCGAATGTTTGAAGACATGGACTCCAGATTTTCTCGATAACCGGCTTTGTTAGCACCCAACTAGGCTCTTCTTTGACAAATATTCGACGGATGATACTGCCAACTGGAGTAAATAGCAATGCTGATATGTATGTCTGTAGTGGCGCCTGTTCGATAAGCCATCGGTTTAGTAAAATGAACCGATATGCATCTTCGATAAGATTTGTAAAAGCGGCCGTCCTTGCCTAATTTAGGGATTTAACTATCTACCGTTTAAAGCAGGAGAGGAGTTGGAACTTACTTCGACAATGGCTCTAAGCCTAGTAAGAGAGAGGATTCCATTTGAGACAACGCCGAGGAGACTTAACGCTTCAAGCCAGTGAAGGAAATAGGTGTGGAAGAACGCCTTAATAGAGTCTCTTATTAGGATGCTTTTCTTTGATCCTGCGATATGCTGCTCGAGAGCATTTGTTAGCCGGTAACGTCGGGAGCCTTGTAAGTCGGCCTTATCCGTTTCACAGACATGGTCGATCCAGTATGTACAGGAGTATCCCACTCCAAGCAAGGGATCAGGCGTGGGTCGCTGCGCCTCCATGTTACGGGTGAGCGCTCCTGGATGGACCAGCTGATACACATCTCGCCGGAGTATCTTCTGCATCGCCGCGATTGATCTGTCGACGATGATGCGTTGAACAGCGTGTTTCCCAGACGGGAATATCTTATCGACGGCGGTGTCACTGACTAGGTAGTCTTTGGCCGACTGGTGGATCGGATAGACGTGGTTGTCTACCAGCGTGAGAAAGGAACCGCACATGTCGACGATCCTCTCCACATCAGCGGTTTGGTACTTGAGCCCAGCTAGCGTTTGGAGCTCGAGAATGTGGAGTGGGCGGTACGCCAGAGTTGCCACTGAAAGCACTGCAAGGCACGAATCTCGGTAGTTACTCGCAAACTTGCTAATACCTCCCATCATCCGATCGTAAAGCGGCAGTAGCCCTAGTGGCGTCTCGTCGATGTGGCGAACAACATCTTCGGCCAAGATACCGCGGATAGATCGTAATACTAGATCAACCCATAAAAAGGTACCCTCAGCCTTCTCGAGCAGCTTTTGTTGAATGATGGTTCGCTGGACAGGACTGGATCGAAGTGAAGAGACTTCGGCTACTTTGTGAATGATGTAGGTTTCGATCGCCCGTGACACAGCTTCTGAGTTCACCTCCAGGCTCAACTTCGCTCCCGGGTTCTCAAGCGCGAGGTTTTCGTCGATGTCCACCCGGTTACGGCTCGTCAGGATCCACTTGAGACGATTTTCTTGGAGGGTAGTTTCCCTGACCAGGTTAAGGAGGTCTGGTAGCCCGTCTTCGCATTCGTCGAGAGCGTCAATAGCCAAGTACAGGTTTCCCAACCGTGGGTGCTGGACCATCTGCTTAAATACATTGGACAGCGCGTCGAAGGCATTAGCGTTATTGTTAGCGGCATTGAAGATGTCCTTGCCCATCCGGTCGTAGTCACTCTTGAGGTACGAAAAGAGACTGACGTCTTGGACCAGTAGGAGGTATATGAGCCCTTGGAGGACGGCGACTGCATTGTTCAAGCGGTTATCGGTATTCTGGCAGAAGAAGAACGATAAAGACGAGTTGGCGACTGGGTGGCCAAGTCTGGTCTGAGATTGAAGTTGCTCGGTAATGGTAATCAACAGCATCGTCTTGCCCTTGCCGGCGCCGCCCTTGATCCAGAGCAGCTTTGTGTCACCGTCACGCCACCTCTGATAACTGGGGTGGGAGAGAATCCAGCTGGACGAGGCTTTGTATAACCCCCCCTTTGTTCTTTCGATACGTAGCTTGTCAATTCTAGGATCGGTCCAATTGAGCGCTCTCAGTAGGGAGTCTCGTTCGTTTTCGTGAGTAGTGGATGGGTGAATGCCTGTTCGGTGTTAAGAGATGTTCTTAACAAACGGTCTGGGAGAGGAATACCGTTTGGCAACGAGGGCGGAATTGCTGACACTTCTTCTATCGCCTCTCGTATCACCGCCGCGATACTAGTCTGTGTGGGAAGTTCCGCTACGCGGTTGCTGGTCAACAGTTGAACATCCTCCAATATACCCTTCATAAGCGACTCCACCGTGTCTCCTTTGCCCCAGGTGAGGGCGGCAAGTGCGTATCGCTCCATTCTTGAGGCATCGGCCTGTGGGATAACATCCTTAAATATTTTCTCTAGCTGTGTTGCCCTACTCTCGCATCGCTGCAAGACAGGCTTTATTGCCTCGCAACATTCCTCGTCGGGGATGGTATTGTTGAGGTTTCCCGAGACCGTCTGCAGGGTTTTGCAGACAAGGGGAAGCCGTGTAGCAATATCGCGGAAGGCTTCTGGGAGGCCAGAGGCATCGTTGGCGGCGCTATAGATCTTCGCGGTCGCGTCAATAATAGCGATGACGCCAGAGATGATGCCGATGACCTCGGCGCCCGACATATCTTCGGTTCCTGCGGCAAATGCAGTTAGACTCTCGGCTTGGCTAGGTATGGTGAAACCCGTGACGTACTAGTGTAAAGATGGAAAAGAAACCGTTTGAGAAGTTGCTTAACTAGGCAGCCTCAGTCAGGAATAGCGGGCTTTGTTCCGAATCGCAATCGACAACGCAGAGTCGATGCCCGCCTGGATTGATGAGGGGTTGGGCTGCGACGATTTGACGTCCTGACCACTCGCGTCGCTTCGGGCGGCTAAATTGGCCAATAGAAAATCTGCCCTGCTTTCGGCCCCGAAAATAGAAAGCATTGGCCCGTGCGGGACGCCAGGCTCAAGTGTGCCCCACTGTGACGAACCTCTCTAGGATCCTATCCTGTTAGGGTTCAGTGAAAGTAATCTAGCAAAGGATGCTTAGGTTCGGTGTAGCCAAAGGGTGCACAACAATAGACTTGTCTCAACAGTAGGCTTGCGAGCTCGTAGCGAACTGTAGCTGTGATTGCTAACTGGAGAACTCCCAGAGCTCTCCAGAGTGAGTGACTATATACTATCTAGGTCCCTGGGTACCCCCGTACCTTTCCCCTTGGGAACGTGAGGAACGGTAGCCGTTCCCTCCGTTCCTCTGCTGATTGGTCCGGAACCCATTCTTAACGATTGGCTGGGGACGCTTCCCGCGCGCCCCCATCGGGACCCTGCATGCGGCCATAATCGTGACACCCACCTCAGAGGGTCCCTGACGAACCCTGACACGGAGGCGGTACCCGCCATGCCCGCATTGTCCGGAATGCGACCGACAGCAGACACAGCCCGACGGGCGGGCCGGCACTCCAGCAGCAGCAACCGGGCCAATGCCGTACAAAACACTCGGTCAAGGCTCTCTTATGTTTTAGACGTTGATCGAATCTGCAATGGATCCAGATTCGGCTCATTATTTAACGACGGTCATCGTGATAAGAGTCATTGCTTACCGCAGCCACCTTCAGCTAACAGTCTGGTTGGCTGACAGTCCTGGTTGGCTAATAGTCCAGGCTTGCTAACGGTGATCGTAATATTGGGTTGTTGCATTATCATATACATCCTGCCTGGTACATACGCGCGTGCGAGGGCACACGGTGTGTTTGGTTAAATGCATGAACGGTCCGTGCGCCAGAAAGATGTGAGAGAGGAAAGCGGAAGCCGATTTCGCTAGCGACTGTACACTTTCGTTGTACTGAAATGAGGGGCGAACGAGGGTTCAGCCACATGCCATTAGGTATATGTCCTGGGCTCAGCGATTGCTCGTGGAGAAAGCTGATAACTATGAAATAAACGCAGTAGAGTGCTGAGACAGGTGGTTAGAAGTCAGAATCCACACATACAACTTCTTTCTAGACGACATAAAACCTGTATTTCGGCGAGATTGATACCTTCCTCAAGGTTTAGAACTCCCCGAGATGAGCGAGTAATTGCTCAATGTCGAGATGCGCCCACATTGCATACCTAGCGATTCTCATGTCTAGGACGTTGTCTTATGCCGCTTTGAATATTTTCTTAGTATTTTCTATGGCGACTTCAAATCCGACAGCTCTAAAATACCTACTCTAATAACTTCAGGTTCGCCCCCTGAGAATACTAAATACATACCATAGCTAGAGCCCGATGCCATTCTATTCATCAGCCATTAACCTCGTAGCCTCATCCCGTCTTCTGTACTGAACTCGACCACCTCACCCCTTCGAGGCTGCGCAGTCGCCAAACTCACATAGATCCCCCAACCCAGCCCCGCCAACGCGCCCACCAGACTCCGCGCCTCAACACTCGTCAAAAACACATAGTTCACCAAACTCACCAGCGGCCAGAACCGCCACCCAGCCTTAATCAGCCCCCAAAACTCCGCCTGCGTACTCGCCCACACACTCGGCCACGCCACGTCCTGGTACCGCACCGCGTCACGCCCCGACAAGAGAAAAGCGAGACTATCAGCGGGAACCAGCCCAGCTGCCCGCGCCGCGTAGTGGTGCGCCATCGCCTGGCGGATCCCATGCGTGAAGAAACAGAAGAGCAAGGTGTTGACGACAGCGCCGATGGATTGGTCGAGGAGGGTTTTGGTGATGGTGTTGAGCTTGTTGAGGCGGGGTTCGACGAGGGCGTTGCCTTTGCCTGTTTTGACGGAGGCTTTCTTTTCCAGGGCGGCGTCGTCGGACGCGGCGGCTAGGGCGACGGCTTCTTTGGTGGGGGAGGCGTGGTAGGCGGGGAAGGAGGACTCGAGGAGGTCTTGCCAGAGGAAGTTGGGGGGTGTGGAGATCAGGGCGAAGAGGGTGTATTGGAAGACGGGGATCCAGTCGATTGTGAGGGTGGTCTGGTGGGAATATTAGTTTTTTAGTTTTTTTTTCTGATGTCTGGAATTGAGGCTGGATCTTGGAAAGCGTGGGGGAAAACATACATTACTCTGATGGGCGGTGATCGCCTGGGCGAGAACATTGGAGATGGCCGAGATGACGGCGGTTTGGACCGTGGCGGTCACAATTGGGGGTGCCATGGCTCGTTCAGGTCTACTTGTTTCCCAACTGGTTTCTTGTAGAAATATGGTAAATACCCGGGGTTCAAAGCCGGAGGGAACACATTTTTAAAGCTGAGAGATTCCGGTGAGACGCGAAGGAGTGTTGGGCCTGCCAGGTTGTTGTGACGAAAGCGAGTGTAACGTAGGACCCACAGTTGCCACGCCGTTTTCAGCTTCAAACGGGATGTGATTTGTCCCGAGTTGAGACGACAACACATAGGTTGATGCGGCATCGGAATGGTTTGCTTTTCTTTTCTTTCTGATTTGTGGTTGGTCTTACATGACCCCCTCTGCCACAGAAATTTGGCCCGTGGATCTTAACTTTTAGATTTATCCCCCACTTCTCGGCCACAGACATAGATAATACAGAAAGCCTGGCCTGGTCTCTAAAGCGCTCGGCGGCGTAACTCTTGTCGGCTTCACCGTTGATTCAAGTAACTAGCCCGCATGCCCCCGGCGAACGCTCCTTTGTACACATGTTCAATACACTCCACCCCGCTAAGCGCTGCTTCATGAGCGGCAGAGAATCCACATGAAAAATAGCTGGACAATGTAGGAATAGAAGAAGAGGAATTGGGTCCTCTGGTTCCTCTTCGCCCGCGAGTCGAGCGGGTGCATGGTCTGCATGGGGCCACGGTTGTCGTTGTTGTTCTCGGGGAGGAGAACGTACTTAAGAGACCGCATCTAGCGCCAGGTTAGGTCAGATTGCAACACACACAGCAGTAGCAAAAGAGACTTACCAGAAAAAGCGAATTCGCCAAAAAGGTGTAAATAAACACCGTCCACCCAATCCAGCCACCGGTGCCCTTGCCGCCGTTCATGATTTCCGCCACGCTGATCGTGACAATGACGCCAACAAATTTGTACCCAGAGTAGGCCACCAGATCCAGCAATTGCGACTCGTTCGAGATGCTCAGGAGGTAGCACCCCAGCTTCAACCCCAGAATCTCCACAATCACGGCCACCAAAGCCGTCGTCGCAATGTACCCAAACAGCTCCGGCTGGAACTGGCCCTTGAGACCTGAGATGAGCGCCTGTAGGAAGATGTAGGTGACCAACGACATCACGGGGATGTACATGTCCGGGCTGTTGATGTCATCGCGTGGTGGCAGGTACCAGGCCTCTTGGCCCGAAGGCCCCGTAGCCTGCCGCCGGGTCCAGGGCTTGTGGCGCCAGGGGAAGAAGACGAGAAAAAGTTTGTTTATTACGTAGGAGTTCGTGACGATGAAGTAGTGCTTGAGTGCTGAGACGTTGACGAAGCGGTTTACCTGCGAGGGAGCCACGCAAGTTAGTACGAGCGGTACAAGGCGAGAGTATTCGAGTAATCCGGAGAGACCTACGTTTTGCTCAATATACTCCTGGCCTTGGCGAAACGCCGTCTGGCCAAACTGCGAAGCCAATTGCGCGGCAGGGTCGTTTATGAAGTTCCCATACTGGCCGAACACGTTTGGCCCCGCTGATGGAATACCGCCGGGTTGTTGTTGCTGCGGCGGTTGCTGCTGAGGGTATGGGCTGCCATCGTAGTTGCTATGGGCCTGCGAGGCTGGTGGAGGTGGAGATCGAAGCTGAGGAACTGTCGAGACGTGTTGTGGCACCGGGTGGTGGAGGGGGGGAGAGCGTCCGTAGGCTGCTCGTTGCATGGCTGGGGCGGGAGGTAGGACGGTGCGATGTGGTTTCGGTATGAAGATAGCGCTAGCTGGATGGCGGTATGAAGGTTGGTTGTCCTCGGGAACACGGTGGAGACGAGCGACGTCGCGATGTTGGTGTGGTGTTGTTTCGAGCTCTGTTGTCTGTGCCTTGCGAAATGCAGCGACCGGCTCTGGCCATGTGTTTTCAGCGCTCGCTGCATGCTGTCATCCTCCCCTGAAAACAGGGGCCGCGCAAAAAGTGGGCCGGGCAAACCCCGGTCTTGAGGATGCCGCAGGCTGCGCCCACCAATGAACGCGCATTGTTCGATGCGCTGGAAGGTTGCGCTGGTCTGTTCGTTCAGTGGTACGACGTGCCAGGCATCTAGAACTCCCGTCCTAGAACAGACTTGGGAGCTTCGAGAATTGTCCTTTCAATCAACAACACCTGCGGCAAGTTCGGCACCGCCCTCGAGATTCAGGATGTTAGACGCCTTCGAGATCATCGATACGTCCGGGGTCGTCCTGTGGTCCCGGAACTACACAGCTGTTAGCCCCTCGGTAGTCAACAACTTCATCTCGGACGTTTTCATCGAAGAAAAGAGCACCGTTGCTGGCGCAAAGGACGGCGCATCCGCCGCCAGTAACCCTCCGTACAAGCATGAGCAGCATAGTTTACGATGGACGTTCAACAAAGAACTGGGAATCATTTTTGTTGTATGTTTCTACCTTTTGCCCATTGCATATGGGGGTTTGCTGAAGGTTCGGTTTCGCCACTCTCGCGGCCTCTGCTGACACTTTAGGGAATAGGCAGTCTACCGCTCGCTTTTGCACCTGCCATGGATCGACAAGCTCGTCGACAATATCAAGGCTATCTTTGTGAGCCTGTACGGGGATCAACTTCGGAAGCCGAACACAACCATCGTCGAGTGTGTCAAGTTCGACGAATACTTTGATCAGCAGCTGGGCGAGCTCGAACAAAGTGGCAGCAGGTCAAACGTTTTGGCATACAGTGATGAGAAGAATCCTGCGGACATAGGGGATGACCCTCCCCTGCCACCAAGTCTCGTACTCCCGACCAAGTCCCAAGCCAAATCGTCAGCCGAATCGACGCCCGTGGTAACGCCCGATCCTTCACGTCCCTCGACACCGAGCGCAGGTCACCTCCTGGTAGCGAAGCCAGGGCCCGGGGGCAAATTGTCGAGGCGTGCGCGGAAGATGCAGAATAACAACTCGGCGCCGGTTTCATCAGGGGATGAGGGGCCGGGGCGCAGAGGGAAGCCGACCAAAGCAGCGAAGCGTGGCAGGAAGTGGGACGCTGACGGACTTGCGGACGAGACCGACGATGTCCAGCTCGACTATTCGGTCCCTACCCTCACGAGCGATAGCGAAGCTGATGCAGGGGGGAGACCGGGAGCCGTGGAAGAAGTGGATTCCGCCACGTGGGGCGCCAGGACAAAGGGGAAGTTTGTGCTTAGGGACCTGGGTGATGAGGTGAACTCGATCCTGGCCGATGCGGAAGCCAAGAAGAGAGCTGCTGCAACTACGACCGAAGGCTCGAGCGGTCTTGTTGGGTCGAGTTTGAGCGCTATTGGAGGGCTGTTTAGGAACGTTGTTGGTGGCAAAACCCTTACGAAGCAGGATCTGGAGAAGGCGATGAAAGGGATGGAAGAGCATCTTCTGAAGAAAAATGTTGCTCGGGAGGCCGCGGTCCGTTTGTGTGAAGGTGTCGAGAAAGAGCTTTTGGGTGTTAAGACGGGTAACTTCGAGAGTACGTTTCCCCGGGCTCCCTCTATCGCGGTTAAGCTAACCATTAATGTCACCGTTTACAGGTATCAACTCGAGGATACAAGTGGCCATGGAGGCTTCTCTCACCAAAATGCTCACCCCGACCTCCTCCCTGGATCTTCTCCGCGAAATCGACTCGATTACCGCGCCACCCGCTACATCTCTCCGCAAAGCCCGTCCCTACGTCATGTCCATTGTTGGCGTCAACGGTGTTGGGAAGTCCACCAACCTTTCCAAGATTTGCTTTTTCCTGTTGCAGAACAAGTACAAGGTCCTCATCGCCGCCGGTGACACTTTTCGGTCTGGCGCCGTCGAACAGCTCGCTGTGCACGTGCGGAATTTGAAGGAGTTGACGACCCGTGAGGGTGGCCAGGTCGAGCTGTACCAGAAGGGGTACGGTAAAGACGCTGCTGCTGTGGCCAAGGATGCGGTTTCTTTTGCTTCCCAAGAAGGATTTGACGTCGTGTTGATCGATACCGCTGGGCGGAGGCACAACGACCAGCGACTCATGTCGTCCCTGGAGAAGTTTGCCAAGTTTGCTCAGCCGGACAAGATTCTGATGGTTGGCGAGGTATGTTTTACACATGGGGGTTCCTTTGGTTTACTTCCTGGACAAGTGCTGACATGATTACAGGCTCTCGTCGGCACAGATTCCGTCGCTCAAGCTAGGAACTTCAATGCTGCCTTTGGCTCCGGCCGGTCGTTGGATGGGTTCATCATTTCGAAGTGTGACACCGTTGGCGATATGGTTGGTACCCTGGTCAGTATCGTTCATGCCACGAATGTCCCGGTCCTGTTTGTCGGCGTTGGGCAGCATTACTCGGATCTTAGGAACTTCTCGGTGAAATGGGCGGTCGAGAAGCTGCTAAGTAGCAACTGAATGGTTCTTGGTATAGCTTACTATGTAATGAGATTTGAACCTGAAGTCGCTTTAATAAACGGGGACAACGGCTTAATTAATTGACCCCGATTGACAAGTTGCCAGTTGCATAACTCGAGCTACTGTGTGCATAGGTAGTATTGCTTCCAGTTTGATGTCCCGTTGATGATATTCAGGGTTAGGGTTACTTACCTCCTCGAGTATTTTTGAATGGTGTCACGTGGTTTGGTGCCTCCCCTTCGCGCGAAACGCGTCTTATCCATCCCACTTTCCACTTTTAGCGTGTTGCCCAACAACAAACGTTGGTGATTCCAGGGTTCCCGTCGCCCCACCAACGATGCCCGCAACAAATGGCTTCCGGATACCATGGCAAGCCGGCGCGGGCCGGCGCACAGCAATGGCAACAGCAGAGCCAACGACCACATCACCAACAAATGCAACATCAAGGGCATCAGTCACTCCAGCCGCCCGATAACCTCGCTGGCGGTGCTCAAAACCATGCCAACAATCCCCCGCCTTCGACCCTCGCTGCCCAACTCGTGGAAGATATCTCGACATCGACAGCCTCGACGACCACCAAATCCACCCGACCCAGTGATGAGACTGCCGAGCTCAAGCGCTTATTCGCCGCCATCGAGCGTGTGAAGGACGACCCCGCTTCTCTGCGCACCCACAACGAGCGCGTCGAGCACAACCACTTGCTAGTATATGTCTGTGGCAGCGTATTTCTCGAGGGTCTGAAATTGGACGATGCCTTTGCTGATCGGGAGCGGTTGCGGGCAGACGCGCTGAAGGCCGTCAATTTCCTCGAGGCGACGATTCGCGAGACGCCTAGCGTACTAGGGTGTGTAACGGATGGGAAGCTGTTTCTAAGGAGGGGCGCTGAGCCGTTGTGGACGTGGATCATGCCGAAGCTGTTGAGGATGCTGGGGCACGGAAGATGTTTAGAGATTTCGGGAGAGATCGAAAAACTGTGCCGGTATGTCCTGATTCTGGCGGCCGGAAACGCACCGTTGTGGAACTACGGACAGGCAGTGATGGGATATTTTTGGGCGAATTTAAACGGTAAGTTGCTGTTTTTTTGTCTGATATGCAGTGCTGACTTTTGGCCGATAGCGATCATCACGCATGCTAGATCAAAACTCTCATCCCCACATACTACACTTGCCGATATCAAACTGCCGCCACAAGCGTTCTTTGACACGTTGCCTGTAAATGCGTTCCCCGGGTGCACTTTCACCCTCCGGGATTCCGAGCACGCCCTTCGGCATGCGCTGAGCTTACTGAGGGTCATTGCAAGTGTGCTTATGGAGAAGCCTGGGTCACGGCCTTTTTTGGTATACGGCCAACACACGGTCTCGCTTCTGGATACTTTGCAGCCCCTCTGCTCCATTCTGGTCGCGTGGCCCACGCCCGTTGGCGTGGGATTAGCACCTCTTCTCCAGACGGCCATCGATTTAGCCAAGTCCCAGGACGTATCTCGGGTCCCAGAATCGGTGCTCTGCCACAAGGCTAATGCCGCATTAGTCCTTGTGTGCGCTGAGCTTTTACTCGATCCCCACTTACTTCTCGCGGACGGCGAGGACGGGGCGTCATTGAGGGATACATACTGCGTCGTGTTGGTCCACCTTGCTGGGGCCTCCATTAAGCATGCGCCAACATCACGTCTTGTGGTTTCCGGGTTGCTCCCGCTCGCTCAGAGAGTCGTGTCCGAGAATCCACTCCTCGGGGTCGAAACTGATGTTTGGGTATGTGTACACTTTCTCGCTAGCCTGTTGAAGAAACCAACTTGTTGCTAACATCATGCCAGCGCTCGGTTCACCTTTTAACAGAGGTAACACACAAATGCGCGCTGGGGCTTAGTATTGAGCTACCCGATCCCACCACATTTTCTAGCAATGATCTCCGTCACCAAATTAGAGATTTGACCGTCTGCGCTGCTTCCAACAGCTCAGGAACCCCCCCTGCAAAGCGACAAAAGCTTGAGGGGGACTCAGGGGTACTTGATGAGCTGAGAACACAGCTTTGCCTAGCTGTGGACGCTCCGCAGTCTAGTTCAATGGATGAACTCGACGACCCCATTATGTGAGTGCCAGCATTTTGTGCCGGAAGAGTCGAGCTGACAGCTTCACAGTGGATGCTTTCCTACGATGGACGAGGAGGACCAATGCCGCCTCATTGACTTGATTTCTAGAACCTTGTGCGTTGCGGACCATACGCTCACCTTGAAGGGGCAGGTGTCTTCCATGCCCGTCTTTGAATGCTCGTTTTGCTCCGAGATGAAACCGGCCAACTTGCCAGTCGCCGAGCGGCTCCACAAGATCCAGGCGTTCGGGATATCGGTCTTTACGAAGCTGATCAAACTTCCCAGCCTTTTGGCGTCTAGGCGGCCCCGGGTAGTCGCCATGATTGCGCTTCGGCGCCTCGCAAAACACTCAGCAGATACCGAATTCTGGGATCTGAACAAGTCAAGCCCGGGTCAATGGTGTCTTCAGTCTTTGCAAAGTTCTATCCGGGAACTTCGCATCGCTGCGGGGAGGGCCCTTCCCGTCTTCCTGACAGAACCGACCTATCAATTTGATTGGGGGGTTCTGGAGTCGAATAGAACCACTTCGCTCGGCCTCCTCAGAACCATCTCTGATAAAGGTGCCGCCAACTTACACGAGACTTGCATCATGGCCTGGGCCCAAGTTGGTAGGGGGGTGTCCGCGGACGAGCTAAACCTAGTGGTTCTGAAACTGGTCGAGTATCTGGGGTATCGCAACATGATCGTGCCCGCATTAGCTTTCAACGAAATCTTGAGCCTTGCCGAGTTCAAGGGCGAGACCCCCGCACAACTGTTCCATCCGTTCTGGGCGAACCTGGCATTTCACGTCGTCAAAGACGTGGTGTCCAAGCCGCAGACTGCGCAGTTCGTTGCGGATCTGATGCAAATCAGTGTCCCAGACCTCCTACTACTCCTCCAGAAACATGCACTTCCCTGGCTGATCCTTTCCAAAAGGCGAGACGTAATACAAAAAATCACGGAGGCGAGAGGTGACACTGAGACGTGGGAAACTTGCATCGACGCTGCGAACCTCCCCTCTATTCTTGTGCTTCTCCTCGTCCAAGACGTCCCTGACGTAGCCGCTCATACTATGTCGTTGTTGGAGCACGTTTCTCCTCACGTGGCGAGATTTCAGCTGGTAGAACTGTTGCGAACGGATCCGCTTCCTATCGCTTTAGAACTTTTGAAAGCCGCTGCTGGTGCGGACGAGACGCGCAGGGCGAGGGTAAGTTGTCCTGGGAAGTATCATGGAGCATACGGGCCGCCTCTGACAATATGCAGGTTCGGGAAGCACTCACGATGATTTCGACGCTTCTTTTGCCTGGTCATAAGGGAGACCAGAGCAAGAAATCACAGATTGTTGGGAGTTACCTCCAACAACACGTCCTTGGCTTAACAGCACGGTTGAGCGAAGTCATCACCGATTCTTGGCTTTCACTAGCTCCAGTTTCCGAGCAGATTCGGTGCATAGGGGCTATGGAAGAGATGATCAGGATTTGCAAATCCTATGCGTGCATTGCTCGGCCGCAGATTTCAGCCTGCCTTATTTCTGCACTTGCATCCGACTCTCTGCGCGCCGCGGCCTTCTCCTGTTGGGAGGTCATGCTCACGCACATGGACGAAGCGGACGTGGAGGCGCTGGCCGAGACAACGTTTTTTGTTATCGGCTGCTACTGGAAAAGCTTTGATGACACCACGAAGAAAAAAGCCAGTGGTTTGATTGACCAGCTCCTGGCCAAGCATACGCGCATCTTAAGCAAATACATCCATCGACTACCCTCCCTTCGCCATGTTGAGGAGCTCCAGGGGACCTGTGGATTGCTGGACCAGCTTCGAGAGCCCTTGGATACCAGGGGCTCCTTTGTCCTTTTTGCCGAGCGGCTTTGCCACGAGAATCCCGGCGTTGTTGAGCAAGCCCTGATCGAGTTGGCCGCATTCCTTGACCAAAATCAGAACTACCTGCAAACTTCCGCCATAAGCGAGCAGCCTGACTCGACCATCGTGACACTCTCCCGCTCACTCCTGGATTGCGCCGCCAAGTACAACGGCTACCACCAAGAGATCAGTCGGCTCTGTGCCCAAGCGATTGGCCTCGTGGGCTGTTTGGATTCGAACCGGCTTGAGACGGAGCGCGAGCAAGAGCAGTTCGTTGTCATTCGAAATTTCGAAGATGCCCGGGAGACCACTGATTTCGTCTTGTTTGTCCTTGAGAACGTGCTCGTCAAGGCGTTCCTGTCCACGACCGATACCAAGTTTCAGGGCTTTCTCTCTTACGCCATGCAGGAACTCCTCGCGAGGAGCGATCTCAGATCTGCCTGTCTTTGTCAAGGCCAGGGTACTGGCGAAGTTATCTACCGGAAATGGCTGGCGTTTTCGGAAAGCACGCGCGAGGTACTCACGCCGTTCTTGTCTTCCCGTTTTTGCGTCGCGCCCATGGCGGAGCAAACCACTGAATACCCCATTTTCAAACCTGGGAGATCGTATGCGGCTTGGCTTAGGGCTTTGGTGTTGGACTTGCTTCGCCATGGGCAGAACCCCTTCAGCCAGGCGGTCTTTGAGCCGTTTAACCGGTTGATCAAGGTCAAGGACCTTGTTGTGACTGAGTTCTTACTGCCCTACTTGGTCTTGCATGTCATTGTGGCCCATAGTAAGGCCGATTTCAAGGACAAGGTCGCAGCTGAGCTAGCGGCGATTCTGAAATATCAGCCGCCAGAGAACGCTTCGTATATGGAAAGGGAGGAGACAAAGTTGTTCTACCAGGTACGAATATTCCTGTGTCGCCGACAGCTACGCTTCAGAGGATGATGGCTGATTATTTATAGGCGGTTTTCCGGATCCTCGATTATTGCATGCGGTGGTTACAGGTCAAAAAATCCCAAACGCCAGTCACGCCGAAGGACGAGACTTGGGTCAAGGAGGTCCAAAAGGTTATCAGCAAATTAGATCCCGAGCTAATCTCGCAGAGGGCCATCGACTGTAACGAATACGCTCGGGCACTCTTCTTCTTGGAGCCACATCTTGGGAATCGACAGAAGAAGGCGCCTAAACAGCAAGGGAGCGATCCAATTCTGCAGTCTTTGCAAAAGATTTACACCCAAATCGACGATCCAGACGGTCTCGACGGCGTATCTACGCTCCTCCAGGATATCACACTCGACCAACAAGCGCTCAACGACCGCAAAGCTGGGCGATGGACGGCGGCCCAGACTTGGTATGAGATCAAACTCGCCAAAACCCCTGAAGATGTCGACATTCAAATCGACCTGCTCACGTGTCTCAAGGAATCCGGACAGCATGGTAAATTATGCCCTGCCAAGTGAGCGTTGATAATCCGCTAATTATGTCTTTAGATGTCTTGCTTAACTGCGTGGAGGGCATGGCAGTGAACAGCAACAAGGTTGCGCCCTTCGCCGTCGAGGCTTCATGGGCCACAGGTCGATGGCAAACGCTCGAGAAATACCTTCGACTTCACAGCGCAGGGGACGTTTCAGAGGTTTTCAACTTGGGCGTTGGTCAAGCACTACTCTGTCTCAGGGATGGGAAAGTGGATAAATTCAGAGAGCATGTACAGATGCTACGAGACAAGGTCGCTGGTTCCATGACCTACACCGCAACATCGTCACTGAGGGCGTCGCATGATGCCATGCTCAAGTGCCACGTCCTGACCGACCTAGAGATCATTGTGAGCCACGGTGATCATGGCAATAAGGACCCTCACGGGACTCTCGTAGCCTTGGACCGGCGGCTGGAAGTCCTTGGAGCGTACGTGAGCGACAAGCAGTATCTGCTAGGCGTCAGGAGAGCAGCAATGGAGCTGATGAGGTATGTTTCCCTCTGTAACGATCACTGCCGTGGTTGATTCACCCATACTTTGTTTGCTAATCAATTCTAGGCCCAAATTTCAAAACGGGGATATTTCTTTGCAATGGCTCTCGAGTGCACGGCTCGCAAGAAAGTCGGGTTCCATGCACCAGTCCTTCAATGCGGTCCTACATGCCCAACAGCTTGGGGATGGTTCCGCTATCATCGAGAACGCCCGGCTGCTGTACAAGGACGGCCATCACCGGCAGGCAATTCAAACTCTGCAGCTCGCTATTTCCACCAACTCATTCATCAACGATAGCTCTATCAGTATTGGCGTGCAGCCAACTTCGAGCAAGGGTCCAGATGCACAGCGAAACCTGTTAACCGCTCAAGCCCACCTCCTGTTGGCAAAGTGGCTAGATTCCACCGGCCAGACACACGCCGGTGCACTGCGGTCTCAATACCAGCAAGCGGCTAAGACTTACGGGCAATGGGAGAAGGGCCATTATTACCTTGGCCGTCATTACAAAAAGATTCTGGAGTCGGAGAAAGCGCTTAAACCAGACGATCAGACAGATGAGTACCTGTCAGGCGAGACGGCCAAACTCGTCATCGAGAATTACCTCCGATCCCTCAACTTTGGGACCAAGTACCTGTCCCAAACGCTCCCACGGATTTTGACGCTCTTCTGTGATCTGGGTGCCCAAGTCGACAAAGCGCCCGATGGCAAGATCTCGCTGTCAGTGGAGCTACACACGCGCAGGGTCGATATCCTGCACGGGCTGTACAAGCATTTCTACAAGAACCTGGCTCGGATGCCTGCTTACATTTTCTACACCTCCTTGTCTCAGATCGTGGCAAGGATTGCACACTCGAACCTCGAGGTTTTCAAGGTGCTTGAGCAAATGATTCTCAAAGTGGTTGAATCCCATCCCCAACAGGCACTATGGTACATCTTTCCGCTCATGACAACCAGACAGCCCGGCGAGCGGCGGAGCAGAGGAATGCAGATTCTGCAGGCAGCCCGATCTATCAGTAAGAAGGCTGAGGGCTCATCCGATGACCTGAGGCAGCTATTGAGAAAAGGCGAGAAGCTGGCTGAGCAGCTGCTATTGGCGTGCAACAACGGCGACTTTCAGAGTAATAGGACGACGGTGGCCAGCATCACGCGGGATCTCAACTTCAACCACAAGTGCACCCCTTGCCCCTTGGTGATTCCGAATGAGGCTTCGTTGACCGCCACACTCCCGACGCTGACGGACAATGTTCGGAAACACAAGGCGTTCTCCCGGGATGTCATCACCATCCATGCCTTTCTCGATCACGTCCTAGTTCTCGGATCTTTGGCCAAGCCACGCAAGCTCACCGCTCGTGGGACGGACGGTAAACAATACGGCATGCTAATCAAGCCCAAGGACGATCTTCGCAATGACCAACGTCTCATGGAGTTCAACGGTCTCATCAACAGGTCCCTGAAGCGAGACGCCGAAGCCAGCAGGCGCCAGTTGTCTATCCGCACCTACGCGGTCACGCCGCTCAACGAAGAATGCGGCATCATTGAGTGGGTTGATGGGCTCAAAACACTACGTGATATTCTGGCTGGCCTCTACAGGACACGCGGCGTAGTCCCCAACTACACCGAACTTGCGATGCAGATGAAACAAGCCACCACAGGAGATAAAAATATCCACATCTTCACCGAAAATGTCCTGGGCAAGTTCCCGCCGGTTTTGCCGGAGTGGTTCATCTCGCAGTTCCCCAACCCGTCAGCATGGTTTGCCGCTCGGCTGAAGTACACGCGCTCGTGCGCGGTCATGTCCATGGTCGGCACGATCCTCGGGCTCGGCGACCGGCACGGTGAGAACGTGCTGCTGGAAGAAAGCAACGGCGGCGTGTTCCACGTCGATTTCAACTGTCTGTTCGACAAAGGCACAACATTCGCCCAGCCGGAGCGCGTCCCGTTCCGCCTGACGCACAACATGCAGGCGGCCATGGGCATTTATCGCTACGAGGGCCCGTTCCGGCACTGCAGCGAGCTGACGCTGCGGATCCTGCGCCAGCAGGAGGAGACGCTCATGACTATCCTCGAGGCCTTCATCTATGATCCCACACTGGACCTGCAGCGCGTTAAGAAGCGGAGCCGTGAGGTTGTTAATCTTAACCCGATCAGCGTCGTCGAGAGCATCCGTCGCAAGGTTAGAGGCCTGTTGCCGGAGGAAAGTATCCCATTGGGAGTGGAGGGTCAGGTGGAGGAGTTGATTAAGCAAGCTGTTGATCCGAGGAATCTGGCAGCGATGTACATCGGGTGGTGTCCCTTCTTGTGAAAGGAAAATTGTTGGGCATGTAAATATTTGCAGACAGGCTTAAATAGGAGTTGGTTTCTATGAGGCAGGGGTAACGGATATTGGCCTGGGAACTTCTGGGATGGATTCATTTAGGGGGCGGATTGTGTTCTATATCCGTATGGAGCAACGAGTCGGTGGCATTGACGCATCTTCCTACGCGATGCGGACTGAACATGAACTAACAAAAAAAAAATCAGTCAAACCCAGATTTTCCCTTGATGATATGTTTTATTCGACTGCTGCCTATGGAATAAGATTAAACTTTGAAAAGCGAAAAGGCACAAGTTCCAAAATAAAATCAATAAATTGCGAATATTTGGTTGCTGGGCACAGGCCAATCCGCCCCAAAATTGACCCTTCTAAGCCGCTGCGTTTAAAAGTCGGTTTCTCCTTTCCCATCGCGCCTGCCATTCCAACTTTTCACAAAATTCTTTGACCGCGGGACAAAATTACTTTTCGCCTGTTGGGTTGACATTTTCTCAGAACCGACCCAATTTCATCTGCATTGACTCCTGTTCGGTTTCCTGGGGACTGAGCCGCAGCAACGAGGAACAGAAGAACGCGGTCTCTGTTACGCGTCCATATCCCGACGACAGCGACCTCCGGTTTTCTTTTTTCAACCCGCGATTCTGAATCAACGGTCGAGCAAAAACGCTTTTCATTGTCAATACGATCCTTGAGAAAATGTCGTATCGTATCGGTAAGTCTTTTTTCTTTAATAAGAAAGCTTTTTCCACACAAACCGCTTGGTGTTCGCATGGCGCTACCAGAGCTTGAGCTTAGCTCAAGCTCCATCTTGGCGAGCCTCTCACACTCACAAAATCCGCCCGCCACGGCTTCCACAACAACCTGCGTCACCCGATCAACAACACATCAGTCATTCCCCTGACACACCATGACTCTGATGCTAACATTCCATCAGAGGTCTCACCCAACAACCGTGCCGGCTGCAAGGTCAAAGCCTGCAAGGATGCCGGCACCAAGATCATGAAGGGCGAGATCCGCCTAGGTACTTGGGTCACGATCAATGAGCATGGAAGTTGGGCTTGGAGACACTGGTATGTGCTCCGTTCTCTCCCTGTACCCTACTCTGGTGATATTGGAGACCAGGAGGCAGTGCTAACTAGCGATACTTTTCCGCCTGTGAATAGGGGTTGCGTGTCTGGTGAACAGGTTGTGAATATGCAGAATGAGATTGGGAAGGACTCGAGTGGAGAGTATAGATGGGATATGATTGATGGGTGGGAGGATCTTGAGTACGTCATTCTTGCCTACGTCCCGTTCTGGTATACGCCGTCATCACTAACTCTGTGAAGCAACCATCCAGAGGTCCGGGAGAAGCTTCAGCGTGTTATTAAGCAGGGACACATTGATGATGAGGACTTCAACGGGGTGAGCATTCCCAAGTGATTTTTCAGGTGACCCAAGCTAACCTTACTCGCCAAGGACCCCGAGATGAACGTGCCCGGTCAAAAAGGCATCCACAAGCGCAAGAAGAAGGTCGCCAAAGCCGACGAGGATGAATCTGACGCAACAGCCGAGAAAACCCCCAAGAAAGCCACCGGCAAGCGAGGTCGCGGCAAGAAGGTTAAAGACGAAGACGATGAGGAAGACGACGAGCCGGAGCCTCCCACCAAGAAGGCGAAACGAGGCGCAAAGAAAGTCAAGGATGAGTCTGAGGGGGAGGAGGAAGTGAACAGCTCGAAGAAGGTGACGGCTAAGGGAAAACGAGGCGCTAAGGCTGCTGCAGCTGTTAAAAAGGAAGAAGAGTCTGATGCCGAGCTTGACGAGAAGCCCAAGAAGGTAACCACTAAGGGCAAGCGTGGCACCAAGGCGACTGTGAAGGAGGAGTCTGACGCAGAGCCGGAACCGACGCCAGAGAAACCCAAGAAATCGGCCAACGCCAAACGCGGCGGTAAGGCTACCGTCAAGCAGGAGGAGACCTCCGATGCAGAGCCCGAGCCAGCGCCGGAGCCGGAGAAGCTCAAGAAAAGAGCGACACGGGCTAAGAAGGTGGTGAAAAGGGCACCAACACCCTCACCATCGCCTGAACCTGAGCTGGAGTCGGAGCCGGAGTCGGATGGTGGCTCTGCCTTTGAATCTGCTCAGGAGTCTCAAACGGAGTCGGAGCCTGAAGGTGTCGACGAGGAGGAAGTAGAGGAGGAGGAGGCGAAGCCCGCGCCGAAGGCGAAGAGAGGTGGTGGTGGTCGCAAGACTGTGGAGAAGAGGAAGGCTGTTCCGGCTTCGGCCACTGCTGCTAAGAAGCGTGGCAGGAAGGCGTAAGCCTCTCCCTGGACGGCGCTCGTTTGCCTGCGATTCTCGCTACTGATTTTCATGTCTGTTGGGACGAGGTGTATTATGAGGGGGGGTATATTGGCAACCTTACTATCAGATTCTTGCGGCCCGGCTTGTTAGTTAGACGCAGTGGGATGCTTCTGTTGGGCCTGGGAGTACTGAGCTTCCTCGTCAGCCATTCTCTCTACGCGGACCGTTTGTTCGGTCAAGGGGAAATCATCCAACAACTGGCCCGGGTCCTGTTTACCTCACGACGGAGCTATGGAGTTGCAACAGCGGGATTTCTTGTCATAATTTCGTTCTTCTGAAAATGGCACAGGTGCGGCGAGAACGACAGTCTATGTACAGTACCATATTGCTAAACCGAAGAAAGCAACCAACCTTGTTCCATGAAACTTCTAATCTTCCCGAGCTATATGTGTTTAATTTATCACCGGCCATCTTATACCGACCGGCTGGGTCGGTGGGATGGCCAAGTCAACGGGTCACCGCCCGAACCGCTCGACTGAGTGACTAAACGATTGACACCGTAGCATCCAAGATGAAACGAGACACCCTGGAAGGGAGGAGGTAGCAAGAGAAAACCAACGAGTGAATATCCGTCCCTTTTTAATCTACATATTCTCTCAAAAATTTAAGAGCCTCCAAGGGAGTCAAGGGTGAGCGGCACGGGTTTTACCGTTTTGCGGGTTACATTCGGTTGGCCTTGTAAGTGGGCATTGCCGCCGCATAGGAGGAAGTGAGTGGGTTGGTGGTGGTCCTGGGCCGGGCCGGGTCGTTTGTGCCGCGCGCGCTCTGCCCCGCCTTCCTTCCCTTCTGCGGATCTGTCGCGGACGGCATAGGTGATCCATATTCGGCGGTTGGTTCGATTTCAAAACATGCGAATTTGAGGGGAGAGAGAGAAAAGGGGAGTGTTTTGGGCGAGAGAGGCACAGGTTTCTGGTGGGCTTGGCGGACTGCGAACTGCTTCGCTTCGGTTGTCGGCGTTCCTAGGTAGAGGGGGAGGGTAGAACAAGAGAGGGTTGGAGAGGGGTGTGAGGCCTTGTGCTAGAGTATTGTAATGGTGTGGAAATTCCATTCCTGTTCTTGCACTCCCCATACCGCCACCGTCACTTCATGCATAAGCTCGGCGTTTGGTGTGGTGCACGCATGGTCTCTTCACACTTGAAGAGGCCGCCTCTGCAGCCTGATTGGAGTGTACTGAGAGGGTCTGTCCTCCCAGCCTTGAAGGCTGAGGCTCGAGGAGGGGCAGCTTGCGGGAGCATCTTGCAAAGCCCCCACTGGAGTATTGCGTCACTGACAGGTGAATTTTGGTCGACGCCCGGATCGATGCAGGGTTGCAAGATTAAGCGCTTTTGGGCAAAGAATCGTCCCGTCATGAAGCAAGTTTAAATGCCCCGTCGAACCGACGAGTGGAACCATCAAGTTTATGGCCAGGCAAAAGCTGCTCAGGCGACAAGCAGATTTGGTCGGCTGCCGCCAGGCTGAGCATGTGCATGTATCCCATGTACATACATACATGTATGTCTGTCTTGTCTGGTCTGACTACCTACCTAACAGGACCGCACTTGGCCCACTCAGAGGGCCGGACTTGGCTCGGAATGCCCGCTGTCACCAGCTCCGAGGCGCTGACCGAAGTTCGGCGGGAAGAAGCGTTACGCGGGAATGATTGGGCAGCCGGGTGCATTTCTTGTCATCCGTCTCCCTAGGAGCTAACTCCATCTGTGTGTCTCTGAGGGTGTGTTCTGTTTCTGGTGAGTGCAGGAGGAGCAAGCGAGTTGCCTGCGCCATCCTCCATCTTCCAGGGGGGGTGGTGGGGGGAATGCGGTACGGGCACCCACTGGGTTAGGTTTGGCCTGCTGAGGCGGCCTCGTGCGCGTGTCGCCGGTGACACACTGCGCAACTCCGTTGGTCGAGTGTTGGAAAGTGGTAGTCGTCACACATTGTTGTGGTTGTGATACTGATGGGAGAGCATGGCGAGGCGATAGCCGACTCTCAAGTTGTTGACAAGCAGAAAATCATGTCGAAGATGGAAAGGATGTCCCAGGTTCCATGAATGAACTCGAAAACCATTCAGGGCATATTGGGGGTCTTGCACACTGTGCTCAGCGGCTAGCTTAGGCGGGCGAACACAGTGTGGATAACATTCAGCAACTCGCCTGGAACCTGGAAACAGACCCCACTGCCAACAGTTCATCTGGTCTCGGCCCGTCAGCAACTAACCAACTGATGCAGGAGGTTACTGGCTGGCGCTCTGCAAACTCGAGCTCAAGGCAGGCGCGGCAGCACCCAGCTGTGGGATGACGACGTTGGTTTCGAGACCGAATTAACTCCCGAACAATTGGTCCGCTCTGTCCAGTAGGTCTTGGATCTCCCGACCCTGAAACTTCGTCTTCATCGCTTCCCGAGCAGGCTGGCCAACAGCACACCCGTCCCTGCGGCCCATATTCATTCGATTGCGGCGCTGCGGCACCTCTAACCGATTTGCGGCCGTTGTTGACTTCCCTTGTCCCCGCGGACCCTTTTCTTAATACCGGCCAGGGCCCTGCAGGTTGTGATTTCCATCCCACGACAAGACCAAGCACTTCAACAACAAGCAAACCCGGGCTTTGCGAGAGGCTGATCGAGTGAGGGAGAGTCACACAACCTGGAAGGAAAAGAGTGAGAGCGCAAGTGCAGTGGTCTGTCTGCCAAGGTCCTTCCTGTCCTTGGTCACATTGGCTGCCCCGCCTTGGCTCCCGCCCACGAGTCTCCCCTCCAACCACCTTAACCGACCAACGTCACAGCCCCCCCTCGACCTGCCGGGACGAGCACCTCTTTTCCACGCCTCTCACGCACTTGAGCAAAGATTTTTCTTGAGCGGAACACACACAAAACCCAACAACTTTGGCATTCCTCCCGGCCGTTACGCTTTCGAGTCTTCAAGCCTTTAAAAATACAATCCATCAGCTCAACCGGCTCCGTTTTCGACCCCACGAAGCTTGCCCCGCCCTCAGTTTGACTTCAGTCACAGAAGGCTAGCTTGTGGTGCCCCGCCTTGATTGCCGGCCGGCCACCACGCTCACGTTCCACTACACACGTCCGGAACACCCAACGACAAAAACAACAAGACCAACCGCAGCGATGTCCAGAAGCAGGGTCGATTTTGACGAGCGGGATTACATGCCGCGCCGTTCTCAGCATCATGAGGAGGTCGACATCCGCGTACGCGAGCGTTCGCGCGAGCGCGTGAACGACCGTGTGCCTGCGTTTATGCGAGAGGATAACAGGCGGCCCGAGCCGGGCCAGCTAGTCCTCCGCCAACGGGAGGTTGAGACTATCGAGCGGCCTCGTGCGCCGAGGTCGCCCAGCCCGACCCGCGTCACCCAGCGTATCATCCAGCGGACCAGGAGCATCAGCCCGCCGAGGAGGGATGAAGAGGAGATTTCTTTCCGTCGTGTTGTCCGTGAGCCCAGCCGCGGCCCCGTCGAACGGGTCCGCTACCACCGCCCGCGCTCGCCCTCGCCTGAATCCGAGGTTCGGGAGCGCATCCGGGTGACCCAGCGTGAGCCGAGCCCTGCTCCTGCTCCGCGCCCGCCAACTCCCAAGGTCATCAAGGGCCCAACGATCGAGAGAGAAGTCATTACTCATTACCGCGATATTGACCACGGTACGTTCACTTGCCGTTCTTTTTATTTATGCCATTCTCCTATCCCTCTGAAACCGCCAACTAATGTATTACCCAGGCGTCGTGCAAGCCCGCCCTCCATCCCCTCCTCCCACCCGTCATCGCGACTCAGAGACGGAGATCGACGTGTACACCCGGCGTGGCGAGACGGAGGTTGACATCATCCGGCGTAATGCTGCCCGCGGTCGCTCCGTTTCCCGCGAGAGGCCTTCGCGTCGCCCGCCTACCTGGGAAGATGACTTGCGCCTCCAGGCCGATAGCAAGCACCTACATGTAGACATCGAACGCCGAAGGAGCGTCTCAAGGGCTCGTCGCGCCCACTCCGCTGCACCCCCGGCTCGAGAATTCGACGAGGAAGCTTACGAGATTACCAACAAGATCAACTCGCGTGGCAAGATGGGCGAAGCCTGGAACGGCATCACCAAGGATTGGTCCATCGTTGACGTACCGCCCGGCACCGAGCGAGTGCGCATGGATGGTGCCGGTGGTGCTTCCGCCGAGGTGGACTGGACAAAGTACAGCGGCGTGCGCCGTACCAAGTTCATTCCCGAGCGCGAGGAGAGAGGGTCGGCCGTGTCGTCTACCACGAGCTTCACAGAGCTCCGCGCGCCCGAGCATAATCGTGAGCGCCGTCTGAGTGTGCAGATTGTCGACAAAGACCGCGACGTTGAGATCGAGAAGGTGACGGATCGTCGGATCACCCTCCGCGGCTCATCGCCACCACGCAGGGATCCCGAGACCTGGACCGAGATTACCAAGGACCTGGTTATCCGCGAAGCCATTGAGGAGCTCGGGTACCAGTTTGAAGAGACAGAGTACTTCTTCTACATTGTCGAATATCTCGCCTACGTAAGGACCCTTCTTCCCCATCCCCCCTTTTCCCTCGCCCACCCACTAGGTCCCTATACAGTACTAACCTCCTATTCCCCAACAACAGAAAGACGTTCTCCGCCTTGTACAACTGTCCGACCGCATTCGCGCGGCCCGCAAGGAACGCGCGCGTGAGATCGCCATCGAGCGCGAGTGGCGTGAGGAATATACGCACCGCAACCACCACCACCACCGCCAGAGCAAATATGACATCGAATTCGAGGATGACCGCGTCGTGGAGCGCGAGGTTACCTTTGAGACCCGGCACCCTGGGAGGCATCATCGCCATTAAGTGACAGGCCTGCCTGTCGTGGAAGAACGGGGAGGGTTGAAAGAGACTTGTGCTGCATGATGAATGCGTGATGACATGATACGACCGATGTGAAAGCGATGCGATGCGATGCGATGCGAAAGCAACCCAACAAGCCAGCCAGCCAGCCATCTCACAGCGAGCGAGCGTTTTTAATTTTGCACTCCGTCTCCAAGGACGATGAGCGTTTTTTAGACCGGACCAAGTTGTGTGAGGGGTTGTTGGGACATGGACGTTTTAAGAGATGGCGCTTGACGCGAAGGTGGGGGAGGTTTTTGGGATGTGTCTTGTCTTATCTTGGGAGCATTTTCTGGGTTATGTTTTTTTTTTTTTGGTTTTATGCTGTTTTCCCTCTCATGATGTTTTTGGCTTTTCCCTAATGAGCTCATGGTACGGATATTGTTGGGTCCATCCCCCCAGCAAACTACCATGTTCATGTTCTGTAACGACACTGATGACCTATAAAAGAAAAGATGTTTTTGTTTTTATTTAGTTTTTGGCTTTTTATTTTATGTATCTTTGGGTATTGGAAATCCGATTTTGCACTGTATCTTCTTCGGGTTCTCTCCTTGCAGTGCACATGTAGGGCCTCGTCGGGGGATGTTGAAGGGAAACAACAGTTGTGTTGTTTTATTTAGGGGCATGTGTCTGTCGTTTTAGACCTCTCACCACTCTTTTCACCCCCCACAAGGCCACTCATCTCGTCGCGTCTTTCAATACCGGTAGTCACCCGTCGTACAAGTCCTTTTTGTTCTCGAACCTCTGGGTAGTTAGTTTGGGATTACTTGGTACGTACGTAATTTCAACTAGTTCTAGGATTATAATATGCAGACTGTCTCATGGTTTTATCTCTGCGAAGCGAGCTAGGTTGTAATTCGTCAATTATTCACGGCCCATTGTAAGCATCATGATGGATGTTTGGTTGACTTGGTATTCTCTTATTTATTACTCTTCAGCGGTCAACTACCTATGGGGGGAGAAGGTTCGAATTCACGCTACCCCTTCCAGCAGTTCTGCTGATAACTTGATGATTCGCTTTTGCTTCCTCATCTATGCATGCCATCGACCCAATACCGCCGGTTATAAAATCTTTTGGGTAGGTGTCCCGCCCCCGAATGCCATATTTCACGTCCGAGACCACCCACGTCTTCCAAACGTGGGACCTCAATGATAACCAGGGGGTCCATCCAGAGGCGACCTTCTTTTCCAGCCGGGCCACGTACTATCACCTATCCAGGAATGCGCATAGAGGAATTAGTCATGTTCCTGCTATTATCTCCTCCCACCTAAAAACAACTCCTATCAAACCCAGCAAACGGTCCTCCCACTCCAGCCCAAGCAAAAAAGATATCCTACTCCAATTGCTTAGGCCCGCTGCTCAACACCTGTCTCACAACATCATCCAACGTTTCTTGGCCGGCGCGGTCTGGCCACCTCCACTCGGCATGGACCGTCTTCCCGAACCCGTCGTCTGCCTGATCCTCATTTTGAGCATAGCTGCCGTTTGTGGGTTGGCCTTGCCCCTGGCCGTAGGGTACGTAGTAATTGCCCTCTACGACTAACTGCAGGTTTCCCGGCGTAGCGGCAGTGGCAGGGCCTTGAGGTACAAGTGCAAAGTGCACGCCGTATTGCCCGCCGGTGTCCAAGTCCACGATCCCCCTGCATAGGGGATCCATGCCCCACACTGCTGCGGCATCGGGATCGGTAAAGGCCGTGTTGTTGTTCTCTGGCTCGGTCCTAGAAGCGGGGGTGAAAGTCATGGCAAGTTCAAAGTAGCCGGCGGCGAAGGCGGATGCGACAGAGGCGTATAGATGGGCGAGAACTTCAGAAAGGCTGAAGTAATCCTCGGGGGTTGGCGGGCAGAGGGCGGCGAGGGGGTTGATGGCTTTAGAGAAGTTGGGCATTTGTCCGTTTTGTAGTTGCTGGAGAGGTGGGAGGAGAGAAATCGAGTACGACGCGCCGGAGAGGGGGCTGGGTTTGAGGTGGATGCGCAAGCGCGAGGTTGGGGTGATGGTGAAATCGAACTGGACGATTGGTGGTTGGAGGAGGAGTGAGGCGAGCGAGGTCGATGCTGGGATGGTGCTGCCGGGTAGCGGCGCCAGGACGGGCTCCTTCATCTCGATGGTAGAGGCGACACCGGCAGAGCGGAGGACGGAAACGAGGGTTTTGAGGGACTCGGTGCATTCCTGGACGGCCTGGCGGTACCTGTGATAGGCGATGAGCGGCCGGAGGATGGAGTAGGGAGGGAGCGAGCCTGATTTGGCGTTGGGTACGGAACGCTTCAGCTCATTTGCTCGGTGCGCATTGCAGAGCAAGAGGCCTAGGGCCGCGCTGAGCTCATTCGCGACGGAGTCTGGGGCTCCCGGGTGCTGCGCTGTGGCGGATTCCTCGTCGCCGAGTGTTACGAGCTGGACGGAGATGGCGGTTTTGGAGTCCAAGTCGTACGTCGCAGTCGAATCCGACATGCGAACGACGTAGTCGAGCTTGTCGCGGATCTCGCGTGTTATCTCGTACCACAGTTCCTGGGCAAACACCGTGTCCCTCGACTCCTTGACGCGGTCGGATAATGGAGCGTCGGGAGCAAGTGGTTGTGGCAAGGATGATCTCCCGATAACAACACCGTCGCTGAGGATCCTGACCTGGAGTCTCTTCGACCCGCCGTTCGTAGCCGCGTGTTCCAACTTCACCGACCCATCCTCGGCCCTCCTCAAGGGCGCAATCCCATTGTTCTTGAATTCCGGCCCAGTGTTGGAAAACCCAAACTTGACGCCGAGAGTTTGGGGTTCGTGCGGCAAACGGAAAGTCTGCCAGCCCTCTTCTCCTACCCCCAGTACCTCCGACCAGTACTTGGTTTCCAGCGTGATTTCCCGTTGTAGTCGCTTAGACGCTGCCAACGCGGTATCCGCGGCCTTGTTCAGGTCGATCAGGCGCTTCCCAATAGCCACCATCTTGTGGTCAGATACCCTACTCTGAGCCATTGCTGTGGGGCCATGAAGCATTGTCGCGCCGATAGTTCCAATTCCGACCATATCGCGTAGGTCGGGGCTAAGCGTCGTCATGGCCGGGCCCGGGTTTTCCTTCGACAGCAGCAACGAGATGAAGTTGAGGGTGAGTACGGCCGTGTGATGGGTTTGTTGAATGGAACGGAGAACCTCATCGCGAGCGACCCCGGCATCTTTGATCTCCGGAATATCGCCGTCGGCCTCGGATGCATCGCCGGTCATATCGACATCGTTCTCGCCGGCGCCGATATCGTCATCGCCGCCGTCGTCGTCATGATCGCTGGCTTCGATGGCTTCGATTTCCCGTCGAAGCTCGGCTGAATTGAGGGCGCGGAACCCGCCTGGTTGGGTTTTGATTCGTTCTATAAATTCGGCTATGGATTGCGGCCCCTGATGCGGCGCTGAGCGCGGCTGCAGCGAAAACGGCCGGTCGCTCATCGTGTGTGTTTCTCGGGCATTTGTGCTGCTGCCCGCGTGTGGTGTTTCGATGTTTCGGGATTGAAAGTTGCAGATCCCAAGCCTTCAACACCTACCCCTGTCAGCAGTTCTGAGCTGGGGCCGAGCGGCCGGCACCCAGGCTGCAGGGCGGGGTTTTCGGTGGCCGGAGCTCCGTGGCTTGGCGTCACTTCTACGTGGGGGCACTGGCTAGTGGGGGTCATCTCTTCCTTTTGTCTTTCTGCTCAATCCCCAACTCTGGGCAATTTTTGAATTAAAAATCAGAGTCGGGTCCATCGTTGGCAAGTTCCAACTTCCATGGTTCTCCGCCAGTTACGCGCCTTCTCCGCAACAGAACATTGTCGGGTGCGCCAATTACCAGGGCACTCACAATGCCTTTGTGTAACTTGATTGAGAGACATATTTCCTCGGCGGCTACCAATAGACGCAACAGTATATCCAACGTGGAGGACTTTCTCTCTCGCCATTGACTCCATTTTGCCTCAACGAATCAACAGTGTCAATTGTTGAGTTCTGCGGCCGTTGGACCTCAAAAAAGTCCCCGAGTCGAGCACTGGAGCAGCCACCCCACCGGCCCACGCGGTTACATAAGGAGCTATGTCATTGCGGTGATACTGGGTCCGTAAACCCCTCAGTGCCGGCGTCGACAACCCCACTACGGACTCCCCTCATGAGAGTTATTGGAGGGGTTTTGGTCACAAAATTTCTGTGTCGACACCTCCAAATTCCAATTGCGTAGGTCATGACACCACCCGAGGTGAGAGATATTTGGCCGACTTGGCCGGCCTTGGAATAGAAGGTTTCAATGCACCATTTTCCAGTCAAGCCAAGCCCTTTCCCGTTTGAATCAAAGCATCTAAGACTTGCTGCGGTCTCGGAATGCGCCCCGCGCTCCCCCATAAGCTGAACGATAAGATAAGAGCTTGCTTGCACCAGCAAAACGCCGAACAAGGCCCCTCGGGGGATTCTCATTCTATTTTGCTTTTCCATGGACCTCCGTCCCTCGTCCCGTCCTTCCAGCGAATCTTACCCATAACCTTCCTCCGTGCCTTGCCTGCCTTGCATTACCTATTTACTACCTACCTGCTTCTCCATTGCCTAAGAACCCCATCCTAGGGCGCACGAACGGTGCATCATTGCTTCCTCATCCCGAACCTAACGGCCTCCCTCCTTTCCCTCCTCGCTTCTTATATCCTTGGCGTCCTAGAAATTGGGATCCCAGGTTATTCCGCCTCGGAGCATGCCCATATCTAATATCAACTTTCCGCTTCGGCCCTTCTCCGCCATCGTATCTCCTGTCCGGGCATTCCTTGCTTTCGTGCTCCTATCCGTTCCTCTCGCCATTCTCTTCCGCGCGAACTCCCAACGACTCACCCTACTCCCATCGTCATCCGCATCGTTCGCTTCGCAACCGAATTCCGCAAAGTCGAAGAAGATGGCGCCCAAAAAGAAGATTGCGATCATGACGTCGGGCGGCGACTCGCCCGGCATGAACGGCGTCGTGCGCGCCTGCGTGCGCATGGCCATCCACCTGGGCTGCGACGCATACTGCATCTACGAAGGCTACGAAGGTCTCGTCCGCGGCGGGAATCTCATACGGAGGATGGAATGGCACGACGTGCGCGGCTGGCTCTCCGAGGGTGGCACCCTGATTGGCACTGCCCGTTGCATGGCCTTCTACGAGCGCCCCGGTCGTCTGGCCGCTGCGAGGAATCTGATCAAGGAGGGAATCGATGCCCTCATTATCTGCGGTGGTGACGGCTCGCTCACCGGTGCCGACCGCTTCCGTTCCGAATGGCCCTCGCTGCTCGAGGAGCTCGAGTCCAACGGCGAGTACACCTCCGCCCAGTTGGCCCCCTACCGTCACCTCAACATCGTTGGCCTGGTTGGGTCCATCGACAACGATCTCTCTGGCACCGACGCGACCATCGGCTGCTACTCGGCGCTTGCCCGCATCTGCTCCGCTATCGATCTTATCGAGGCTACTGCCTCGTCACACTCCCGCGCGTTCGTGGTTGAGGTCATGGGGAGACATTGTGGATGGCTGGCCTTGATGGCTGGTGTGGCCACGGGTGCCGACTTCATTTTCATCCCGGAAAAGCCTAGGGAGGATAACTGGAGGGAGGAAATGTGCGGTGTTGTGGAATATGTTTGTGGGCCCCTTTTCCTCCGTACATACCCAGCTGCGCTGGCCGCCAAACGCTAACAGAATCCGCAGCACCGGAAACTCGGAAAACGCAAGACCATTGTCATCATCGCCGAAGGAGCACTCGACCGGGAAGGCAATAAGATCACTCCCGAGATGGTGAAGGACCTGCTCGCCGACAAAGATGGTCTTGGCCTGGATACCCGCATCACAACCCTCGGCCACGTCCAGCGTGGCGGGACCGCCGTCGCATATGACCGCATGCTTGCGACTCTTCAGGGCGTGGAGGCCGTGAAGGCTGTGCTGGAGGCTACCCCAGAAACACCCACTAGCGTCATTACAATCAACGAGAACAAGATCGTCCGCAAGAACCTCATGGAGGCCGTCAGGGAGACGAAGCTTGTGGCCAAGGCGATCGAGGCGCAGGACTTTGACCGTGCCATGGGGTTACGAGACACCGAGTTTTCGGAACAGTACCGGTCGTTTATGATGACAACCGCCGTGCAGATGAACCAGGAGATAATGCTGCCAGAAAACGAGGTGAGTACCAACGCCCCAAACAAGCCTACCGGCCGCTCAAGGCGATGCTAACGCGCAATAGCGCATGAAAATCGGCTTCATCAACGTTGGTGCCCCCGCTGGCGGTATGAACGCTGCGGTGCGCGCCGGCGTGGCCTACTGCTTGTCTCGTGGCCACGAACCTATCGCCATCTATAACGGATTTGCTGGGTTTGCGCGCCATCACGGCGATGACCCTCTGGGGGCGGTCCGGCCATTCAACTGGCTCGAAGTCGACGGCTGGGCTAGCAAGGGCGGCTCCGAAATCGGGACGAACCGTGAGCTTCCCAGTGAGTCCGGCATGGACACCATCGCCGAGCTGATCGGGCAGTACAAGTTCGACGGCCTGTTCATCATCGGCGGCTTCGAGGCCTTCCACGCGGTGTGCCAGCTCCGGAAGGCCAGGGAGCAGTACCCTTCGCTCTGCATCCCCATCACGCTCCTCCCGGCCACTATCTCCAACAACGTACCTGGTACCGAGTACTCGCTCGGCTCCGACACCTGCCTGAACGAACTCGTCGAGTATTGCGACAAGATCAAGCAATCCGCCTCCGCCACGCGGCGCCGCGTCTTCGTGATCGAGACCCAAGGCGGTCGCTCGGGTTACGTAGCAACCCTCGGCGGCCTCGGTGTCGGCGCCTCTGCCGTCTACACCCCCGAGGAGGGCGTCAGCCTAGAGATGCTTGCTGCCGACGTCCGGCACCTCAAGTCAGTCTTCGCCGAGGACCGGGGCCAGTCCCGGGCCGGGCGGCTTATCCTTATCAACGAAAAAGCCTCCAAGGTCTACAACGCGCGACTGATCGCCGATATCCTACGCGCCGAGGCCCACGGCCGGTTCGAGAGCCGCGAGGGGATCCCCGGCCACATGCAGCAGGGCGGCGTGCCATCGCCCATGGACCGGTGCCGCGCCGTGCGCCTGGCGATCCGCTGTATCCAGCACCTCGAGCAATACGGCCGGAATGGACACGACCGCATCAAGAAAGACCCGCTGAGCGCTAGCGTGATTGGGATCAAGGGCGCCAGTGTCGTGTTCACCCCTGTCGAGATTGCCGAGGAGGAGGAGACGGACTGGCCGAACCGGAGGCCCAAGGCGGCGTTTTGGGTGGGGATGAAGGAGATTGGGGATATCCTGGGTGGGCGGCCGCAGCATGACATACCGGAGGCGGATTTGACGGGGGTCAAGGCGAAGGATGTCAAGAGGGGGATTGCGTAACGTCTAGGTGCCAGTGGGGATCAGGCTATCATATAAGGAGGAGGTGGATTAAGAAAAGAGATGGAATGGATCTGGAAATCGAAAACTCGGGAAAGCGGTGTTTTGGTGGGTTCAGGAGAGGAGGAAAGGAGGTGGGGGGTTGCCTTGATTTACCGTTCCTAAGAGCTGGTGAGCTCTTTAACAGCGCAGTCTTCAATAATTGATACCTACGCTGTATTTAAGTATCTTGCCTTACCTTCCTCCTCCCGTGCATGTTTCGTCGGCTTCGCTATGCACGTGCTATCTCTTCCTCTCTGCTGTGTACTACTGTGTAGCCCGACGGGATATCTCCTTTGATCCACATGCCGTTGAACCGAAGAAGAAACCTGGTGGGTTGCATTGAGAACACGAAGATGCAAGGCAATGGGACGGCCTGGAGGCGTGGAAAAAAGGCACAGACAGGCACGAGGAAGGCAAGTAGCAGGCACCGAATAATCAGGCACGGAAGGATTTTTTTGGGATTTTTTTTATGATGATCTTGCCCACGCACTTTCTTCCCCGTTGAGGCTCGAAACAGCGTACTTCGTACGGGGCTATCAGTAAACATTCTCTTGGCGATGAACCTCGCTGGTCCCGTGTTGTGTAAGAGAATGGGAAATATCTTTGGGTTACTGATCATGTGCTTGTGCCGTTTAGTCACCACGTTATAGCGTAGCATTCCTGTGCCGTACGGATAGTTAGTTGACATGTGTATGGATACCGGGTGAAATTATATCGTTGTTTTTGTCGGTTTACAGATCGGTTCCGACACAGTTAACGAACGTGTAATTAGGCCAAACGCAACCTGCAGCCACTCGGTCGCTTGCTTCTTGGCCAAAGTGAAACACCTTTGGAATCAAATATACCCACGACGGACAGAGAAGACTGTCAACCCTGGGCCGATTTGGCTCGGTCGAAGCGATTTCGGCCGAGCCATTGGTAGGGTCGTTTAGTTTATTTCTTTTTCTCACATCATTTTCGCCAACAAAACTACCGTGCAGCATGATTCTCCAGAAAGAACGGGAAGCCAGCCAGCCCTACAGGAATCCCACAGGCTTGGTACCCTCCAGCCCAACCCCCATCATCGAGACGGGATGGCGGGGTTTGTTTGGGCTGAAAGAACAACACTGCATTCCTCAACTTCCTATTCGTCTGCCCTTTTCAGCAATGCGCCAGGGCGCCAAGGGCACCACCTTTTGCACTGACGATTTTCTTGATGTGAGGTGAAATCTCGAAATGGGTGCTCAGTAAGCGATTTTCAGCTTGGCGGTCGCCCGTCCATGCTAATGGATGGGAATGTGAGGAGAGACATGGCCGAGACATGGGACAGGGGTGGTGGCAAGGGTCCCGCCCGCCGAAACTGGGTGCCTGGTTTGGGTCGCATGCTGGGGCCATAACGGGCATTTGCTCGGCCTTGGGTGTGCGGGTGTTAGTGCGGTATCGCCCGCCAAGCATATGGCCGGCCCAAAAGGCGGGAAGGAACCAAGCTCAAAATTGACGCGAGTGATTTGCCCAATGCCCGAGGCGGGTGTGGCCGCAGTGCTGCCGTCCAATAACATAATTTTTCGGCTACAGCTTCTTGAATCGTCTGTCTTAATTTTTTTCGACCATGACTGGAAGTTGGGAATGGTGGCAGGTTTACACTACACTACACTACGCCTAACTTTGGTTTGTTGACGGCCGCGGCCACCCGAGGGGGCATAAAGTTCTCTCAGTGGAAATACGATCGTCGCTCCCTCCATAATTAATGGAGTGGGGCATGGGGATTTTCTCAACGGTCACTCCAAGTGGAAGCTTTCAGATGATGTAAGCGCTATAACTCTGTACTCGCTTCATCGGAGAGCCTCGGGCTGGCCTCGGGGATGTGAGGCACAGGAGGGAATTCGTTTCTTCTTCCATGGAGTATCCGCCAGAGAATCGAGCTGTGCCTTTTCAGAACAAGGTTTGTGGCTACCAGTGGGATCTCCTGGATCACAACAACACGAGCCTCGCTCCGAACGGCAACCACAAAGACTCCAGGTTGTCGCTTCTCCGCCGTCCACATGGCAGCCCCTGTCAGCAACAAATGTTACCCTCGCGAAGGGTTTGGAGTCTGGACTGGCGCCCTCGCAGGGGCCCGACCTGAACGTTAGCGGCGGGCATTTCCATACAGTTCAAATGAACAAGAGACCAGAAAGAGTGCTGCCCATTCTAGCTTAATTTGACCTAATGCGTACCAGCGCGGTTTGCTGTTCCGGCTGTGGTTTCCGAGCGCACCCACCACCCAGGTGGCCGACAGGAGTGCCACAACCAAGAGAGAGGGAGAAGCCGCAAAGTCGCATCGCCGACTAGGAGTCTTTTGACAAGCGCGCTTTCCATAGGTAGTTAGGTGTGAGCACCCGCACCTTCCCGCGGCGTGCGAGCTTCCTGCACCTTTACAGTCGTTTCATTCCTTCCTCTTTCCTTTCCATTCCTCCTACACGGTAGTCTTTTTTATCTTTACCTCACCCCTTGCTCTCCCCACGGTCAATCGCAGCGATCGCCGGAGTTCGCGCCGAAGCGACCGCCGCTTGGAGGTGGTTTCCCCAGCGTCAAGACAGCGGGGCCTAAAACCTCCCCTCGCCCGCCCTCTCTCGACATTACTCGTCCTTTTCCTCTCCCACCTGGCTTGTGGAACGGGAGAGCGAGTCCCGGCACGATCGGCGGCCCGGGCAACTAAACCCGGCTTTGCACCCGGGAAGTTCTCACTGTCAAGCTGCCGTCGAGCGGAAAGGGAAGACTCAGTGAGGTACGCGCGCCGGACGAAGAGCGAATCTGAGCTGGTTGGATGCCAATGGCGTCTTTCCTATCAGGCCTGCTCCTTCTTGGAGCCGCTGTCTCACCAGCGCGGGCATCCATGGCGGCCTGGTGGACAGATATCGGTCCCCAACTCCTGGTGTTGAATGAGACGACAAACCAGATCCGTTACAGCGCCTGCAACAGCCGGGCACAACCCCTATATTCCAACACTGATGGCCACGTGCTGTCGATCGCCTACAAGCCCAAACCGGGCACGCCGGTGACGGGCGTGGGATGGTGGAATGGGCGGTACACAGAGTATGTGCTTTCGTATCACGCTCGGGCATGAGTGTGTTTTGTTGACGACCGCTGTAGGGCCTCTATATCCTACATCAACGCCGACGGCAACATCGCCAACACCGACGTTATCTGCGACATGAACACCGGCCTGTTCAAGTCAAACGGCAACTGGATTATTAGCACCGATGCGCCTTCCGTCCACCCTAACACTGGCCTCGCTGCCCTTGTCCTCGGTGAGACGACTGGCTACCGCGTATACTACCACGACGATGACGGCGCCGTGAATGAGTTGCAGTACCTCGATAACACCTGGAGATATCGAGGCATCGTATCCCATGACATCAACAACTTGCCTGTGCTTGCTGCCGCCTTCAGTGGCGCGGACAACATCACTGTCGTCTCTCCCCGCGACGACCAAAACCTTGCTGCGGCTAGGTGGATGAGAGACCAGTCATGGAACAGGAGTACGCCACTGTTGTTCTTATTCTCCCATCTTGCTTGGTATCGTTTTTCTGACGTTTAGTCTAGCGACACTGCCTCATCCGCTCAAGGGCGGATTCGTGAATCAGGATGCTGCCAGGGACACCATCAGCATCGATCAGGCCGCACCGGCTAATTTCTCCCTAGACGCGTGGGACGGCAAGACCAAGGGCCTCGGAATCACCATCGATAGCGCCTACACACGCTCCATTTTTTACATCGGAAACGACAGCAGCCTCCACCAGGTAGCAAATCAGCACTATGTGTGGAGTCAACGAGCGAGCCAGTCCAACGCCTTTTGGCCCAAGGCTGATGATGTCAACGGCGATCTCGCTGCTACATACAACTTTGGGACTAGCGATGTGCGACTCTATTACACCGTCAATGGCCGGATCAGTGAAATCAGTTTTGAGAACGGCAACTGGGTCGCCTACTCAGCACTCCAAGCCCCGCCGCCGCAGCCGACCCAGACAGCGGTCCCCACCCCGACACCGTCAACACTTCAGACCGAATCGGATTCGGATGGCGGCCTCTCCACCGGCGCCAAGGCAGGTATCGGTGTTGGTGTTTCTCTTGGGGCCATTGCCTTGGGTGCCATTATCGCCGTTGTCGTCCTTGCACAGCGGAAGAAGCGGAGAGGCTTCGAAGTACCGCCAGAGGCAGATGAGGGCTCCACGACCCTCGGCCCTGATACTCCTGCGCCGTCGTACGGCTCCCCAGCCCTTGCGCGCGCCTCTGCTGCACAGTACGACCAATACGGATGGGATCAAAAAGGCTCACCCACACACCCCTACCCGCCGACCATGGACCAAGTATCACAGATCGACGGCACCAACCGCGTGGAGATGGACACCTCCATGCGATCCGAGATGGACACCACGATCAGACCAGAATTATACGTCCCGCCTCCGCAGCCGATCTACGAACTCCCACAAGGCTCGTATTCGCATGAGCTGGTGGCCGTGCACCCAGCGCCACCAGAAGCACACCAACCGCCACAGCAACAGCACTAGGTCGTCTTCTCCCGACGCGGCAGTAGAGCCAGCAACATTCGGGTTTAGTTATTGGGTTCGTTGTGCTTCTAAGACAGACAACAACAAGGCGTTAGATTTTCTTGGTTTTATTTTTTCCATACTGAGCTACGTGGAGCAAAATGTACTGTAAATACCCAGACCACACTACGCGAGTATCATCTCGTGATCTCCTTAATCTTGGTCGTTCTTGATCAATATACACACTCATTCACTTGTCCTTGTACGTTGCTTGATGAGTCGTAACCTCAGGGGGTTGCTGCGTGAAAAAAACCTTTACGTTACTCGGGCTATTCCAAGCTCCGCCGCAGCGGTTATCAGCAGAAAAGTTGTCCAGCCAAAAGAGTAAACAAAGTTACAGACAGACATGTCACGCAGCACGAGAATTGATTATCTTTTTTTATTTCTAGCATCAGCAGATAGCAAAGAATCTTTCCGTCTACCTGGTTTTGTCTGTCCGTTCTGTAATCTGACTGCCCCAACAATCGGTTGTTGCGCGCCAGAGACAAGTCGTCAAACTCGTCTAGTAACTGTCCCGTACATACAGACATGTACATGTACAAGCAAACGAAAGCCAAGTGTGATGGACCGCCTCTGTCTGCCCTCGCGAGATACTCCTCAAATTGCAGTTTCCGCTCCTCATGCGATGGTCATCAACGTGAAAAAGTAACAGCAACAACAACAACAACAACAACAACAACAACAACAACAACAACAAATGTCCATATCCATGACAGGCTCTTTTGTCTTTCACAAGCCAAGCCAAGCGGAGCTAAATCTTCCGTCTCGTACAGGACTGCATTTCATTTCATCGCGACGCATCACACCGATCTTCTTTCTTTCTTTCTTCCTTCGCACTCATCATTTCCATGGTATCAACCAACCAGCCCCTCCTTCAGCAGAATTCTATCCGTCCGAAAACAGCCCTTGTGATGATGACACCCAAAAAGAGGAGAAAAAAAAGACACAAGGTGGGATTGGGAACAACAAAACACCAAGCAGAAAAAAAAAGAAAAAAACATCATCAAAAATCGTTACCGGGAATGAAAACAAGAAAAGAATATACCGGTATGTACCTAGGACCGCGAGGTCTCTCCGTTTTCCATGACAGTGCGAAGGTAATGGTGCAAAGCAAGCCAGCAAGTGGCACAGATGAAGGGAAAAAGAAGAGAGAAGGAGAAAAAAACCGCCTGAACCGTCTCATAAGTCGCCAATTCCAGCTGGGGCGGGGAATCCAGCGTGGATTCCGCTTGGGGATCATCAAGTGCAATACGAAAGAAAAATGGCCCGAAACAAGGGGGGACGAGAAAGGAAAAAAGAAGGGAAAGGACAATATACTGTTCTGTATTTATTGCCTCGAGCCCACACCAAACAGGTAAGCTAGCTCCTGGTTGCTGAGCCGGCCCAAGCTTTGGCTCTGGCCCTCGTCTAGAGCGGCCTCGACCAATTTGCGCTTGTTCTCCTGTAGTAGTAAGATGCGGTCCTCAACCGTCTCCTTGACTAGGATACGATGCACCTGGACCTCGCGCTGCTGGCCGATGCGATGAGCGCGGTCGACAGCCTGCGCCTCGATGAACGGATTCCAGAATGGGTCGCAGATGATGATGCGGCTGGCGATAGTGAGGTTGAGGCCGGCGTTTCCGGCGCGGAGGGACACCAGCATGACTGTGTTCCTCGGGTTTTCGATAAAGTCCTGGACCGACTCATCGCGCTGGTTGCGCGACATCTTGCCGGTGTAACGGCAGTAGCGCAGGTTCAGCTTGTACTTAATCTGGCACTCGATCAAGTCGAGAAGCGCAGTCCACTGGGAGAAAATGATGGTCTTCTCGCCGGTCTCTTGAATCTTTTCGAGAAGCTCGATGACCTGAGTGACTTTGGCCGAGTCCAGCCAGTTGTCGCGTAGGTAATGCATGTACCGCCGGCGGGCCGCCTTGTTGCGGTCAGACTCATTGCGGAGCTGGGCGAGCATGTGAGGCTGGATCTCTTCCTTTGTTTTGGCCTTCTTTTTCCCTTCCGCCTTGCTGCTCTGTCCCTTGTCAAGAGCCTTCTTGGCTTTCTTGGCCTCCTTCTTTGCTTTGGATTTCTCAAGCTTCTTAAAAGCTCGAGCTGCGGCGTCCAGTTCCCGGTCAAGGTCGGCGCTATCACTAGTATCGCCATCACCAGCATTATCTGGAACGACAAACCCCGCAAGGTTTCCAAACTTGTCCGCGTCAGACTCATCCTCACTATCCGAAGAGTAATCGTCGGAATCCTCCGAGTCGGAAACCTCCTCGCGAGCCTCGACAAGAGCGGCAGCTTCCTCGGGGGGTAGAGCTTCGGGGGCGTGTACTTTGCGGAAAGCGGTAAGAGTGATGACTTTTGTCGGCTGGATTGGCTCGCGGCACTGTGGACACTTGGCTGTCCGACCCTCATCACCGTTCCGAAGGTTGTCTTGAGCGTTATTCTCAGTGAGCGACGCAAAACACTCCGCACAGGTGTCGTGCCCGCAAGGAATGATGAGGAGCGGATCATCGACGCCGTCGTAGCAGATGGGGCATTCGAAAGCCTCAATGGCCTTAATGCGTGGAATGGCTGATGCCTTCAGCTCCTTGGCTAGCGCTAACATGTCGACGTCGGAAACAGCGACACCGGAAGCCTCAAATTCCGTCAAGTGCGGGTGGCAGCATGCTTGACGAAGACGCAGCAGGAGAACGAGAATGTTGGAGTAATTCTTGCCGATCGTCCCTGCGCGGAGGAACTTGTTGAACTGGACCTGCGATCGTGACTCTAGATCCTCGTAAAACTGGCGCTCGTCGTCGGAAAACACGACATGTTCCGAATTTTCTTTTTTGTCAGGTAGTGTCAGGATGGGTTTGCCGTCGATCATCGAGTTCTTCATGCGCCTCAACATCATGGCCTTTAGAATAGCTTGGAGCTGACGCATGGCATTATCACGCGTGTAATCCGAAACGGTACTCTTCGCATTGAGTCCTTTGAAGGCCTGCGGGAGGTTAGAAACGGAAGAACCGCGGGACGGGGCGCTCAACTTACCTGTTGGAAAGTCTTGAAATCATTATACGGCCGAATCCTCAAGAACCGGATCAGTGGGTACAATTCCGTCACACCATTCATCATCGGGGTGCCAGTAAGGCACCACCGGTAGGTGGCGTTGATTTTGTGCACAGCCTTGGAGCCTTGTGTGTCCTTGTTCTTGATGCACTGGGCCTCATCAAGAATGACGCGATAGAACCTGCTTTTTGGGTGAAGCAGGGGGCATTTCTTGGCTAACTCCATGTCGTCTTCCTCGCGGTATCTATCGGATGCTTGCCGTGCTTCAACGTGTTGGGAGTACCGTTTCCACTCGGCTGCCACTGACCCGTACGTGGTAAGAACCACATCGTACCTCTTCAATTCCGAGTAAGGCCGCTTTTTGGAGTGCAGAAGGAAGACACTCAACTTGTGCGCGGCCTTGACCTTCTTTCTCACCTCTGATTCCCATTGTTTGATGAGAGCCACGGGCCCGATGATTAGATTGGTCCTGACGTTATCAGGGGGCGGCCGGGAGACCATCAAAGCCAGAGTGGAAATTGTCTTGCCGAGGCCCATGTCATCAGCCAAGATTCCACCCTTGTTGGTGCCTTCCTCCATATCCGTCATCCATTTCAGTGCGAGTTGTTGATGGGGGTAGAGGGGGTATTTCATGGCGTCGGGAGTTTCGCCTCGTTCCTCCTCTGGCAAATCCATATCCGGCCGGATGTTCGACAACAATTGTTGAATGTCTTCATCCGTCTTCCTAGGGTCATTGTAATAATCATCAAGGAAATTGGTGATTCGTTCGTTCAACGGGTTCCCGTTGCTATCCAGCATCCGGTTGAAGTCATACCCGTTGACACGGTTGATGGTGGCAGCAAGCCCCCCTGGCGGAGGTAGTGATGGCGGACCCGACAAGGAGTGGTAAGAACCATTGAGCATATAACCCGGGCGTCCAGCCGGGCTTTCTGGGAGTCTGCCGGGCGCATGCATGAGCTGGCTGATAGGACCAGCTGGTGGCCAAACTGCCCCTTCCTGACGAGCGATCGAGGATTGTCGGGCCAGTTCGATGGCGGGAATGCCCGTTCCCGGGTTACGCGGAAACGGAGGCAGCGCGGTGGGCGTGGAAGCCGTTGGAGGAGGAAGATGGGCGAAGGTCGACGAAAAGGAAGGGAGTGAAGGGAGCGAAGGAAGTGATGGCCTGAAGGATTGAGGGTTCGTGCCGAGGCTTGGCCGCGAACTGCTGGGCCTGTACAGGTCGTCGCCCTCCTCGTCCGAATCCACGAACACACCAGGGATCCGAAGACTATGATCTGTGGGCTCGGATTTGACTTTAGAAGTACCCCAGTAGTCACCCCCGTTGCTATGGTTGGCGGGATTGTTTGCTGTCCTGTTGGCTAGGTTATGGGGTCTTGTTGCTAATGTCAGGCCCGGCTCAGGCTTCACTTGAGTCGTATGGCCGGCAGGCCACGGCGAAGGAGAGGACCTCCCCAGAATCCGGTTGAAGGCATTGGTTTGGTTGGGTCGTGATGGCACGCCGAAAGCTGGCCCGCTTACAGGCGACGAAGAGGATTCATGAAAGTTTCTTGCGAAAGCAGCATCCCTATCCGTTTCCGCCTTGATTCGGCTCGCGCGCTCTTCAGCTTTTCTCTGTCGTTGGATAGTGGAACGCCAAGCGGCATCGTCATCCCTATGTCAAGTGGTTAGCATCCTTTGTGTCGGGCAATAGTCGTCGCTGGGAAATCCTGAGGCTGTCTACTATCGGCGGAGGTTGGGCCCATGCTGCTTACCCAGTTAAGTCGATAATTTGAGATAGGTCATCGTCGCTGAACGTGCCAAACTCGGACTTCCTGAAGGCCCTCGACGCAGGACTTGGGGTAGTTCTCCTGGATTTCGGGATGCTCTGGTCCGACGAGCCAACATCGAGATGCGAGTTTTCCAAAGGACGCTTCCGCCCCGATGTTCCCAGGCTCAGACCGCTTTGATTTGCCGGGGTTGAGCTTCCCGAATATCCGTTGGTGACAGATGTGGATGCATTCGTGGGTCGGTCATTGCGCCGTACCAACTTGCTAACCTCAGCGAGCTGGCGCTTGAGGTCCCCGATCGTAGCCTCCGCCTCTGCAATCTCCTCCTCTGCACTTGCTCCTGGGAGATCTCGCAGACTCGCTAGTACGGCTTGCTGGATGCTCAGTTCTTCTGAAAGTTGCTCGAAACGTGCTTGCGGGTCGTCGAAGGGATCATCGGCGGCCGACGGCCCCGCCGAGGCCGAATAGTCGTTAATCGTAGGGTCCATCGCCTGGTTTCATGCTAGGACTCCCAAGGTTGCCGGTAATAAATCCAGTTGCCAATCGCCAAAGGAGAAGAGGTGGAGGAATCGAAGGGGAAAGAGAAATGGTCCTGTTTTAATACCCAAAGGGTTTTTGCAGTTGTTCGAGGTAGTATCCGCTGAGCGGCGCTGCTGACCGAATCGCAGGTGACGTGTTGAAAGAAGCAGAAACCGCAAGGCTGAGACTCGGACGGAAGGATTGCACAAGATCCCAATTGGGGCTTCCACTACACTACCTCTGCAGGTCCTTCGGTTGGATGGCAGATGGAGAGAAAAGTACCCCACCAGGTAGGTGTTGAAACAATGTAAATTTTGAAGGAAGTCACCACCACCACGCCGTTGTGGGGAATTGCTGAACGAGCATAGGCGGAGGGGCCGTTTTCTCGCGGCTGGTGGCCTCAGGAAGTCAAAGAAAGGAGGTCGTCGCGTTGGCGCGCCCGGGCTGTGTGTGGTTGAGGAAAGAAAGAAAGATGGAAGGTGCGCGCCTGTAAACCAAAGCAAGCACTCAGCCCCGCCGAGGAGAGGCCAACAATCGCTGCTGATCGCCAACTAGATGTGGGCAAACCATTCGCTCGGGCCGGGATTTCAGGAACCCAGAAGGTACATTGTTTGACAGCGGTAAGTCCTGCGTTGGCAGATGTACATAGTATGCAGGTAAACCCCCTGGGAATTGTTGCCTTTCACGTTCCCGAGTTTCTGGTTCAACCGGGCGCTCGGCATTGCATTCTGGGGCGGTCCAAAAAATCACCAATCGCCAATTCTGCACCAATCGCGTCCCTGCCGTCCCCCACTGCTGAAAGAGCGCGCCTTGACACGCTGGACTGGAAAGGCACGCGTCAGTTTTAGTTAGGCTCCACTCGCGCTAGGCGGGAAGCTCGATGTCCTCGCGGAGATTCTTGGCGTTCTCCAGGTGTAGAAATTTGCCCCTTGTTGATCAGGCCCTGAGTCTCTCTGCGACATAATTACCACATTTGGGCCTGAGGGGTTTCGAAAGGCATTTAATGTGAACAGTGTATTACGAATGCCAATTGCAAGCTCTCTACCACCAGTCACATGTTACCCCCAGACTCCAACGCTTGCCATCCATACCCCAAAAGCAAATGCCAACGCCTGCAGTCAAGTAATAGTGTGTGGCCAAAGAAAAAGTTCCCAAGGATTGCCCCCAACGCCGCTCGGCATACAGCCACTTGAAACAATGAAAGGGAAAAGTATTTCGAACAGATATAGCAGCCCAAACGTGGCCGAGACTTCAGAAGAAACACGAAAATGAGCAAGACTGCCACGAGGATACCGAGTTATCAAGGAGGGACATCCCCTTCATTGTTCTCGCCCGCTTCTTTGTTGGAACCGGTAATTTTATCCCACCAGTGGCTGACCTTGCCGGTGAACCAATCCCAGAATCCCTCGACCGAGGACTCAACGTCATCAACGACCGAGGAATCTTCGTCATCGTCACCGTCGCTATCGCCACCGTTGTCGCTGCTATCATTACTGTCCCCTGATCCGTTTTGATGAGATGGCTTCTCAGTGGGCTTGTCGACGCCGACCGTTGGGGCAGCTTGCACAGCGCTGTCTGTTGAAGACACGGGGTCCACCACCACAGGTTTCGTTGGTTTTACGAGTTCTGTTGGTTTTACAGGCTTTGTCGCCTTCACAAACTCCGTTGGCTGTACATGTTCTGTCAGCTTCACAGATTTTGTTGGCTTCGGCAGGGTAGTCGTCGAAAGGGTGTGGGTTGTCGGATCAGCTGGGGTCTCAATGCCGCTAGCACCCGGGTCATCGTGCAGCCCGATCGGCTTCAGGGGCAGCCGAAGGGTCCCGTTGTTTGCGACTGGCGTGATACCAACAGAGTCGCACAGCATGTTGTACACCTCGATATTTTCTGGCTTCGGTCAGTCACGGGACTCTTACGGGCCAGAAGGCGCAGCGGGTGGGACTTACGAAAGGCTTCGATCTTGCTGTTCGGCTGATGCGGGAAAGCGGGGCCCCGGGCAATAAAGATCGCCCTCATCAAGGGGTGCTCATGATCATAGCCGTGGATACCCATAGGGTGGTAGACTACCCCCTTGGCCTGCGCCTCTTTCAGATTCATCTCCTTCATGTTGACAAGCGCCCAGCCCGCCTTGGGAAATATCCAGAGCGGTGCGATGCGCTCGTTTTTAGAGAAATGGTATCGCTCCGGCATGTTAGCGTCGCGGAGGTAGACTTCGAGATTGGGGTTCCCCTTTGTCTTGGCGACTATTCCCTGGTAGATGTTTTGGAGATCATCGGGGTTCTTGGGTCGTAATCCGATGAGCGGCCAACCATCTGTGTGCTCAATCTTGCTGGTGTCAACAAGGTCTTCAAGCTGAACCACCCGAGAAATGTCCGTCGTTGCCATGCCATGGTCAGATACCACGATGATGTTGACGATATCCGCCAGGTTCCGGTTCTCTAGCCCCTTGAACAGGTCGTCAAGCATTTTATCCACCGTCTGAATGGTGGAGCGGATTTCGGTGCTGTTCGGGCCGTACTTGTGCCCGTCAGCGTCAACATTCGGCACATAGGCTGCAATGATCTGTGGGCGGTCGGCATCGGGCATATCCAAGAACTCCAGCACCCTGTCCACCTTCTTAGACAGCATCTCTTTCCCATTGTACTTGTCCAGGTACGTAGGCTCAACACCAAGAATGTGGGCTTCGCTTCCCGGCCACATGTGTATCGCAGTCTTCAGGCCTTGTTTCTGTGCCGTAACCCAGAATGGCTCTCCGCTCCACCACTTCGGGTCCATGCTACGAGCAGGGTCCGTGTAGTAGAACTCCTCCTTCAGCGTGGGGTCCCAAAAACTGTTACCCACAACACCGTGTGACTCGGGGTAGAGGCCTGTGGCGATCGTGTAGTGGTTGGGGAATGTGACGCTCGGAAAGGAGGGACGCATGTACAAGGGTGAGACCCCTTCCTTCACGAGCGCGTTGAGCCTCGGTGTGAGCCCCCTGTTCAAAAAGTCCGCTCGGAAGCCGTCTAAGCTGATGATGAGTGTCGTCGGTGCGAACATGGCGGTCCCATTGCTGACGAGCGTCTGGCTGGAGTGTGCACTCTTCTGCTCAAGCGAGAGCTTCCACGCCACCAAAACCAAGATGGCAAAAGCAACCCCGATGATGGCGTACAGCAGCACCCAACGGCGGCAGTTGCGTTTCCGCTTCACCTTGGTATCGGTAACATGCAGCAGGCGTTTCCTATCGACCTCCTCGCTATCGTCTCGTTCGCTGCTATCGCCGGTCGAGCTGCCGTCCTTCATCCCGCCCTCCTCCATCTCATACATCAGCTCGCCATCCTCGCCGTGCTCGGCCTCAGCCAGCAGTCTGTCCCGTTTCCACTGTCTCCGCTGCCGCCGTGCCCTCCTCTTCTCCGTTCCAAGATCCTCTCTCGACTCCCCAGCGTGTAACGATATAGACGGGCTTCGGGATGGTGACCGCGACGGGGACGCATCACTCAGTCGGCGAGCCAAAAAGTTGATTGGATTCGGTATCGGCAGGCCGGAGCCCCGGCGCTGTTGTTCCTGCTTCTTCCGGGTCTCGGTCACAAGCTGGTCCAGTTCTTCTTCCTCCATCAATACCAGCCGGTCGTGCGCGCGCAGCTCTCGGCTGTTTCGGGCGCGCAACTGGCGCTCGTCATCATCGCTATCGGTATCCTGGTCGCTGCGGATAGATACGGCGTCGGCGTCGTAATCAGAGGGCGAAAGGAGTGAGGGGTCGCGGCCGCCAACGGCAGCGGTGTTTAAAGAGTGGAGTGGCATTGTGAGCCGTGTCGTTGAATTCCCATTTGTATTGACGGGTATTGCTTCGGGCCACGCAGGGGCGCCAACGTTTAATCAACCATAGCAAAAGATCGCAAGGACATCGAGGTTTTGAGAAGGGGACGTTTTTTCGGGCAACTTGATGAGAAGTTGGGATTGCAAGGCCACCCCGGCTCAATCAAGGATATGAGCGAAGTGCTGATTGGTGCACAGGCTGGTTGGTTCCATCTCAAGGAAACGTCAGGGGTCCTTGAATCCCGTTTTGGCGAGGAGCGTAATGTCACGAAATTGTGGATTTCCAAGCAAGCATCAACTTCATCTCACATCTCCCCAGGTTTCACTTCTTACTCGACCATGTTTGAGTCTCGATTCTCGAGTCAAGGGACAACTCATGATGCATGCTATTATAAATGCAACGCGGCGCTAATACTCGCATTGGACCAGTTGATGGCCTCGACCTCTATCCCCGGCCCAGCAAGCCGAACCTAAATCATGGCTAACGTTATTGCTCACGCCCGAAATGCCTCCCACTCACGTTATCGACTTCATTGTGTCGAGACCGATTCGGCCAATTCGACCCTAACCCCAGCCCTTGATCCGCCACCTTCCCCTAACCTTCCGCTCCTTTCAACACCAGCAATACGCATCATTCCGCTCCCACTTCACCCCCATCACCCCTTGCCCCTCCTTCCACCTCAGCATCGGCACCAGCCCCTCGACCCGTTCCTCAAACACCACTTTCACGCCGTGCGGTTGTGCGTTGCCCGTCCATTTGCACCCAGATCGCACCTCTTCTTCCGGGTTCCAGACCACCACCTTGCTCAACCCCCATCGGCGTGCTTCATCCACAGCTGCCCCGAGCAGCGCCGCGATCGCCACGACCCGCTCCTCGGCCGAGGCACCCCCGTTGTCTAGGCCCGCCCGCGCGATGCGCAGGACCCGTAACCGTTTGTTGCGCCAGTCGTGCGACCAGTAAATCCAAGCGGAGCGGGCGGGTGTGATGGCACCAATAGCGAGCGCGGGATTGGCGATGGCACCGTTGGCGGTGTTAAGGTTGAGAATCTTGCGGGCGTCAAATTCTGCCCGGGCCAGGTGCCATGTGATTTGGGCGTGCGTCGGGAGCACAGCGATATAAGTCTTGTTGCAAAGCGGGAGGGCGTCGAAGGCTTTTGTAAGGTGATCACAGTCTTGCGCGCAGAGTTCCGGAAGATCCGAGGTCCGCAAGGAATGAGTTTCGGAGGCCGTGAGGGAACTGCTCCGAGATCTGGACGCCGCCGATGGAGGCGATGGGAGGATGGTGAGGGTCGCCTGTCGACTCGCGAACGGGGCCCAGCCTAAGCCGGTATAGTAACTTCGCCCACTGTCGCTGTACAACACGCTGAAGTCGCCGTCGGTATCCATCTGCTCCTTTACCCGGCGCAAGAGAAAGGCCGCCATACCTTGTCTCCGGTACGATGGGTTCGTGTAGGCATTGGTGACCGAGTATCCGCAGCCCTTGCGGGCTGGGCGCCCTTGACTGTCAGCAATGAGCACCGGCTTGCGAGTCGTTTCGCAGCTGGCGATGATTTGTTTCGGGTACCCTTTAAGGAAGAGAACCCAGTACTGGCATCCACCATCGCGGTTGAGCTCATGGTTCGCCATGTGCCGTTCCCGTTCTATGTAATCATCAGCGGAAATGGGGTCCGCCCAGCTTTTGGCGCAAAGGGTCCAGGAGACCTCTCGCTGCTCCGGGGTGGCCTCCCCAAATTCAATATCCGTTGCCGTAAGACCCAGAGGCTGTGCCATTTTGCCGGTTCTGACTGTCGTACTCTTGAGACTTCCTTTCTCGGCTCGTCGGGCTTCAACAGGAAACACCTTCGTACCGCTCCGGTTTTAATTTGCGGTAGCGCGGCGATTTTCTTTGACGTTGGACCTAAGAAAAACGTTAGAGTCGAGGAGAGTGCTGGAAATGAGCCAGGACGCTCAAATGCCGTTTAAAATGCCTCGGGTTTAAAGGTATTGTAGCACGCTTTCATCACAGGTACAACGTTGGGTGTACTTACCTTGAGGGTGCAAGATGCGGGTGTGGGGTTGAATTCTTGTACCCACACGGGACGAGACGAGTGGAAGGCGGACCCTGACAACAGATACGGTGGTCTTGAATGGAAACTGTCCAGAAAAAATTCCGGAAATGGTCAGGTAACATAACAGATTTGTGGTTCTACACTCGAGGGCCTTGATACAGTATTGTCGATAAAGCTCCAGGTTCAACGGCAATGAAAAATCCCCTCATGAGGGAATGCTCCCCCCAGGCGCGGCATTTTTACACCTTCCCTTATCGTTGGTGGTTTGCCCGGGAACGATACGCTCTGCTTTGCTTCTTAAGTAATCCTTCCGACCTATGGTAACTGAATACCTGGAAAGAGGGGGGGCAGCGGGAGCCTTCATGTCGTCAGGTAAAGACCAATGGTGCGGAATAGAAACGAAGGAGAGGAATTTGAGGGCCTGGTTGCGTTAGCGCGAGGTTCTTTAGTCTAAGATCCCAGGATGTTGAATCAAGCGATTCAATCAACTCCAGACCATGGTGTCAGTCAGAAAAACCAAGAGTTGACGAATGAAGTTCTTGCCAAGACCGGCGAAATCGTTGAGGCGGGAACGGCCAACGCGCCACATTGTCAAGGGCAGGTCCGCTTGGCGTGTGGCTGGTGCCAGCGTGGATCGGAATCGGCACCAACTGTTCCGCAAATTTTGGTCGAGCCCTGCCAATTCCTCAGTGCGCACAAAATCTAGTCCGGGATATCGGCGAACGACATCGACACGATTCTTTGACGGCCGAGGAACAGCATCAAAGGTACGCCACAATCCCATAACCACCCCCTTGTAACTATCATCAACACTTTTTCCGTTTCTACTACTTTTGCGCGCTTTTCACCACTTCCATCTCTGCGCATCTCCCCGGCATCTACCCGCTAACACGACGCAACATCAGAACGCCGACCAAAATGGCATCGATCGATATCGGAGCGACCAGCTGGCGTCGTGTCGAGGTTGGGCGCGTGCTCAAGCTCGAGAACGGCAGCCTAGCCACCATTGTCGAGATCATCGACCACAAGCGCGTACGTGGAGATCCCCCCGAAACCCCCAATGGCAGCCGACGATAGCAGGACGGTCACACATTTAGACACGGAACTGGAGCTGGAGAATGAAAGCTAAAACTTGACCGGGATTTAGGCTCTCGTTGACGGCCCCTCCGACGATGAAAAGCTTGCCACCCCCCGCGGCATCGTTTCCTTCTCTCGCGCTCTCCTCACCCCAATCGTCGTCGAGAAGCTCCCCCGTGGCGCGCGCTCCACGACCGTGAAGAAGGCGTGGGAGGCGTCTGGAGTGGACGCCAAGTGGAAGGAAAGCAACTGGGCCAAGAAGCAGCTCCAGCAGGAGCGCCGCCAGTCGCTCACCGACTTCGACCGGTTCAAGGTTTTGCGGTTGAAGAAGCAGAGGCGCTTTGAGGAGCGCAAGGCTCTCGCCAAGGTTAGGGCTGCGGCGTAAAGCCGGGTACGATGGATAGAAGAGGAAGCGTTTGGTTTGGCATGGCTTTTCTAGGGAGGGGGGTTGTTCTGGAACGGGGTGCATGAACATCAGCATTCGGGTTGCTGGGTTTCTCTTTGCGTCGCTTTCGGAAGACCTGTATGTCACATCATCAAAGTGACCGGCGTCATATGGAAAATGCGAAATTGAGCCAAAAAAAACAACCAAGATCCTATGGGCTCTCGCCCATGCCACGAGAACAGCGCCATGAAGCGCAGGTCTGTGAGCTACCAGAATACGAACTCTCCAGGAGGCGCCGTGATGGCAACAAACGTTTTATTCCCATCTCCACGTAATTGAGTGCACAATACCCATCTTTAGTGACCGACAAGCCGACTCCGGTGAGAACGTCACAACTGTCGTGATCGTCCGGAGAGCGGCGGGCTTGGGAAGGCATACTGGATTACCTAATCAGGACTAGCGCGCCGAACCTCTGGCGAAGCCCTACCCGAAAATTGGACCCGAACATTTCTTCCCACCACGACCTTGGCCGGCTCTCTCTCACCCCCGCATAACCATCTTAGCGGCATTTCTGAAAACCATGTGAGTCCCGTTCGAGCATCGTCACCAATTCCTTTATTTCTGGGTTCCCGGCCCCGGGCGGAAAGTGCTGCTATGGCAAATTTTCGCACGGCTCTGAGGGGTCAGGGCCAATTGTGTTGTGTGTGGAGCGCGGGGCTGACAAAAAGATCGATGCTCCTAGCTCTCTCCTACCGCCATCTCCAACAGGACAACACCATACAAAATGGCTGACCCCCGCGTTGAAGAGCTCCCGGATGAGGAGACCAAGAAGCCCACCGTCGAGGAGCTCGACGACTCGTCCGATGAGGAGTCCGACGCCGAGGCCGGCGATGCCAGCCTCCCCGCCGGCTCGACCGCCGTGATTCACTCTCGCAACGAGAAGAAGGCCCGCAAGGCCATCGAGAAGCTGCACTTGACCCGTGTGCCGGGTATCACCCGTGTCACCCTCCGCCGCCCGAAGAACGTGAGTGTGGTAGAAGAGTCGAGTTTGGTTCTGGTTCTACTGTTGCTGCCGCTGAATATGTGGGGCACAAACGAGTCGAGGGGTTCAGTGGACAAGCCGATGGAATAGGATACTGACCAAATTCGGCTAGATCCTCTTCGTCATTAACAACCCCGAAGTGTACAAGTCGCCCAACAGCAACACCTACATGTAAGTATTTCTCGCCGGGTGCTGCGAACTATCGCAAAATTTGGGGCTGACTCGCCGGAATAGCGTCTTCGGTGAGGCCAAGATTGAGGATCTCAACGCGAGCGCCCAGGCCGCTGCTGCCCAGCAGCTCGCCAGCCAGACCGCCGAGCACGACCACGCCGGCCACTCCCACGATCACAAGCACGAGGCCGCTAAGGAGGAGGAGGAAGAGGAGGATGACGGCGAGGAAGTGGATGCGGAGGGTATCGAGGACAAGGACATTGAACTCGTCATGACCCAGGCCAACGTGTCCCGGAAGAAGGCGATCAAAGCGCTAAAAGAAAACGACAACGACATAGTCAACTCAATCATGGCATTGAGTGTCTAGTTATTGATATTGACAGGCACGCGTATTGTTGGTCCTTGGGCGGGGGCTTTCAGGTACATTTTCGCGGACGACAAGCTCTACCAGGCGTTGGGGACTGGGCTCCGCTGCTGGTTAGTTAGTGGCCATGTTGCATCGCTGAATTGAAGCTGTTCCGATGCTTTGCGACGCTTGCTGTGATTTTGGGAGAACCCCATTGAGTGCTTTATTAGTCATGGTAGTGCAAAGTTAAGGAATAAGGAGGTGAGATGTAAAATATCGAAAATGATTTTAAGCTGTATCTGTTGTAAAAGCCCGAATGCGCTGGCTCAAAAGACTCAAAAGTAGAGCCGCATTGGGTTTTGCCGGTTCCTCCCGTGTAATCACGTGACCTCACTGCTCGCCCGCCAGAGCCTGCATGTATTCGGCAAACCTCAAGCAACGATCCAGCGATTGAACCCCCCACTCCAGCCCATCCCGAACCACCACAAAAATGGCCGCAGTAAGTGCCCCCGATCAATTGGAAGGTTTTCGTGTCGACGGTTTGGAGTATGAATGGGAAATTGGCGGGCGCAGCGGGGTGTCGGTCCGACCGGTGTCGGTTCGACGTGGTCCGAGACTGAGCTAATTTTCGTGTCTCTACTCAGCGAAGCACAGCTCTCAAGATTGACTGGGTCAAGATCACCTCGTCGCTCGGCCTGCGCGGCCAGACGGTGGCCGGGCTCCAAGCCTTCAAGAAGCGCAACGACGACGTCCGCCGTAAGGTCCAAGTGCTTTCGGAGCAGCCGACCACCATCGACTTCGCCCAGTACCGTTCCGTGCTCAAGAACCAGGCTATCGTCGACGAGATCGAGAAGCGCTTCAAGGCCTTCCAGCCCGCCACCTACGACCTCAGCCGCCAGCTCAAGGCCATCGAGGCCTTCGAGGTCGAGGCCGTCAAGAACGCCCAGGCGACCAAGGAGAAGGTTGACCTCGAGCTCAAGGACCTGGAGAAGACGCTCAAGAACATTGAGGAGGCCCGGCCATTTGAGGACCTCACCGTCGACGAGGTTGCTGCCGCTGAGCCCAGCATTGACGAGAAGACCGCCAAACTTGTTTCTAAGGGTCGCTGGTCCGTGCCGGGATACAAGGTCGGTTCCTTTGTCTTCTTCCAGCCTTCCGTCCCTCTATCTGTCATTACAACTAAGCTGACCACGTTCACGCTACAGGAGAAATTCGGCGATCTATCTGTGCTATAAACGATTTTCGACCCGATTCCCCATTTTCTTTCTGTACTCTAGCATTGTAGATAGCCTGAGCGCTGAGGGTGGCCGAAGAGGACAAATTTTATTTTGTTAATCCACCGCACATGTTGTTTAAACCCGGAGGTTGTGGGAAATGCCCTGAACGGAGCCCATACAGTTGCCGTCCTATATCGACATATGTGTGAGAAGCGCGCCGTACTAGGGAAAGGGTTAGTTCTGAAGGATCGGGGAAGGTAATGAGAGCCGAAAAGTATGTCAAGTGTTTGGGATACGTTTGGTTTCTGTGACTTGATTATATCTATATGCTACAACCTTGTGATTACATCTAGCCTGCTGTTCTCAGACTCCTACTTCCATTACAGACTCGAGAGAATCCCCCAACAGGGTTTGGACAACCCTAGGTGATTTCACGCCCGGAAACACACATCATCCCTCTTGCTTCGCCCAAGGCTGCTTGCGCTAGACGGACAAAAAGCCGTTACTTCCGTACCAGACGCCGTGCCAGATGGCCTGGGCCGGTTCTCCCTTGGCATGTGCATACATGTCATCGTACCGGTCCCCCATGACGTCTTTCTCTGCGTCCCGTTTTAGCTTTTTCTCTTGTTCCCGGATCGCCGGGACAGATCCCGACCGTCCGTCATATGCCCATCCCCATGGGAACATCAGGTGAGCGTAAAACCTCTCAAGCCCATCAGGACCAATAGCCAGCCTTTTGAGCGGACGCATAACCTGCGCGTAGGCCGCAAGTTGGGCTTCACCGCGAGTTTTGGTGACGCGGTAGCGGGCGATTTTCTCGTATTCGTTCGAGTAGTCAACGGGAGACTGGGGCTGTGCCACAGTCAGTCGGATTGTGAGGCTGGGAAGGTTAAAGTTGGCGGCGAGTCGGCCGATGGTAGCCTCCCAATCGACAAGCGCCAGGTGGTTGGGTTTTGGCCAGAGATAGTACGCATATGGCGGAAAGACGATGTCTAGGAAGCGGAGATAGGCAAGGCAGTGGGCGGGGACGACCTCTTCTAAGAAAAAGGCCGCCGCGAAGCGCTCGTATAGATAATGAGTGACGGGTTCCTTACGCCTCCGGCTCCCCTGCCTCAAGCGTGGCATTGGCGTTTGGCTAGGCTTCATGTCATAATAATCGTGGACAACGAATCGATTCCCCGAGAAAAACACAAATTGCGCGTCGTTGCACAACGTACGGCAAATGAGGAATAAGTTGGGGCCGGGGCAGGTCCAACATCGACACGAAGAGGAGAAGGCAGCACGAACCGACTGGCAAAACCTTTTGGCATAAAGGGGGTCGCCGTTGAGCCAGCAGCGCCGGAACTGGCAGCCATGGTGAATGTCGGGCCGGCTTTGGTGGCCCTCGAGCTCAGCGCATGGAGTATGAAATACCGAGTACCGTGAAGATTGCCGGCTCCACGACACTTCCTTCCACGGGGTAATGAGATCAGTGTATTCTAAGATACAAAGACGAAGCTCGCGAGGCAAGGTGAGGAGTCGCGAGGTTGATGACGGCGGTTTCGACCTCTCTCTAGCCGGACGACGGAGGGTCCCCAAGGCCGCGTTTCGGGCGACCTGACGAATCTCGGGTATCCGTGATTCGGCCAGCCGAATGTGGCAGTTTTTAAAGGATATCCCTTCCAGCGGCGAAACAACGCGGCTCGCTACGCTTATCGCCCGGATATGATGTTGTTTTCTGATATCGCATACGAGGTTGAAATTTACACGACCGGGTGTGATGCAAGGAAATATTGTGTTGGCGGCGTTGACCCACTCCGTAACCACCGCGCTGGTTTCCTTGAACTTATTGTGTGACAGTGCGATATTGAGACCTGTTTCCTCTTCACGTCGAGCAGGGTCCCGAGGACCCCTTTGGGTTGGAGGTCGGTTTCTGGATGGAAACAGGGGGCTTTCCTTGATGACAACTTCCAAGTTGGTGATCGCGGCCAAAGACGCTGGCGTCAGGGCGCGTAAGGGTCTGAGAGATCGCTGTACGGTGTAGTGGATGATGAAAGAGTTGGCGGAATACAAGAGAGCGGATATCTCCAGATACATGGCGCGGCAGGACAGGAGCAGGCCATACCAGTCGGTAGGAGGCTGGCTTTCCGCCGCTTTGCGCCCACGCAAGTTGTAAACCAACGGTTCGCCATCTGGTGATGTTACTCCAATGAGAAGGTAGATGTCACGTCGGATATTGGGGGGTAGGCGTAAAAGGGCCGAAGGTGCAGGGGAAGACGTCCCTACCATTGTCGAAAAAGATTGGTGAGAAATTGCTCAACTTGAAGAAATGTTCAAGTGTGTCTCGACCGAACAGAAAGCGTCGATGTGGGGGGTCAAACCTAGGCAACAATACGTTCTTGGGAAAGTGCAAGGGGATGATCAAAGCGCTGCGCGCAAGAAAGACAACCTATCTTGGCCTGGACTTGTGCACAATTATTTTGTTTACTGCTAATGTTCTCCAAGCCTAGCGTATCAGCCAAGACGGTGGGATGGGATAAAACGAAGAAATTGGCTTAAGAAAGTTGCAACATATCGGTTGTACTTCAATTGTTTCCTTGTTCTATCCCCAGTTGCCAGGCTCGCTATGGCCAAAAAAAGCGGCACACCAAGTCCCTGGATAACTTAGTTTGCTATAAAAGTGAAAAAAAAACTAAAAAGAATAAACCAAAAAAGGGAAAGAAGACAAAAAGAATAAATTCAGAAGTGAAAAAAGACAAAAAAGAGTATATCAATCAATAAGATGTGATTGAATGTTAATGGATTAGACTTGAGCTATCTGTTTTAGTGTGTCGCTTTTTTTGGCCATAGCGAGCCAGGCTGTCAGGACGTCGCAAAACTACAACCCTAACCCTGGAAATGCGGTGGAATACTCCACGCTGCCCCAATCCCTGTTGTAATTATTTCCTGTAGACAATTAACCTCACTTCGACGAGCTTCGCCCATCCTCCGTCGACTACCACCTCCAGCCAGACTAGCGCGGCCAATAATCACGGAAACCTACCGGAGAAATACAAAAGGCGAACCCGATCAACAAACCCCAACCGAAATAAACCCGCAATGGGGGCCTTTCAAAACCGTAAATTCCGTTCCGCCGCAGACTCGCACACACTCGGGTCGCGATACAGAGCGATGATGGCGCGGCGGCCCTTCCTGCTGTTTGGCCTACCCTTCCTGACCGTCATCGTGGGCGCTTCCTTTGTCCTCACGCCGGCGACGGCGATCCGATACGAGCGTCACGATCGCAAGGTCCGCCAGATGTCGCGTGAGGAGGAGCTTGGTGTCGGCCGAGCCGGTCGCAAAGTTGATATCCGGGAGGAATATTATGTGCGTTCATTCTCTGTGCTCTTGTATTCTGTTGGGTTATGCTGGCTTTCCCGTGACTCTACGAGAACTAGACCTGCCAGACTTTTTTCTTTCTATTCCCCGGGCATGTCGCCTTAAGGTGGGGTTTCGTGAGGCGGGCAACTTTTATTGATACGAGACTATTCTACAGAGACTGTCTGCCAAGGACACCGACAACTGGGAGCAGAAGCGGGTGAAGAGGCTAAAGGGAGAGAGCGACGGCATTCTTTGAAAACGGGGGTGCGCCACCACCACCACCCGACCCGCCGAAGCGAGACAAGCGGCAACCCCCGGATGAGGAGAAGCTCCGGTGAGCGGTGATGGAGATACGGCTCTGCTTGTGGCTCGATTGTCTAGGCAGTCTCTTACCCTCAGCGGCGTTGTTCTCCCATTACACCGAGCGGGCCTTCATGAACTCATCCCCCGGTCCTCGTTCTATCGCCCTTCCAAAATCGACAATGCTTGATCTTCCGGGTGGCGCATCTGAGGGCGGGCTGGCGACGACCTACCTCGGCACCGGGGCTCGAACTCCGGATGGCCACTCGAGCAAAAACCACGGCTTTTCGCATCTACCCACTATTCCTCTTCCCCTTCGAATAGATAAGGGGGGCGAGAGCGGTGGGCGGTGAGCTTTTATTTTTTTTTAAACAAAATTCTTTCTACCACCGGCTAGCGGTTCAGGTGCCGCTGCTGGCGTTGGATTCATGGGGTTGTACGAGTGTCGGTAGTCAAGTTCTCCGGAGCCGAGTACTTGTTAAGCTTGTTTAGGGGGCGTTGACATGGATGTTGACGCACAACTGCTGCTGTCCACTACTCCTAGGAGGCAGGTACTTATTGCTCACTTGCACTCACGCCCCCCATCTCGAACGTTCTCAACCACTCACATTCACACCCCTGGCGACCGCAAAACCGAGCTAGCGAAACCCGATTTCCGGACCGTGGCGTTTACGGATGTCTTATCTGACTCGGGGGATCAAGCATGCTCCGATCCCGCATGCCCAGTACCAGATCGGGCAACATAGGCACTTTCACACAGCGTCGTGGAGCGTCTCGACCGTTTGTGGACGCACCTGCGGCCCACCGGGTAGTTGACATCAGCTGAAGGGAGTACCGTCCGGTCTGGGCCGTCTGGGGCGCCCCCGGTGGTCTAGATGTATTGGGGGGTTCTGGCGTGCGGACGTCGTTGTATGGGTGGCCCGGGTTGTCTTTGGACGCTCTGGCCTTGGAGCATGGGAATTCTATCGGCGTGTTGCTCCAATATTACTATTAAGCAAAGTTGAAATTGTGTGGTATCACCTAAAGTATCACCTAAAGGCTCCGCTTGTAAGTCGTGTTAGAGCTAGACCGCCAATCCGGAAAGCCGCAGAATTGGCTTGCTTTCACTTCTTTTGACCCTGCCATGGGCACGTACGGATCCGTACATGGTTTGCATGGGTAGCAGTTTCTCCAGGAACCACGGCCGACTGCATCAGCGCTCGGGACTCAAGGTCTAGAACCCGGAGCCGGGCGGGGACAATGAACACCCCACCTCCCACCAACGACACACACCTTAGACATGACACCAACTCAACGACCGTCCTGACACGCTCGACACGGTGCAAAGAAAGATATGTGATTGAATTCAACGTCATAAATTCAATCACCAACAATATTTTACTCTTTCGTTCTCGGTATTTGTCCTGTTCTGCTTGCGTCATTGGCGCCTGTCTGATTGGGGCGTCGAGGGTTCCTTCCTGTTTCAAAAAAGTGATGAGGTGCGTCATTCCCAAAGGCGTCGACGGCGATCAGCAGAAGAGAACGGAGAGGAAAGGAAATCATCGGCGACTTCCGATATATTTTTTCCTCTCCCCCTCTTCCATCACGTCAAATTATGTCACTGTCGACAGAGTGCGGGTAGTTGAACAAATTAGGAAAATTAAACGATGTTTTAAGTTTCTTGGGTGGCGAACCAAAGCCTCTATCCTTTTCTAAGACAACGAGTCAGGTCCTGTGGTGTAAAGACACCACCGTACCGTCCGAAGAGGCTCTTTGTGGTTCTGGCCGTTCAAGTTAGGATGTTATTCAGACAATAGCTTAGACACGATGAGAATAGGCTTCGATGATCTAGGATGGCTTGAACAAATTGGCGGTCTAATTCCGCTATCCATTATGGTCCCTCTGACATATCAGAAACAGCGGGGTTCTCGACCGTTGAACGAAAAAGCTGAACGTCAAGGGAAATCGCTGGGGAAATCGTAGAGGGCCGTCTTGGCCGAAGTCAGCCAAGAGCGTGTGAGTCCAGGCCGTGATTTGTCGTAACGTGTATATAGGTTTTTACGGGGTGTAAATAGAACCCAAGCTCGCTGTGGCCAAAAAAAATCGGCAGACCAGGTCCCTGGATAACTTACTTTTCTACAAAAGTGGAAAAAGACAAAAAAGAATAATTCGAAAAAGTGAAAGAAGACAAAAAAGAATAAAACAAAAAGGTGAAAACGGCCGAAAAGAGTAAATCAATATCGAATGTTAATGGATTGGATCTAAGCTAACTCTTTTAGTCTGCCGCTTTTTTGGCCACGGCGAGCCAAGATAGGAAGATTCGGCGACTTCGACAAATTCTAGGTAAAAGCGAGAGTGTTGTTTTCAAGTTGCCCGGGCTAGAACACAGCCAATCGAAAACCTCGATGTCACAACATCAAAGCTTCCCTGGTATCGAGCGACGCGCTATTTCATCGACAAAAGTTCTCAAACCTGCAATGGTGGTGGGGAAGAAATCCCGTTCCAGCTCTCAGTGTCCCCCGCCCTAGACTTGGCTTTCCAACAGAAAGTTGACAACGCCCACCAAAGCTCTCAAACCTGGCTGCAAGCTACTGCCAAGCATTGCTCTCGACGCTCCTATTGGCAGATGTCCGCAGGTGGCATGCCGCAAGCGATCGGCGGATCAACCACACTCCTGGAAACAAAACGTGCATGTCGTGGCTGAACCCCCAAATTGGAAACACGCTCATCGCTCCAATCAGCTCGTCCGGAGACGATGCCCTGCAGCCCGTCGCACAACAACTGGGACAGCTGGGACACGCAACAGAAATCCCCTGGGTGGGTTTGGTGGGTGCGCCGGGGGGGCTTTTACACAGGAGTCCCATGAGCAGATGCCACGCGGTGCGGTGTGGATGGGGCGTCCAAGGCGTCGAAGGCGGTCGGGGGCGTGACACCCGATAGGGAAGACAGAAGGAGGGTAAAAAAAACAGAAACTCATTTGCCCCACCACGGCTCGGAGAGTCGACCCATCTTCGGGATTCGGGAAGCAGCAGTTGGTGAAGAGGCTTGAGAGTCAGAGTTGCACGCGCCTGAGCGGCGAGAAAAGATCTGAGCAAATATTGAAAAGAAAGTATCAAAAGGCCGCTGCTTTAAGATCGGATCCAGGGATTGCGCTTGTTCTGCGCCTTGCTATGATCGACTCGGGCCGTTGTACGAGACCCGCGACGGTGCCGAATACGCTGGGTTTTGCCTGTCAAAGTTTCGAGGTTCCGCCATTTCCGCGCAGGCCTACACAAGAGGCCTAGAGGGCTGTGGGGTGGCCACGTTTGGGTGGTCGTCCAGGCAGGTCGAGGCTGGGGATGCGATGGGGCAAGACTTCAGGTTACTGACAAGAGCCCCATACCCGCCGCATCATGGAGTATTCAGACATCTGGGGGGAAGGGCAGTGGCCACCTAGGAGGCTGCTGCTAAAAAACTTTCCCCGCGTCCATGGATCTTCTGGCTGTGCCGCTCCGCTGGTTGGCGAAGCCTGGGCTGCGGGGCATGTTTCGCACCTACCATGACGTCGACGTGGACGATTTCTGCGCACTCGTCTTTGAGGATTGATGGAGTCGGCGGGCCTGTTGGGCTGCAGGCGTGCCAATCCGCTGCTAATCTTTGTTATGTTTTTGTCTTTTTGTCTTTTGATCTGACGGTTTCAGGCACCACCAGACCGTGCTCCCTTTGTGTGTCGCAAGCAAGCACGCAACCTGTCGGCGTCCCGTTGGGGCCAGCAAGAGTCGGTAAACGGAATCGCTGTTGTTTTGGTGTTCGTATTGGCAATGCAGTCTGACAAATGCGGCTGCGATTGCGGATGGCATGACGGGGATGAGGTGGCTTTGGTTTTGTCGATGGGAACACGATGCTGGGCTCGATCGCCCACGCGCCTCCCGGGGGTCTTTCCCCAGTCTGCGACCCTGGCCAGCCCCGCTGACTGTTTAAGAAAGGGGTGTCGCTAACACGCCTCTTCGGCCACCCCACCTCGTCTCCCGGCGATGCCCATTTCTTGTCAGCCACAAGAGTCACCGGATTCTAGACCCCTGCCCGCCTGGTCCTTGCAGGGTGCTGCAAGGTACCACACCTCCGTCATGGCTCGGAGTGATCGGCCAGAACCCGTCTCCGACTAAAAGATTCCGGCCTGGCTTATAATAGCCTCCCCTCTCCCCCCTCTTCGACCTCGAGCAGCCTTGGCTTCCAGTCCAATACCGAGTTCTTCACAACTCAACAGCACTTACACCAAACCATGTCGACATAGGCTCGACTAATACTCGGCAACGGTCGATCACTACTCACCAAGAGATACATACACGCCACTCAGCCATAAGCACCTTTGAGACCGTGATGTTGTGCGGTATTCAGCAAACTTCACCTCACCACCACACCTTCCTCCGCAGTTTCCGGAGCCACAAGAGCCTTCGGCAGGAGAAGGAAAGCATTCACACCGAGCACAGCGGCAGCAGTAGCAGCGAGAACGACATGCATCGCCCACACAGGCACCGCCCAAGCGACGCGAGCTCGATGGCCCGTCCGTCGTTTGACTCTACCATCTCCCGCAAGACGGATCTGTCTATCGATTGGGACCCTCTTCGCCTCCACCCATCACTTGCTCCCGGCCCGGTCCCGCCTCTCAGAGACATCGTCGCCAGCGAGAACGCTACTAGGCGGCATCAACCACAGGAGCTACGACACGACCAATCCAGCCAGGCTGTCCGCGCCCGTCACCAAGGTGCTTCCTCTCGTTCTCTCGCCACTTCAACCCACAGCACAGTCATCTACGGCGGCTTCGACTTCGGGTTTGACACCACCCCGACGCCTGCCGTTGCGACCACGACAACCACCACCAACAAGATGGCCCTTGCTACTCACCCTGGTGGTGGCATGACCAAGTCCACCAGCACCAGCATGGACAACCACAGAGCCCCCTCACCCACTCCTAGTGACGCCAGCAGCGAGTTCAGTCTCAGCCCGTCTGATGACTGGGGCGTGATCGAGGACGACGATGCGGCTCTTGGCTTTGGCTTGGCGCCTCCGCCTGCACCTCGCGCGAGGCCGAGGCCGAGGCCGAACCTGGACAGCAGCGATTCTGACTCGGTTGAGTACTTCCTCCGCCGGGGCGGTTGGAAGAGGAGGGGCATTGTCTTTGTCGATGCCCGGAACGCATTGGAAGGTGAAGATGAGACGTGGGAGATCTAATATCTTCTCGCCATTTCTCCTTATTATCAAATCTCCCCCCACTCTACCTTACTTAACACTTCACTTCACTTCATCTCCTCTCTTACCACCAACCTTACCCTTACTACTTTTATTATGGACTTTTGGTGGACAGTTTCGGCGGTAGGGTTTGGGAATGAGAATTTACGGGACTGAAGCGAGTGTTGCATTTACGTGGGGTATTCGGGACGGCCGGCGTTTGGGTTTTTTTTTTGGGCGGACATGTGAGATTCACGGGTTTTTTCTCACTCTCGGGTTTATCGGGAGAGAAAAATGGATCTCAAGGTCTTGGGCATAACGGGATTGGGGATTGGGATTTGGGAACACCGGCCGGCAGCGCATCACACTTATCATCACCATCTCCTTTGTCAATTGCATAACCCGGCGTCAACGGTTCGGGTCTATGCATTTCACACTACGATACCACTTTCCTATCTCTTCATCTACTATCAGAGGGAAGTGCAGCAAAGCAGCGAATAGCGCTCGCAGGACACAAAGCAAAAGCAATTCAAACTCATTGCAACCTCATTAGAATGTTCCCGCTAAAAGCGTGCATTACAAGTCCGTGTTCCGTTGTCGTGTCATCCCATCTTCCGTGTCATGCTAGCGTTTCTCATGTCCCACGGACAAAGTCTCCGGCGTCTTTCGCCCCGACCTCCGAGGCTTAAATCTCACACATTTCTAATCACCACCCTGATAACGCCAGCAATAGGCTGACAGTTTCGGACGAGAGCGGCCCTAGCGGGTTTTCCGACTCGCGCAACCCTTGAAAGCCGTATTTCAAAGCAACTACCGGATCTAGGCTGGGCCGTTGCTGTCGCCCGTCTTTCCCCGCGTCTGATGTTGAGGTGAGATGACAGGGAAATGCTTTCTTTTCTCTAATATGAATTGTCTCTACGACATCTAGCCCTTCTTGGTGTTGTTCTTGTGTCAAACAACTTTGCGGTGCGATTTCCGCACTATCGATTGTGAGGGTTTAAAGACACAGGAGTGTTGAATGTATCCGACGAAATTCAGTGATTGCCCAATCAGGTTCAAGCGTTCCCAGCCAAGTGCCCAAAATTGTCCCGCCCGCGTCAGGATGCTACCCTCCCACGCGAGCTCCCCTGCTTCTTTCCTCCCCCCCGGGAATTTTTCCCCACTGCGCCTTCTCGCCCTTGCAGCTTGCGCAAAGCCCTTGCAGCCCTTTTTGTCAGCTCGTCACGGTGATGGGTTGCAGTCGTCGGGTCACGCGGGGCTGAAGGGGGGTCCTTGGAAGGGGTTTTGCCTTGGAAGGGGTTTTGCCTTGGAAGGGGTTTTGCCTTGGATTTTTTTCTTCCAAAGCTCTCTTTGGGAACTTCTCGGCGTGGGAGTCGGAAGGCGAGTATAATGGGATTCCCGCGCGTTCCTTGGATTTCAACGCCATAGGGAAGGAACCCGATTCCTTCTTCACTGGATGGATACAATGTTGAGTGCGTAATGAGGAACATGTCGTTGCCTTGGCTGTGGTCAGGAAGGGCCATGGATAGCTCGTGTCGTCGTCACCACCCCCAACGACCGCAGCGAACGGGGACGGAGGATTGACACCGCTGACACACACACTCACACCGCGCAACCACACACACGCAACCACACTCGCATTCGCACCCACACACATTTTCCTAACTCACATCACTCGGGCGTGCACATCACACCGGCATTGAATCCACAAGAGCGGTGAGTCCAGCAAACGGAAGAGAGAGAAAAAGAAAAACGAAACGGTTGTGAAGCATCCTGTTTCACGCAATCGTCATCTCTGTGTTCTGCTCCCCACGAATAATATTACACCCCGAGCGCTCACTCTGATGACACTCACAGACCGACAGGCAGTGAGAAAAGAAACAAGCCACACACACAAATTTCCCGTTTTCCGGATTTCCCACACACCCCCTCTCTCAGTCTGTGTCACACTCCCCTCTTGGGTGGCTTGTCTCTTTTTTCTCTTTCTCGGCCCCCCGCATTTCGGACAGCATGCCAGGGGCGACCGACCAGCTGGGCACGTTCGGCTCAGGGTGCTGCCCAGAGGCTTGGCGTCGGGCAGCCAATTGCGTTGCGGCGGTGTTCACCCCGCGACCTTGGCTATCCTCCCTTTCATCTGTGTCTGTCTCTCGCCGCCAGGCAAAATTTCATACGATGTTCGGTGGAGAGGCAGAGCCGAGATGAGGACAAGCAGCGAAAAGCAAAAAAGACTGGAGGGAAAGGCACGAGGGCCGAGCAAGCCGTGGGGGAACGAACCCTGGCCTGTGACAGTGAGATCTCTCTCTCTGTGGATTGCTCAGCCAGACAGGGCCTTGCGCGCGCGCAGACGATTGCCGAGATCGCTGAAGCAAATCTATATTTCTGGGTTTCTTGCTTTTCCTCTTTTTGTGGAGGGGGATCTTTTTACGGTGAAGTGCGTTTGCACAGTGGGCCTCTCTTTCTTTGGCCCGCCAACCGCTCCAGGAAAGCCGAAGCGAAACAATCACGATAACTCACTAGTTAACGGTCAAGTGACCGTGCTGGCGACCCCGGTCGGTCGCCCAAGACTCCAAGACTCCGGGGCCGTCGGAGGGAGAGACCAAAGCTAAGCCTGTTCCTGTCGATGCCGAAAGACCGCGCGACCTGCGCAAGATCATCTTCCCCTCCTCACCCCTCCTGGTCTGTGTTTCTCCTGCAGTAGCCTCCGCGTTCCGCGCTGATGATGCAGGTACGGATTACAAACGGGCTGCAGAATACCCAAAAAGAAAACGCACTAGGACTGGTGCTGGGTCGTTTGCAGATTTACTCATGATAAGCCCGGTAGGTGGTCGGCTGTCCAGCGGTTCCGAACCGACGGCCCAGCGCACAAACGGAGTTCGGCTTTGCTTGGCGAGCAAAAAAGCTCGCGGGACCCGATGGTCGGCCGGACTGGGGAGATCGAGATCAAGATCGGGGCTGAAAGAACGGGTAGGGACGTGTTTTGGTCGAATAAGAAACCACGAATCGCCCTCCAACTGCATATCGACGTTGCAGTCGACCGCGGGAGCTGAGCTAGGCGAGGGAGAAAAGAAACAACCGGAGTACCGAGCGGGACTGACTTACATAGTATAGTGCAGACTGCCGGGTTCATCCCGTCTCGTGCATCAAGCGAGAAGGGGGAAAATTCCTTTTTTTGCAAAGTACAGGTCACATCGTCCTGGATCGCAGGAAATAAATTGAATGAGAACAAGCTCTCAAGCTCGGGAGCTAGTTAACGCATCAAAACCCAACCCAGCTGGGCTAAAATTAAACTATCCGTTCGATCGCCGACCCAGCCAACAGATTGGTCTCCCTAGCTACACGTGTAGATCAAAAGATCAAGATCGGGATTTTGATGGTTATCTGGCGACACTACACTAAGCATTCCATGATTTCACATCTTATCACCCCTCTCCTGTTTCTCGCTTCGTCCTCAGGAAGCTATCGCTCTCGTATCGTGGCCCAATTGGCGGCGGTGGTGGTGGTGGCGTTTGCAAGGGAGATAGATGGTGTCGCGATAGTGGAGGGTGCGTCTCGAGAAGGAGAAGGATGTCTACGGGCTAACGCAGCATAACTATGGGGCGACCGAATTCGGTCGTTAACATAAGAGTTTTCGTGGTGTTATCAAATTGAGGTTTAAGTTATACGTGCGTGGATGTCGTGCTGTGCAAGTCATGATAGCAAAGCGTGATGGACAGTAGGTCTGTGATGGCTTGTTTCACCGCGATCAGGTGGTGAGTGTTTCGGCTACCGTCTACCCTGAGGATGGCCCGAACGAGGAGAGCAATACATTACAAACGGCCGGGGCCAATACCAGGCGAGACAAACGGGCCAGCAGATCGGGCCGAAGGGCTTGAGATGTGGCTGCGGCATGCGGCATCTTCGTTTGTGGTGTGTGTGTTGTATGTCGGTGCCCGAGCCGGACAAAAAGCGAATGTGTTGCAGGTAGGTGGGTGGATGTCATGCGTGTCTCAGTGTCACACCCCCTTTGAAGGGGGAAAAAGAGGGGGTGGATTGGTTTGTGGTGATATCTCCGGTGAGGAGGTGAGACATGTGAGGGGGGGTAATATCGGAAATACTGATAACGAAATTGGTGAGAAAGGGAGGGGTAAGCAGGGGTGATGGCAGAGGGGCTTTTTCGGGGAGAATTTGAGGAAGTTGGGGAGAGGATTTGAGTTTGGAGAACTTGGCGCGTTTTCCGCGAGCCTGCACGATTTACATGAGAAGAGAAGTAGTGAAGGGAGAAAGGCGTCTCAGGGTGAATACGGAAACCATTCCTCGCAACAGTCGCAAGATGTGCGTTTACTGGAGGGGGGGTGGGGGAGAGGGGCATTCTAAAAATGAGAGAAGAACTTTTAGGAGAGCTTTCAAGGAGAGTGCCTCACTTGTATGATGAAGGTCGAGGTAATTAGTAGAGACTGCTAAGGGGCCTTACGTTTGACTTTCCACCCGTGTTAACTCAAGAATGCACCAGAACGGCCAGAGACTTGACGAAGGAGCAAAAAGGGGTTCAGAAAAAGAGTAGCCCTGTATTAAGACAGCCGGCGGGATTACCTAACATAAGTGCAGAATCGCACATATCCAACCCTAAACTACGAACATACGTACCTCAAGTATATATGTGATTAACGAATCGACATTGTGGCAAACCCATGGCCCTAATCCAGCTCGTGATGTTGGTGGTCCGGCTTTCAGCCTGGTGACATGATCTATGAGATACCATATCCCCTTCACCGTACTCGTCTAGGCCGAAGGCACCGAGGCCAAGGTTACCGGTGAGTCCAGTGTTGGGTACAGGAAACATTTCAACGACAGGACACTAAAACGGCCAAAACATGGAAGGCTCCCGGAGTACTAGCTAGGTATGAACTTGTCTTCAATACTCAGGTATCATGTCCCCCCTAGCATCCTCCAGTTTGCTTTAGCGCACGCAACGTCATCGAGCGAGATATCAACTGGCAGTAGAACTTTGGCAAGCAGTGAGAAAGAAATACAAGAGGGTACTCAACCCAGAATTGTAAGTTTCTTCCGCCAGACCCTACGTGGTCATTCGTTCTTGCCTCAGCCTGGGAATGATACGTCACACATACGCGGCACACACTACTTGAGTTAAGTAAGGGCACAGCCTCGCGAAGCCGGTCCTAGATTATGTTGGCCTTACTTTTATGGTAATTTTTAGCTTTATATTTGGGGAGACGCTACGGAAGAGAGGCGGGAGCGTGAGGAAGTCGATATAACGAACGGCCCGTTGGGCGAGGATAGTGTTTTTATATTCATCATCTCATTGGGGTTAACGTCTGGGACTCGGTTTCCAAATGACTACGATCCAATTATATACCTTGGGTAGGAGACGGTAATCAGACCACCTCGTTCCTATAGCCGACTACCTAACTTTCACATCCAACGACTCCGTTTCCCATCCCCCGTCCGACGCAGCTGGAGTTGGGTTACCCGAGCTGCCCCTCATACTCAACACCGACGGGTTCATCCCCACGAACGCAACCGCCGCCTTTGTCCGTCTCTTCTGTTCTTCACTCAGCTCTTTGGGAGAGTCCACGTCCTTTTCGGCCACCGTGGTTGGTTCGGGCCACGAGGTGGCAGGAATCATATCCACAGGCTGCCCATCCCTCTTCCATACACGGCCGTCCTTCATCACAAAGCTGACCTTGCGCAGAGCCTTGGGATCGCGGCGCGGATCATCATCCAGGGCAACAATGTCGGCGCGGTTGCCCTGGTCCCACCAGCCAAACCGGAACCCAGAAGAGTCACCACCACAGGCGAGCCACCCGGCGTAGGTGCCGGCCACGAGCGCGTCTTCGACAGGGATGCCCATTTCCATATAGATCTCCATCTCGCGGGAGTTTAGTCCGTGGTTGAACACGCCTGTGTCCCCGCCCGCAGCCAGTTTGACGCCCCTGTCGAATGCCTGCTTAACCGCAGCCTTGCACTGCGAAAACTTCTTCTCGTCAAAACCCTCCTCCGCCGTCGCTAACGTCGGCACCCAGATAGTCTTTTGCTTCCGCATTTCCTCCACCATCTCCTCTCGAGACCCTTCTGTGTCCACAAATATGTGTTCTATGGTGGTCACCCCGGCACGGGCAGCCATCAAGGCTGTCCTCGTCTCGACCGCATGCGCAGCAACGGGCACATCAGTTAGTTTAGCCTCCGCGACAATCGCATCCATTTCCTCCTGCGAAAAGAGTGGAATGGCTGGGTTCCGTTCCCTCCGGTCGGGCGGAAACTGGATGGTACCCCCAGGTCCCGGGACATCCGGAGGGAACCTCATGATCCGCTTCCGATAATCCCCATAAAACTTAATCACATCTGCGCCCTCTCCAATCCGCCTCCTTACGCCAGCCCTCGCAGCAAAGGGGCCATCCACCAAGTCCGCCGCACGAGGCAATGACAGGCCTAGCGTCGAGCCGAGGGCGAGACGGTTCTCGGTCCGGATCTCGTACCCGCCGTTGGAGGCAAGGGCCTCCGTGGCCACAAACATGCGGGGGCCCGCGGTCAAGCCGCGGTTGATGCAGTCACGGAAATTGGCGTCGGCGGCACCCAAAGCTTCGGTGCCTAGGTCACGGTATGTGGTGAAGCCGGCCATGAGCGCAGCGCGGGCGTGGTTGGTGGCGCGCACGATGCGTTCGACGGGGGATTCATCGCGCATCTGGAGGGAGTGGTAGCGGTCGCTAGAGTGTACGGTTAGCAGGGCTAGAACGGCTAGAAATCGGCCATAATGAATCAAGTCTTACCTGTCGGAATGGAGGAAGATATGGGTGTGGGAGTCGACAAACCCCGGCAGCACAACCTTGCCGCGCAGGTCGATCTCCCCATCACCGAGAGGTAAGGGGATGTCCGGGGAATCGCGAAAGAGTAGGCCGACAATGGCGCCGGCCTTGGTATCAACCTCGATAGATACATTGTCCAAGAAGGCCTTGCGAATGGGCTCAAAAAGGGTCGAAGTGTGGACGGTTATGCGGTTGGGCGACATGGTGAATTCTTCGTCAAACGACGGCGCGATAGAATGCGTAATTGGTGATGTAATTGCGTTTGGATCGTAGTGTGCATTCGATATTTCCTCATGAAGGGACAGAGCGGTGGGCAACATCATTGTAATATTTAGTACCTGGTGACCGCTTAATTTCCGAGTGATGGTGACAACAACAATGACGAACTGGTTTGATCCGGGCCGTCCACGTCGCTAAATACACCGGCGGGTCTTGATTTACTTGGGAGATAGTTGGCGGGCGGGAATTGGACTGGGACAACACCGGATTTAAATTAGAAACGGGATGCGAAAGACCCAGGCCCTTAATGGAAGAGTTTCCTGACCGTTTTATGAATCGGGAAGGTGCCTTCAATTCAATACGTCGGTTCCTACTCCTGTTTGCCCCGGCCGCGCGTATTGCTGTGAACCTTGATGGTCAATCGAGTTGGGGGCCGTTTTACTCCTGCAGTGTCCTTTGGCTGGGCGGTAAGCGATTGGTTGGAGCAATACGTCGCTCGTGGGAAAGGGCAGACTGAAGAAGAATTATAGGAGAGATATTAATCCGTCGTGTTCATTTTCAGTATCGTGCCTCTATATACCCGTCAAATCACCCCATTACATCTTCTTCCCGGGCAAGTTTTGCCCCTTCTTCTTCATGATCTCTTCTTCTTCAGCCTGTAGCTCGGCATCGATCTTGGCACCTTTGGATGGCTCATTACCGTGCATCTTAGCCTACGGATACGAAGAGAATGTCAGCTGAACCTGATGTTTTTTGTTGTTGTTTTTAGCAAGGGTATGAACATACCGGTAAAGTTGGGTCTTGCTTGTGCAGGGTTGTCTCGCGGGATTCGTCTTGCTCATCGTCCTGGACCTCTGCCGCTGCCCGGTTGGATAGAGACCTCTGATCCTCTAAGTTTTGTTAGTTGTTTGTCTCTCAATTGGCTCAGAAATCCTGGGAAAGACGTGACATACTTGGGTCGTTCTGAAGGTGCGAGTTGGGTTGTCCCTCGTGGTAGCGGGTCCCGGACCCGGTCTCAGCAGCGCTGTAATTGCGCTGGTCACCGGCCTCGTACACCTGATGGTTCCCAACGTTGGACTGCATGGTTGACGTGATATTTACAGTAACGGTAGAGAATTGACAGCAAATTTAAGTTCAATTCGGTTGATTTGAGATGTTTTGAAGTCCGAGAAACAGTGTTCGCCGACGTCTCGATTGTGCTTTATGTACTCTCGTTATCTATACGTCATCCCGCCCCACGTCAGGGACCGCGGTGGAGAATGGAGGCGAACTTGACCGAAGAGGAACGTTGTTTACACTACTTCAACGTCGTGGCTATCGGGCCTTGCGGGCCTACAGTACACTACAAACAGTAGTACTAGGCACGACTCCTCCAAAATGGAGACGAGAGCCAGCCAGAAAGATTCTAAAGGTCTCCGCCCGAGTCAACTCTGATAGGTCCTCCGCCATCCGCAAGTTGCTTTGGGCAATGACGCGGGCAATTCCGTTTCCAAAGTGGCCTCATAATACGCCGAATGTCGTTCCTGACGTCAGTGTTTAAAATCTCGAACAGTCTTTCCACTGCACATGTGAAAGTGTAGGACGTTGTCTGCAGATGTTCGGGGCCGAGTTGAATTTAAACGGACATCCGTTGTCTCCGTTGGGTGTCGCCGCCGGTTTGGATTCAAATCAAGTCATCCAACACTAATTACACCGTCGGTAAATCTGAGAAAATCTTGAGTGACTATTGGCGACCTCCCGTGTCGTATCTCTTCCATGATTCTGGGCTTCTAAATGCAAACTTTTTGGTTGTTGAGGCGAAGAAACCGCCAGTGCCTGAAATCACAGGGATTCCCGCTGCAGGGCTGCACGAAGTGGGCTGTCTCGGCAAGGTGGGCTGTTTCGGCAAGCCGAGAGGGGATGTGGAGCCGCATGGCCCAAGCTCTCTCAACCAGCGCCTTGGCCAAGCCGCTAAGCCGGAAACAGCCCGGCAACTTCAACCTCACCTCATCGCCATTCATATGCAGGCAAAACTCCAAAAGACATTCGTGCGCCGTGCATGACACTCGCCCTCTCGAGGTACCCGATATTACACCAAAGCTGGTCATCAATCTCGCGAGAAGTTGCCCAGCATGTTTAGATTTGTAAGAAAACTTCCGATTCTTTTAATGACGAATACTTTCGGACCGTTTGCACGAACGGATGGAGTCTCGAACAAGTCCAGCAGGAAAGCTAACACGTAAACTCCAGCACAAAACCCTCGACATGATCACCCTCTTCCACAAGGCTAGCTCGCCGGCCTCAGTCCGCCTAGCGGCTGCGCTCCGGCAAGCATCGGCCGTGGCATCCGAGACCTCAACCGCTGATCAGGCGAGCGACCATTCCGCGCAGACCAAGGAGGCCACCAGCCGGCCTGAGTTCCAGCTTGAGGTCACCGAGACGCCGCCTACTGCAGACCAGCTGCGCACGATCCTCGGGTATGTTGGTGGGGACCGGATTAGCACGTTGGTCAAGGGGGCTACGGACGAGCAGGAGGCACTGAGGAAGTATGCAGAGAATGTGGAGAACCTGCAGAGGCCTGTGGTATGTTTTGTTCTTCTGATTAAACGTCTATCATTCTTCTTTCATGTCTTTATGATTTCAATTTTATCTCTTTTTCACTGGCAAGCAGGGGAAAGGAGGGTTATTGACTAACGGCTGCAGGTTGTCGATTGGAACAATGGCAAGGTGGGAGCCGGGGAGAATGAATCGGAGATTCTCAAGATGCTCAACCAGCTGCAGAAATAAGCCCGCTGTGCAGATGTCATGCATAGCGCATACTTCTTCCCGTACAATTGTACATGTGGATTTCGTCTGTGCCGATATGCCTCTTGTTTGTTTAATGTCATTTATTTGTTGACCCTTAAGTTTGGGGACAATCCTTTCCTTTCTCCCCGCATCCATTGGCAGCAAGCGCTTCGCTTTGAAGAAACGGACCCTAATCACTTGATTTCCCGCCGAGAGCCCTGCTGGTTGACTCTGATTATTGAGCGGAAACGTTGTGAGCCCACAGTGTGTAAGTGTTTCATTGATTCCGCATCGAGCATTCACTATTTGGTCCCGAGTGGTGGCCCACGAACAGGCGAACAATAGGGCTGTACATGGGAGTAAGTTCCTGAACGGGCTTCATTCCATTCGCCTTGCTATTGTGCTGCCGCATTCGGGCATTGAACTTCGTGGGTGCCTGAGGAAGTGTAAGGTTTCGCGGAAGGTTCGCGACGGGCTTCTCGCGCGGTTCCGGAAACCCAACGCGCTCTTCCCCGTAAGGTTCTTCCTCGATCGATGAATTTATAGTTCTTCCCCTCCCCTACCTTTTCCGTTGCACCGCCTCTACTTTCGGTTCTTCACCACAACAATCCGCAACCTACTTACTACGAAAATCACCCTCCATTTTGGTCGTTGACTTTGGACTCTTTTTTGTGTTTTCGGTCTACCGGCTTGCTGGTTTGTCTGAGATCCCGGCTTAGAAAAGTGTTCTTTGCTGACTGCCCCTTGGAGATTTTTTTTGACCTGTCTTCTCTTTCTCCAGAGATCAAGTCATTACCTCTTGATCTCCCCGACCGAACTTAACAAACCTTGAACCGATAACACCCCCATACTACCAAGCATAGTCACCGGAAGGACTTCAATTCGTCTTTCGCTCTCTTGACAGGATACTACCGCCTAGTGCTTGTATTCTGCCTGGTTAGCAGAAGAGTTTTGTTCTTTTGGGCAAGGCTATCTCAATAACACATTCGTGTTGACCAGCATCATCGCCTGGTGTTTTCTTGTCTTTTCACCGTACAATCTACCCTCGACTATCTTCATCGTGAGTATTCCAACCCGACTACCCTCGTCATTAACAATTCGAGTCCACCGACTAACAAGATATTCACATCAGATGGCTGGTCCTGCCATCCGCGAGGCGCCCACCCCCTGGCTTTCCCAAGTTGGCTGGAGCTGGGGCCTGGACGTTGACAAAGTCCGGATGCCCATGCCGACCATGAGCTTCTACATGAAGCCGCCCAAGGACGCGGCCTGCATCCTCTCACCCGGCCCCGAGGCTCGGACCTTCCCTCGCAACGACATCCCGCGTCGCCCCATGCGCAGGTTCACCAATGCCGAAATCCAAGAGATAGTTGAGAGACTCCGTGGCCGTGACGGCTCACTCTTGGACTCGGTTGTCCGCCCCACCAGATGGGAGGACATGTACCGTTATTTCGACGTAGTCGATTTGTGGGAATTCGGCGCCTGGAACTTATGGCGTGTTCTTCACCTGATCTGTGATCAGAACGGTGGAGCTGAGTCTTATGAGTATGTTTCCGAGGACAAGGTCCACGAGATTGACGACTGGGTGTACCGCTGGTGCACGCATGAGGAGAACCGCATGCGCCTCAGCATGTGGGATGGCGTGTCCGATGTTTTGTCTGTCCTGAGCTGGAAGAGCCTGGACAAGCTGGGGCACTGTACCGCCGAGGAGTTTGTTGTTGTGCGGGGCGCCCTCAGGTATTGGTACGATCAGGGGAATCGCACGTCTGAGGCCGCGAGGAATGCCCGGGCCCACGTCAGGGCTATGAGCCATTTGAACGACGCCCGGAAGCATATGCCTGTTCATTCGCTCGATGGTAAGTTCAGGTGATTCTCATGATCCCCGCCTTCTACTTTTATCTCGCTGTTGCCTCTGCGCCTGAGTCGATTGGATATCTAACATTGTTTTTTTCTCTTTTTTCTAGACACGGCTATCGTCCTTGACAACAAGCCGGATGTGGACGAGGTTCATGGCCATCGCCGCCGCCGTTCTGGTTCAGACTCCCACCCTTCCATCAACCAGCACAGCACGACCACCTCTGTATCGTCGTGTGTATACGTCCGGAATCCGGCCATTATTATCGTCAATGGGACCACTCCGGCCTCGACCTCGGCCCCGGCCATGCGCAAGCCAACCCTTTCGGTGATGCGTGCCGATGCTCCTGTCTTCACTCCCGGAAAGCAAGCGACCAACGGCCAGAGCGAAACCACCACCTCGCAGAGCGCGCCCTCCACGCGCACAATCCATAGGTACTCGAAATCCGGCCCGCTCCCGGCCGACTATGACCACAGCCACTCGGCGGCCCGCGGAGTGGGTGTCGAGAGCCACGGGCCGTCTCGCTTGCCCGCCCGCCTGCAGGGCATTATTTCGGCCAAATCGACCGGCCCGGTCCGGCCGCGGGAGGGTGATGGCGAGGGAACTGACGGTTCTGCTCCTGTGGATAATCAGCAGCCGGAGGAGGTGACCGGCACGTCGACTGAGGGTGGTCCAGTGCAGCCCGTGGTCCCTGAGCCCAGCACGGGCAACGCTATTGACGACGTCAATGGTTCGAATGGCGTCAGCGGTTCTAATGGCGTTGAGGGCACCGATGGCGTCAACGGTGCTAACACTGCCAATGGCAACAATGGCAACAATGGTATCAATGGTGCTAATGGTAACCCCAATGCCAACGGCACCAACGAGAATGGAGTGTATGGGGTGCCGCGGCGTCGAGATCGCGGTTCAAACTGCCTGAACCCGTACGTTCCATATAAGGCACCGTTTGAGGCGTACAGGCGCTGCCCCTGCTCGGCGTGCCGGGCGGATGCGCGGACGGTCTACGTAGCTCCGATTCACGTTAAGAACGGGGATCGGGCTGCCACACTACGGGAACTGACGGCGTATGTCAGCCAGTGGGGGTATGTGGAAGCCACCGACCCCAAAAAGGCTAGGAGCCACCAGGCGCATTACGTTCTTGTTCGTTTCGCTGCTGAGCAGAGCGCCCATCTCGCTGTCCAGGGTTCCATAGAGAGGAACCACACTCACCCCACGCTCGGCCGGGTCAAGATCACGTATCCGCATTTTTCGCCGTTCTTCCGCAACGCGGTGTCGCGTCAAACGAGCTGGGGGACGAATGACTCGGGAAATAATGGCAACCCTACTGCTAAGCACGGAAATGCAAGCGGAAACGGAACCGGGAACAGGAACGCTTCATCCACCACTGAAACTGGGACTCCTGGTTTTACCACGCCGAACAAGCGGGTTGGATTTCAGTACCAGCCCCAGAGCTCTCGGTCGTCCGCACCGCGATATCAGCCGCAGCAGCAAGGCTCGGCCCATCGGCCCTCGACGACGGTGAAGACGCCGCCCTCGCAAATTGTTCCTCAGTATGGCAATTCCGGTTCCGCTGGACATGGCCCCGCGACCTCGCGTTCGTGGGCCGCATCGGGGTACCATGGTAATCAGAACAATAACTCCGGCCGCGGAACCCCTGTGTACCCGCAGAACCGCAGTGGCTTCTCGCCTGCTGGCTCCAACGGCTACAATCCTCAGAACCAAGGCCAGAATGGCTATTATGGGGCGCAAAACACGCCCCAACGTCCGGTCTCTGGTCCCGGCACCCCGGGATTCCAGCAGCAGTCGCAGAACCAGTGGCAGCAGCAGCGATCTTCTTTGAACCCGCTTGCGCCTGCCCAGTTTGGTCAGCAGGTCACGCCCTCGGTTATGCATCAGGGGGCTTGGGGAACTCATAAAAACTCTGCATTGCACCTGCCTCGCGTGCCTCCTAGCCTCGGAACACAGCAGCAGGCCCATGTGCCCCAGCACCAGGGCTCTCAACAGCAGTTTCCTCAGCAGGGCCAGCAAGTGTTGCAGACTCCCCAGCAGCATAATTCCAACCAGCACAAACAGCAGGAGGATGCGCTGCTGGACAACTTCCGGATGTCCCCCGAACATAATGGACCGGTCCCGGGTGTAGACACCGGCGTGCAACATCAGAGCGAACCGCAACAAGCTTTTACCGAATCTGGACAGCATGTTGGCTCTGGTCCCGTTGAGTCAGCCTCCTCGGTGAATCCAGTTCCCTCAACTGTTTCTGCCTCGCACGAATCGCAACCCCTCGACAACGGCGACGCCTCGATGCAGACCAAGCCAGCTAGCGAGGACGTGGCTTTCGACGATGCCGAAGCCGACCCCGCCGCGGGCGATGCGTCCGGCACCAGCGACGCTGCTTCTAAGACCGGCAGTATCCGGGTCCGCCTTCCGACCCTACCAACCTTTGGGTTCAAGGATGAGGCCGAGGCCAACAAGGACGACGGGGATGACTGGGTCATTCTGCCCGCGCGTGACAACGTCGCCCGGGGCAATCCGGTCCGGCGCACTATCACGTTTGGCGACATGCCGCCCGTGGAAGTGGGTCCCAAGGACGATGTTGTGCTGCAGAACAGTGCGTTCCAGGCCGACAACCCGGTGCGAAACATTCGGTTTGGTGACATGGTGCGTCCTGAGCCTTTGCCTGCCCAGCCCACACCTCGAGCCACGACGCAGCCCGCGACTCAGCCTGCGACTCAGACTGCTCAGGGACCTGCAGTGCCGGAGTTTATGCCGTCTCACAACAATCCTATTCCGAACTTGGCAGATATCCGCAGGCCTAGGGGCCACTCATCTGGTCATGGTCAGCCCTTTGGGCATCCACGTCCGTGGCAGGGACCGCATCACTACCACAACGGTTCTCAGTACCAAAATGGACCGTATCCTCACAATGGACAGTATTTTCAGGGTGGACAATATCCTCAGGGTGGACAATATCCTCAGGGTGGACAATATCCCCAGGGCGGACAGTTTCCCCAGGGCGGACAGTTTCCCCAGGGCGGACAGTTTTCCCCTGGTGGGCAGTATTCTCAAGGCGGACAGTATCTTCAGGGCGGACAGTATCATCAGGGTGGACAGTATCACCAGAACGGCCAGTACCCCCAACACCCCCAAAACGGCTACTACGAGCCCCAGCCTGGATACTATCAGCCGCACAACGGGTTCATTCCTCCTGCGAACGGCGAGTACTACCCACAGCAGAACCCCCAGACTCGGGGCGGGTTTCAGCCGTATCCGTCTCAGACTGGATTCCATTATCAGTCTCCACCCCGTGGATCTAACGCACCTCATAACGGCCATCGGCAGCCGAGCCACCCCAGCCCGGCGCTGACCAACGTCGCCGAGAATTATCCCACCGAAGGGGCATTCACACGACAGACGTTTGAGGCGGATAACGTCCAGGCTAGCCACCGTGGCGTCGGAGACATCCGTCTAGAGCCGGACTTCAACAGCACTGTGATCGTCCGCCGTCCGGCCTCGGGCCGCAACCAGGCGCTGCCCTGGATGGACGACTCGGACTACGTTCGCAGCGGATCGCAAGCCTTACGGGCCGCATCTCAGGGTACTAGGCATGGAGCCTCTCCAAGCCCATCGTCGAATGCGCCACCTTCTGGGGCGGAACCTTCTCCTTCGAGCCAGGCTCAGGCCCAGGGGCCTTCCAACCCAGTCCCTCCGCACCTTCGGCCCCCGGCCACTCGGCGGCCTTCCTCCACTCCCCCGGGCGGGAACAGTACCCCCGATGGCAGTAACCCTGGTATGTCCAGGCCGAATTCTAAGAAGAAGAACGGCAACAGGTGGAATAAAAACAAGTCGGGTCTCAAAACGCAGAACAACTCGCGTCAAAATTCTGGCAACAACTCCTGCAACCCATCTCGCGCTCCCACCCCACTTCCCCTGAGGCTCGAGAGTGGGACTACGACGCCCGTATTTGTCTCGGACACCGCCGGCGGACCGGGACCGGCTCAGCCCAAGCGTAAGAACAAAGGCAAGGGTACAGCTCGTCCTCCCCAGGGGCAGACTACTCAGGACCAGTCGGGGCCATCCAGCCTTACTGGCCCTGCAACGACCACTAGAAATGAAGGCGGCAGTGGTGCTCAGACAATTGCACCGGCTCAGGTCACTGCTCGTAGGACTGGTAGCAGCGTTGTCGACGACCAGACTGTCAGCGAGACTGCCAACAATAGGATTGCTGACAACGGGACTGCCGGCAACGAGGTTGTTAACAACGGGACTTCCAAAAATAGGACTGCCGACATTAGGGCTGCCGACATTAGGGCTGCCGACATTACGACTGCCAGCGAGGGTGTCCCCCGGCCGACCACTCCCACTGGAGACGCCGAGAACACCACCGCAACAGCCGTTGGAGCGCGGAACAACGACGACGACCTCTACTGTGCCACACCCCACATGGGCAGCAGAAGCAGCCTCGCCCCGGTTACCGGCTCGCCAATTGCCACCTCATCCCACGACTCTATCCAGCGTCATGAAGAGGGGTAGGAACCCCCTCATACGACTGAGCACAAGGGTGGGGAGAGGAGTGCTTCTCAAGGCCGTGGTGAGGATAGCTCTCGTGCTGAACCGGCGCCGGAAGAGAGGAAGGTGTCTGCTGTGTCCGTGGAAGGGGACAAGAAGGGCGCAGACGACAAGGTTGCCGGCAACGAGGAGGCAGTGATTAAGGGCGCAGTGAACAAGACTGATGGTGGCCCGAAAAGCAAGAAGAAGCAGAGGGCTGCGTCTAAGAAAGAGGCGGCCAGTGCCAATAACTCGAGTGCCGGTAAAAAACAGGCGGCCAACTCGAATGCCGGCAAGAAGTGGACGGGTGGCGCAGAGAAAGCCTCAAAGGGCAGTGGAACGGTAAGTACACAATGCCAGGGAAACAAAAAGGAAAGCTTCTAACAACGGTCCAGACTAAGAACCAAAACCTCAACGCCAGCGTCCGCAGGAACGAGTCCTCTTCCACCCATGATAAGAAGCCGACCAACGAGAGTGATCAACCTGCCAACAGACCGAACAGGATTAGAAACAGGATCGGTATTTCAGCACCGGCCGTTCCCAACCCAAACGAGGGCAGCGGCAGTGTCGGCAGCGGTGCCAGTGCCAATAACTACCGCACCGAGGGGGGTGGCTCACTCCGCATTCCACGCCAGCGTAGGCGCGGCGGCGCTAGGATGCACGTACGCGATATCTTCTTTACCGACACCCAAGACAGGGCGCAGCAGGAGTAGGAGTCTGCCGAGCCTTCGGCAAAGCATGGAATGGGCGGCGATGAAGAAGATGCAGCAGGTGGGAGTGATCACAATGGAGGGGAAAGTCAGGCGGGTAAGTCTGAGAGTCAGGCTGGCTCTGAGAATGGTGTGGAGGAGAGCCAAGAAGAAAGTGGTATCGACGAGGAGAACGACGGCGAGACCACGACAAAAAATCAACAAAACCCGACAAAAAAATCCAAAAAGAAAACGAAAAAGAACAAGAAACGAGGTGGTAAAAAGAAGAAGGGAAACGCTGGACCCGGACCAGACACCCGCGGGCCCAACCCACAAAACGAGAACCGTCCTCATCGCCGCTTCGTCCCCGAGGCATGGGCGCACCACTTTCTCGTCGCCGTCTTTGTGGTTCTCTTCTGTCTCGTTTTGGTCCGCTCCTTTCAGTACTGGTTCCAACCCCCTCCTCAGCAGCAATACACCCAACAGCGCCAGTCTCTGCGTAAGCAGCAACAGGCTCTGAAGAGGGCGCCTCAGCCCGTGGTGCTGCCGCCTGTTATGGGGGATGGAACTGCACGGCCGCCGTCGGGGGCTAAGCAACCACATCAGCAGCAGCAGAATCGGGGTGGATTTCCTGTCAGGAAGGGAGGAGGGGGATCGTCGGCGTGGTCGAAGGGGAGGAAAATGGTATAGGGTGCACGAGTTCCTGAGTTGATGGAGAGTTTGAGGGATTGGTATCATACGGTTCTCGTATATACGCGGTTTGATGGGCTTGGGTTGTTTGATGGGTTGGACTGGTTGGATGGGTTGGTTGATTTGGTGGGGTTGGTTGGTTTGGTGGGTGTGGTTGGCTTCTTTGGGCTTGATGGATTGAGGGCAGCGCAGAGATTGACTAATCGCTTGGTTGATGGTTGGTTGGTTGATGGATGGATGGATGGATGGATAGTTGGTTGGTTGGTTTGGGGGATGATGACCGTCATGATTGATGATTGATGATAACGGGGGAGAGGATGATTGGGACAGGCAAAGGCAAAGGGAGACGCAGGTGTAGCGTATATGTATGACTATTGAGACTCGAGACTGGAGGTTGACGGTTGGGGTGGACGGGGTGAGGATGATAGCCTTCTCGAGTAGTGATTCGTGATCATGATCATAGCGGTAAAAATATACGTATGGTTGGGTCACTGACTTATGATTGTCCTGACATGTTTGAGTTACTTGTAATGGGGCTGGTTGTGGGTGTGTATTGTTGACTGTGTAATATTGATGTGTACCTCTTGCTGTGTGTTAGTCAATGTGTGCCGTATCGTGTATCACCACCGGCTGTGGAGTAATGAAGACATTTAAGAGACAACTAACCCGTTGTGGACTACGATGGTTTTTGACACGGCACCATGTATTTGGAGGGAGATATTTAACCAAAATATTTGATGGCCTTGAAGATTGATGAATTTAGGTAGGGAAATAATTCGTAACTAAAAGATATATTCACGGCGATATTGACAGAGCCAGCATCAGACTTGTCACTTATTGTCTATTAAGTGGGATGGTCAAGTTATGGTCTTGAGTGCTGCCATCATGACAAGACATCCGGGATGTAAGTGGCTTGGAGTTGACGGGATCATATGTGATAATACCATATCACAACACACCCACGATAGTATATTAGATCATTTTCTTTTCTCCCCATGGTAAACCTGTAACCTCTCTCCATACCACCGAGCCGCCAAATCACCCCCATTGGCATGCCCAACAAACTTGGTCAGACAGATTTCACGTTTACATCGATTTATTCGTCTACGTATTGATACACCAAGGAGAAGCATAATCATGTATCATCACCCTTGCCCCGGTGCTACGGCAGTATCTCCCCAGTAACTACCCCTTGACTATCCCTCCAGTATCAACTACCTTGATAACGGCCTTGTTTCAACGAACCTATACAGATTGACAGAGGGCTGTGTTCACATTACCATTTCCAAATATCAACTAGACAAATAACTACATGTATCAAGGACATATCTACAACGGAGATTCTGACATTCATTCATTCCTCCCCACTATCCCCCCACAAATCCCACCCCATGTCCCATCCATTCATCCTTCATGTACATATGTGCGTGCAAGTGTATATGTGCAAGTGTATAGGTGCAAGCGTTTGTGTGTGTAGTATGGTACGTAACCCGCCCGTCCGCCCGTAATTTCATCATCCCGTTCCCATTCTAGTGTCATCATTACCCTTTCCACGCCTATTTACGTACATAAACTCGTCTTGGTCTTTAAACAAATCCATTCCATTATACTCTGCCCTGCCTGCCCTGCCTGCCCTGCCTGCCCTGCCTGCCCTGCCTGCCCTGCCTGTCCAGCTTCAATAACTAGCTAGCTAGCTAGCTTCATTACCTAGCCATCCCCTTCCCCCTCTTCGAAACCCCCTTAGAAAGGAAGTATTGGCAGCGCCTCCATCTTGAGAAGAAAGTATATGTAGAGCCCACGCTCACATGACAGAGCACTCGCCCTCCTGCTGCTTGCCAATCTTGCTTCTGGATATCCTCTCTCTCGCGCGCGGGCCACTTTTACCGGAGCGTTTGAGATCCTCGAGGCGCTCTCTCGCTTTGGGGAAGTCCTGGGCTGTCGTGGTTCGTTAGTACCGCCTCCTAATACGCTTGCCTACTTATGCCATAGTAAATAAGGAAAGGGGGGGAAGAGGGAGAGAAAACTCACCAGCAGCCCTCCAATACCACCTCTTAGCATCCTCCAAATTCGCCGGCACGCCAATCCCCACCTCCGTAAAATACCCCATCGCATACTCCGCCTTACTCAGCCCAGCCATCGCCGCCTTCCGCGCCCACAAATACGCCTCCGTATCGCTCTGCTGCAACACCCCCTCGCTGCCCGTCAGGTACCAGCCCGACAGCGCCAGCTCGCTCTGGTGCTCTTCCTGGATCGCGGCCCGACTGTACCACATGATGGACAGCCTCGGGTCGATCGGGCATCCCAACAGGCCGTATTCGTGTGCACACCCGAGACGGAACTGGCTGAATTTGTAGCCGAGCTCGGCGGCTTGCTGGAAGAGCTGGCAGGCGTAGGCTTCGTCGCGGAGGATAACGTCGTTGGGCTCGGCGCTTTCGTATAAGAGGGCTAGTTCGTGGAGCGCGTGGGGGTTATCGGCGGTGGCGCGTTCGGCGGCGCGTTTGAGCCAGCTGATGGCCTCGCGGGGGTTGCGGGGCTGGCCGAGGAGGCCCTTGATGAGGATCATGCCGACTTTGTACATGGCGGGGGTATCGCCGAGGGTGGCGGCGCGTTTGTACCATTGGATGGCTTTGAGCGGGTCCTTGCGGGTGCCGCCGCCTTCGTCGTTGCCGATTTCGCAGCAGACGGCGGTGCGGTAGGCGGCGGCGGCGTGGCCGAGTTTGGCGGCGGATTGGTAGAGGGAGAAGGCGTGGGCGTGGTCGGGTTCGCTGCCGAAGAGGCCGCGGCCGAGGCTGTCGGCGAGGAAGAACATGGCGTCGGGGTTGTTGGCTTTTTCGAGCTTGCGCAGGATTTTGTGGGCGTCGGCGAGGTAGCGGTCGCGGGAGCGGGCGCGGGCTTTGGGGTCGGGGAGGTTGGGGACCAGGGCGTCGGAGGCTGCGACGAGGCGTTTGGCGAGCTTGAGGGCTGATGCTTGGTCGGACGGGTCGTTCTTAACCACCGCGCGGAGGTGCTCTAGCTCTTCGACTGTTACAGGGGGTTCGGCCGGTTTAGCCGCCGCGGGCGCAGTAGCAACCACCTGTTGTTGTTGTTGTTGCTGCTGCTGCATCGGCGTCGGACCACCACCTCCACCTCCCTGTTGCGGGTAGCCGCCACCCATAGGGGGTGTAGACGTGTTGGTGCTGCCGCTGTAGTGTCGAACCGGGGGCGGGCGGTCGGTCAAGTTGACCATGGAGCCGGGCATGTGCCCAGGACGTACAGGCGTCGGATGCGAGGGGAGATTGTCCGGGCTCGGCCCGGGTTGGGGCGAAACCTGCATGCCTGGACGGTACGGCGCCGGTCCCGGGGGTAAGCCGCCTGGGCCTGGCGAGGGGCGTTGTTGACCCTGATACGGGTGCGGGCCGCCTGGTTGTTGGTGCGCAGTAGGCAATGGTGGGACATCGGCGGCCATTTCGAAGACGGCGGTCTGGGAGTTGCGCAGGTCAGGTTGGGACTTGGCGCGGCTGACCTCGGGGTACCGGCCGGGGCCACGCTGGGACTGTTCTTGAGGACCGCCGGGTTGCATGTGCTGGTCAAACGAGTTCCTCGGCTGCTGCTGCTGCTGCTGCTGCTGTTGCTGCGAGGACATGGAGTCGAAATCGGGAAGCTCAGACGCACCCGACGGAGGATGTCCGTTCTGTTGTCCAGGATATCCACCATTCCCGTCGTCGCCATCATAATAATCATAAAACTCGTCAATAGAAGCCGGCCGTTCCTGACCGTACCCCGAATCAGGCCCATTGTTCCTCTGCGGCGGCTCCCGATACCCCCCCTGCGGCCCACCACCGTTACCACCCGGGGGAAAGATCCTCGGCGGCGGCTGTCGCATGCCCTGCGCCGTGCTCGGTCTCTGCGGCGCACCGCGAGGGTTGATCGGACCATGATACGGCGCACTATCCCGTCTGACCGGACCTCCCGGATGCTGAAAGTCCATCTGATCCCTATTCGGCATGGTCATGCTCCGACTCGGCGGTCCAAAGTTCTCTTCCGGCGGTCCGTACCCAGGGCCCTGTCCGGCCGGAGGTCCAGGAGGTCCGCGTCGCTGGTCGGGATACTCTGCCCCCGGACGATAAGGCTGCGGCGGACCACGAGGCGGACCCGTCGGCCCAGGTCCCCCGTAGCCGTTCTGTGGAGGTCGCATCGGCCCTACGCGCTGCTGAGGCGGTCCTCTCGGTCCCGGGCGCTGCCCCCCTGATATATCCATACCCTCCATCTGCGCCACCATCTGCCGTTCGTGGTCCGGATGTCCTCCGGGGCCGGGACGTCCGCCACGACTAGGTGGGGGATACCCTCGACCACCAGGACCAGGACCAGGACCAAAGTTGCCACCACCACCACCACCACGAGGCGGATAACCTCCCCTTCCAGGCGGAGGCCTCATTGGACCCCCACGTCCACCACCAGGCATTGGCCGTCCCCCACCACCACCTCCTCTACCATGCGGCCCCGGCCCCCCAGGCCCAGGCTCATAATAATCCTGTTGGCCATAACCGCCGTCGTCATACTGCTGCCCGCCATACCCCCCCTGATCATAACCCTGATCGTACCCACCTCCACCTCCACCCCCACCCGCGTATTCGTCGTACCCGTGGCCGTTGCCATACCCGTCGTCTTGGTATTGGTCGTACTGCTGCTGTGGCTGCTGTTGTGGTCCTCCGGGGTAATGTCGCTGCGGCGGGGGGCGTTGTGGACCACCGGGTCCTCCCCCGCCGCCGTATGGGCTGTTGTAGGCCATTATGTCCTCGTGATTCTCAGCGCGTGGTGTTACGTTTTATCTTCCGCGCCGAAGAGATCTCGTCCGTATTGCGGAGCGGTTTCGGGTTTTGTGTGTTCCAAATTGGTGTCGTGTCAAATATACAACTCGCCGCGGGCAAATCGAATCGAATCTCGCGACCGGTGTTGACCACTCGCTCAACCAACCAACAATCGTCCGTCCCTCTCGTCGTCGGTAGCCGCTGAACTCGTTGGTTGATGTAGTCGGCAAAGCCTAGTAGTTTAGATCAAGCGCGCATCGCAACCCAGGCAGGCCACAAGGCGAGTTCGAGCGGTTGAGTTGGGTTGACAGCGGGGAATCTTCGAGTCGCAGGCTTTTTTTCGGTTTGATTGTTTGTTTGTCGGTTTGTTTGCGTGTTTTGGGAAATTTCGGCGGAATTAATAAGGGCGCGGAGCTCGAAATCGTGGGAACCGGGGATGGTTGCTTAGTCGGCGGCCTCACACGACCTGGAGCTGCTGAGCGCAGTTCGTTCGCAAGCAATGGAGTGTGAATGCCCGGCCGGGGCGCACAGCCAATGCCGTTCTTGAAGAAGCGCTGTTCAAGAGGCGAAATAGTTAAACAAATGAAGAGAAAAAAATGTATAAAAAAATAAGACGCCAACAGCAAGGAGTGGACTGGTCGGCGTGATCTAGGGAACCTGAAGCTGCTAGAGTAGGTAAAAAAACAAACTGCTTCTTTGTGTTGCGGGGGATGGACGGGACGAGAGAAAAGGACGAGAAGGGCTTCAGGTTCAGGTTCACCCGGGCACAGGCGCAGCTCGGAGGCACAGGAACACCCTTCCGGGCGGGAGCACCCCTCAGATTTGCAGCGCGGGGCCAGCCCCAGGCCAGGGGTAGTTGGGTTGTGACACGCCGCATGGAAGGGTTCCCAATACAACCCTGCGTAATCTGCAGGAGGAATCACTGCCAGAATAACGTTACTTTCCAGTCTATTAACCCCAAAGGGGTTCTTGCATTCACAAAGTTACGAGGTTTTCCCCGAACAGACCTTCTCGAAAATTCGACCGACCCTCCCAGCAATTTCCATCTGTACATGGTAGTTGATTGTAATAGCAAAAACCGCCATTCCGTCCTTCATCACAGCGAACACCAGCTTATTTGTTTGCGATCCCCCGTCTCCCCAACCTGGTTGCAACTGAAACGGATGGGCGTGCCACCCAGGTTAGGCGGTCGATGCAGCTTGTCCCCCGTGCGTGCTTCATTATAACCTAGAACCGATATAAGACAGCAACACAGCAATGGGGAGCCACCACAGGATTTCGGAAGGTCAGCTGCACCACCTGCGGGTTCCCCTCTCCCAAAAGCTGGGTCTGTCGTGACGATCAACAGGTCCCTGGCTGTGGTGCCTCCCAAACAGCCCCTGCCAACCCTTGTGGTACAGTACAATACATGAGGACCGGCGAGAAAGGCTGACTGTTCCACGCTGCCGCACCGGGCGGTAACCGCTGTTTGGCTCCTATACGCTATGCTCCCGATCGGAGTTTTGTTTTTCAGCCCCCTTCAGGCCGCAACTCTTTTTGGTCGGCCCGGACCACTGTGCAGCGTTACGCGGAGGGGCCAAAGAGCAACCATGCAGGTGTCGTCGGATTTTCGGGATCGTCGCATAAGACCTCAACATTTTGGACTCCGGGTTTCGTAACATACCTTACCTTTGTCAAGGGCCCTTGGACGACGTCACCGAGACGTGAAAACTCCAAGTCGGAACAAATGCCCCCTGTCAGCCGCTGAGACCCGGTACTTTCCGCATGGATGGCCCTGGCACTCGTTTCGATATCAACTCGAGAGGCCTCCTCGGTCGAAAACCCGGTATTACCTGGAGACAGCTGTTGTTGAGCGCTGGAGGATTCTGAGCCAACAGCTGACAGGTAGGATGAAATCTGGAGGGGCCCAATCTGATGCCTCGAAGAAATCCGACCTTAATGGCATGGTGCCGACTGGTGTGTCTCCTAAAAGAAACTGTCAACTGGAGACATTCGGGGGCCGGCTTCGGGCGAATGAGGTTCCTGAGACCGCACCGTTGAAGGCCATGGGGTCGTGGGGCAAGGTCATGCGGGAGAACCCCCGCCGAACCCATCCAAGGTTGCTGCCAAGCAACGCCAAGCCCGCTCGAGTCAGGGAGCGCACGGCGAAGGTTTTTGGCGGCTGACGAGACGGGATGACAGGCTGTCTCTTGGCCTGCTGGGCTGTGGCTTTGGGATGCCAACTGTTGGCGGCTGTCATAGAAATGGTCATGTTCCTCACGGTCCATTTCTGCCGCACCCGCCCGCTTTGAGTCCATTGACCTCATCGAGCGCCCGAACTTGAATGGGCGAATCAAGAGCCCGGTAATTGGCGATGCAAGGAGCAAACTTGATGAGAAGAAGAGAAGTCTTTTGATCTGTATCCTAGAGAACATCAACCGCTAGCAACGAGGAAAATCAATTCCATTCTCACCATGGCGAAAAAGCCCTTCAATTGGTGGCTCTGGGCCAAGATGCTTGCTGTGTGAGTTGCCGGAAAGGATTTGGAGTTATGAAAAACAAACACACCTCTAACAAGGCCACAGGGGCGGCGGTATCTGCTACGGGGGTCCTGCTTTGGTGCGATACGTACAGCCCACGGAAGAGGAGCTCTTCCAGAAATACAACCCGGAACTTCAGAAACGGAGTCTGGAGAATCGAGCCCAACGGGAGCAGGAGTTCGACGACTTCGTAAACAGGCTCAAGAAGTATTCCAAGTCAGACAAGCCAAGTACGTATTTGAGTGTTCTGTTCAAGGTGTCTCCGATAACTCAGAGCTAACGAGGGTATAGTATGGACCGTTCAGGCGGAGGCTGAAAAGGAGGAAGCGAAGCAAGCGTCAATTGCTGCCTCGTTAAAGTTGGCCGACGAAATCAAGGCCAAGCGGGAAGCCATCAGGAGAGAAGCCGGGCTTCCGGTCGAGCCTGCCTCCTCTGGACGCAAATCATAATCAACTGTCGTTACAAAGCAGGAGCGAGCGGTGTTGAGTTGTGTACGATCTAAATTTTACGATGCGGTCTTTTGAGACCATATTCAGTTTGAGAGCAAGGGCCGGAAGGCCTTTATGGGGTGGCTGAAAACTTGAGCGGCGAGCAATGGAAGGCATTGTGTCGGGCTGAAGGCGGGCAGTTCTTATCCATCGGCGTTGGCGCTAAGAGGTGTGGGAATGGAATTCAATGACCCCTACTCAATTGCAATATATTTTGATGATGACCCGTTCACCTTTTTTAAGAATATGTTCTCCGCTGCCTGGGAGTTAAAAGTCAAGCTTGCGACCCGAAGCTATCCAAGGTGAGGGGTCGGTGAGGCTCGGTCAGTGGCTGCGAAAGCGGGGCAAATAGTTATTGCGGCAGCGAAAAATATCCAGGGCCGAGACGCACACAATTTCTGCAACCACCGACGACCGGACACGGCTTTAAGGCATCGCGGGGCCTATCACGATATTCCTGAGTAGATCCGAGACCGATAATATCCCGGATCAACAGAGTACGTTCGAATCTCCCCCTTTGCGCCCGCGACAATTGCATTTGCCCCGCCACGAGCCAAACACTTTTTGTCTCGGTTGTGCGTTTTTGCGTTGGCCCCCGAGAGCTGCCCTAGGCTTACTGATTGACCCAAGCTGAGAACTCACCGAGTTCTCCCCGGCCACTCGACACCCCACCAACACTCCATCACATATCCCAACATGGCGGACGCGGAAGTTCAGGAAAGGCTCAAGAAGCTGGGCGCTTCTGCGCGTATCGGTATGTTGTCGCTGGTTTCTCTCAATTTTTCGTCCCTCCCCTCATGTTCTTGGTTCCCCGCTCTCGATCATCCCACTAACCCACCTCGCCGGCAGGGTACGTTGAAACACCACGCAAAATCGCCGAATTCCCTCAAACCCGAACATACCTATCGCACGTCGCATCGCAAAAGTAAACCGAGATTCTGACGAAGATGTGTAATAAACAGTGGCAAGGGTACTCCCCGCCGGAAGGTGAAGCGTGCGCCCGCGCGCTCTGCCGGCGATGACAAGAAGCTCCAGCAGTCGCTGAAGAAGCTGAATGTCCAGCCTATCCAGGCCATTGAGGAGGTTAACATGTTCAAGAGCGATGGCAACGTCATCCACTTCGCTGCTCCCAAGGGTTTGTCACAGTCTACTCCGGGACATTGAAAAGATGGAGGGGGAATTGCTGACAATTTTTTCTCCCATTCAACAGTGCACGCTGCCGTCCCGGCCAACACTTTTGCCATTTACGGCAACGGCGAAGACAAGGAGCTTACGGAACTAGTTCCCGGCATTCTTAACCAGCTTGGCCCGGACTCGTTGGCGTCGCTCCGCAAGCTCGCCGAGAGCTACCAGAACATGCAGAAGAACGAGAAGCCCGAGGAGGCTGATGATGATGAGATCCCCGAGCTCGTGGCCGGCGAGACCTTCGAGAACAAGGTCGAGTAAAGACCTTGATTTAAACAACGAGAAATAAATCTTTACCGCACCCTGGTCCTATTGCACCCTGCCTGTTTGGTGTCGTTGAAAAGGGATGGAATACCCGTTGTGTGAGTCTGATTCGGGAGGAAGAAAACGGGGTCTCTGGAATCCATTGCATCGTCGGTCTCGGGCCCGGAGCATGAAGGAAAGGAATTAAGGTGGATTCCTAGCATCCCGCCAATTGCTAGGAGCGGGTGATCATGTGTAAAGGGCATCGCGGCCAACATCTGTGCCATGGTCCTCATAGCACAATACGTACCCGAATACAGTACGGATATATGCAGTCACAAGCCAAACTCGCCGTCGCCAGTGTTCCGAATCCAACCCTTCAACGCTTCCCCCCTGACAGTCTCCTTTACCCTCCTTCTTGCTTCCAACGATGCCGATTCTTTCACCCCATCATACCTCTCCGTTCGCAACTCCCGCAATATGCCTTCATCTCCCATCATCTCAGCCACTTCCACCGCAGCCTCCCACATCCTCCGACGTGATGTCAGACTTGCCCCCTTCAAGTCAAACGCCTTTCTGCCCTGCAACACACCCCCAATCAACCCCTCCTCAACCTCCCCTCCCGCAGTCCACGCAACAGCCAGATTACTCGCCACCATCTTCACCTTGCTCCCCCCCTCATCACCATCAGCAGCAGCAGCAGCGGCGGCAGCCTCCTCAATCCCCCTCCTCGAAAACCCAAACTCCCCCCCACTCACAACCTCCACCCTAAACGGCCAAAACCCATAACCACCCCCCTCCCAATCCCGGGCCCTCCCCTCAACAACAACAACCCCCGCCATCCGTCCCCCCTCCCCAAAACACCTCCGACACCCCTCCTCCGAAAACTGCGACGCCGGCAGCACCAACGTAGCCAAATACACATTCTCCGGTGAGACAAACAGCGATACTAACGAGTTGAGCAGGGAGGTACATTGTTTCAGGGCGAGTTTGTCGCTGCATGATTTGGAGAGGGTTGGGGGGGCGTCGGCGCGGGAGGGTTTGCGGCGGACGATGCCTAACTGGGAGAAGTAGCCGCGGCCGAGGAGGGGGGTGGGGGAGGGAGTTTGGGGTGGTGGTGATGGTGATTGTGATGGTGAGGGGGGTTGAGGGGGAGGGGGGATGTCCCAGGGGGTGGCGTCGTCTTGGGATGACATGATGAGTTCCATTGAGGCGTCGCCGCCTGGTGTTAGGTTAGAACGATCACTTATGATAGTCTGACAGTCTGTGATAGGAGGTAAGGGGTGGTGTGCGTACATGGTGCTTCAGAACAATACATGTGTAAAATTAGTTCCTCACGCCAGGTAAAAGGCTGCTGGTGCCACGGCCCGTCTTCGGGGGTTTGAGATAACTCATCAGGAGTTCTTCGTCGGAGGTACTCAGACGTGGCGGAACTGTCCTGGGCTAGGCGTCTGCACTCGTCGAGTATGAGCCGGTTGAAGGCTCGGATAACTAGAACTTCCGCGTGCCAGTCATGGAGGGCGATACCCCTGGATTGTGCGAGTTTGGAGGCTGGGAGGCATTTCATGCCGGTGCTATTGAGGGTTGGTATGTGATCAGCCCAGGGGAACGGGGGTGAGATATGTGACGGTGAAAGCGCTTCAGCCCGTGGATATCGACTCACGCCAACGCAACACATTTTAGGCCGTTCGGGCCTAAATTTTGAGTAAGAATCTAAATGAAAGATCCACGGGGCAGGCTCTATAGCCATCACGCACCTTCAACAACGATACTGCTCAGGGGTACCCATTCGCGGATGCCATTGTCACGGACGGCCGGTTTTCGTTTCGCGGGGAGCTTTTTGAATTCTTCTAGAACCACCGACGCTATGGAATCAGCATGGAGGTCCATCTTCGACTCGTTGAGTCGAAGGGTTGATGTGTTAAGGTACTTGACCGTGGTGAAAGACGAGGGATGGGCAAGTCTACTTAGGGTTAGGGTTAGATATGGCGTCACGTTTTCGAGAAACGCTCATCTTTGCGCCGTCCCAAAGCTGTTACCCTGAGAGTATTAGTCAAACAAAATCTTGGGACCTGCAATGCATTTTATTTTTGACAAGTAACATTTCCCGCATTTTTTTGGTTCCCTCAACTCATGCTGCTCATATTCCGAGTGACGATGTTGAGTGTGGCTTGTGCGTCAGATGCGCCACGCTTGGGCCACATTTCCAAAGTGGGACGGGCGCAGCAGCCTATCACAGGGCAGCCCTATCCCACAACCTGCACCAAAGAATTTGGCGAAAATCGACCTGGAACCTTGAACTTTGAGGAAGCAACCCCGACAACGACAATCGACAACCACCGCCAAAATGAGGACTTACGACGATAGTTTCTCCGGCCAGCGGATCTACCCCGGCAAGGTACGGATTGCCCCTTTCCCGCGATCGAGTCGAACCCCCCAATATTTCGCCAAATCCCCTTCCCCGAGTCCCACGGCGATCCGGAGATTACACGACGAGTCGAACGACGCCAAATGAGGGTCGGGAAGGGGGATCTGCCGACGCGGATTTTGGGGGGAACTGAAATTTTGGCTGCAAGACCACCAATTCTGACGATATTGTGCACTGCAGGGTAAGCTGTACGTCCGTGGCGACAGCAAGATCTTCCGCTTCCAGAACGGCAAGTCCGAGTCGCTCTTCCTCCAGCGCAAGAACCCCCGCCGTATTGCCTGGACCGTCCTCTACCGGAGGCAACACCGCAAGGGTATCTCTGAGGTACGATCTTTCCGCAGCCCCGCACATAGACGAAAGAGGGGGAATGGACGATGGAGAGAAGGTGGAGGGTTATCAGGATGAACGGTGTTAGATTCGAAAACGGAACTGGCGGGAAAGGGGATAAACATCACCTAAACAAAACAGCTCGCTGACCCCTTCACAGGAAGTCGCCAAGAAGCGGACGCGCCGCACCGTCAAGTCGCAGCGTGCCATTGTTGGTGCTTCGCTCGATGTGATCAAGGAGCGCCGCTCGATCCGCCCCGAGGCCCGCAGCGCCGCCCGTCTGGCCGCCATCAAGGAGAGCAAGGAGAAGAAGGCGGCCGAGCAAGCCGCCAAGAAGGCTGAGAAGGCCAAGAACGCCGCGGCCGCTTCCAAGGGCCAGTCCAAGGGCCGCATTGCCAGCAAGCAAGGATCGAAGGGTGCGCAAGTCAAGGTCGCTGCCAACACCCGTTAAAGGGGGGGTTCTCTTCTCTGTGTTCGGCGGTTGCTTGGGTCTGGGTCCGGGAAATGGGGTCAAGGGTTGCGTGTTCTTTTGAGGGAAGGGCAAACGGGAAAGCAAAGGCATAAGAGGAGCGCAATAGATGAAACGGTCCTATCTTAAGGTCTTGAAACCCGTGTGGCCGGGAAAGGAAAACGCTGGAGTCGGTCGGTCGATACTCGGTTTTTTTTGTGCCTGCCTAGCCCGCTGTAAAGGGGCTTCTGCTCTCATAACAACCATCTTGTTTCCCGAAGGAGCGAGTCGTATGAACGATGTGTGATATTGGTGGGAGGGACAGTTTGCATGGGTAGCTTACGGGATGCCAACTTGATGCATTTGCTCTAGTCATTCACCCTCGGCCTGTCTATGAACAACTAAGTGAACCCAACGGCCGTATATTTCACAGCACGATCGTCATAGCCTACCCTTGACCACTTGCAGCCGCCCCTCTTTGTACACAGGCAGGAGGCTCTCTACCATCACTCAGAGCTTCGCAAGCACACCCTCAGCGCCCGAGTTGGCAATGCTGCCACGGACAGTGTCCGCCTCGGCGTAAACAACCTTGCCGTGGTCGATGACCAGAGCGTACCGCCCAGTACGGTCGGCGCTAGCCCACCCAATGCTCCGGCTGAAATCGGCGTTGGCATCCGACGCGAAAAGCTGTATCACGGTGGGCATGGTCAGCAAAAATGACACACACGGCCGAGTCGAAGCTAAAGCATAGCGATGATGCAGCTTAGCCGGAAAAAAAGTGAAAGAGGAGACGCACAATCGACTCATCCTTGATCCCGTTCGCCTTGCCCCACGCAGACATGACGAAGGCGTCGTTGGACGCAATGAAAATTACGCCGTCGACGCCCTTGGCCTTGAGTTGGTCTAGATGGGACAGGTACGAGGTGATGTGCTGCTCCTGGCAGGTCGGCGTGAAGGCGCCGGGGACGGCGACGAGGACAATTTTCTTGTTTTGGAATTCTGTGGATATTAGTTAGCGACTGTTAAAGGGAATGTCGTTCTCTATTTAGTGCAAGCATGTACCTTTGCTGGCGTCGTATGTTGTCGGAATACCGCACGAGGTCAGATCGAGGGAGCCAGTGGGGTGAATGTAGGAGAAGGTCACGCCTTCGGGGAAGGAGTCACCGGGTTGAAGGGGAGCCATGTTGTTTAGAGTTGGGGGATGTGGACGGAAGGGTGTAGTGGTGTTGGTGATGATTTTTTATGTTGTTTTATATGCAGAAGCTGGATTAAAGGTGTACGAGGTGACGTGGGCTCAAGTTGTTTATAAAGCGGGTGGAGTTGAGGGGTCAATTCTTCGGCGGATCCTCCTGGAAACCGGGGTTATCGGCCACCGAACTTGGGACAGTTGAAGGTCGGATCCGAGGTCACAATGTAGTCAATTGTCAAGAATGACTAACGGACATAAATCTTAACAAAATGCAGGCCCTTTGAACTGGCTACTAATCAGTAACTGTTTTGTCCTGGTGTTTTCCCATTTCTTCTACAATTTTCCTATCATAAACAGTGACTCTCGCCTATATTCCTATCTTTCGGAGGTGAGCTCGAGGTGAGGTACCCGATATTGCGCAATCGGCTGTCAGAATAAGCCAATTTCAGGAACACGGCGGGTTTCGTGAGTTTTCTCCATTTCCACGACTGCAGCATCCCATCCAAGCCGGGGCGCCCGACAAATACCCCAGGTCGAAAGAAGTGCTTGAATTTGTCACTTCTCCGGTCTGCGGAGACCGACCCCTCCGGCGGGCAACCGTAGATCGCCGGACTCCGAGCCGGCCCCGGCCCATCCACGAACTGTTATATTGTTGACTGTTAATAAGTAGTTAGTTACCTACCTCGGTACATGTTGTTATTTCTGCATTTATCAGGTAGCCAATGGCATCTTTTCGGTCTCAATTAACCCCCCCCCCACAAGCTGCATACACAACCTCAGACTGGCTTATACCTACATTCCTTCCTTCCCGCTCAAATCCTTTATAACCCACCCTTCCGGTCCCAGTTTCCAACAGCCCCCCCATCCGACAAATGCCCAACCGCGGATGGTGTATTTGGGGGGGTGCGGGCAGCACCGGCGTGCCCGCTTGCTCCCCTTCCTAAGTTCGATTCAGGGAGGGGGCACCCAAGCAAAAGCCCTCTGGGCTTTTCGTAGCTGTCTACTTACTACCCTGACCGGAGGATGTGGGCAGTGAGCTTTTTGTATTTTCTTCGTTTTGTGTTTTTTTATCTTTACCATGCCTGCCCCTCTCTCTCTCTCATCGGCTTCTCGGCCACCAAAAAATGGATCACCTGCACCATCTTATTTTCTCTATGGAACTGGATAGATTGAAACGTTAAGAGGTGTGAGTTCACGCCTTTCAATGTACATACATAGTAGTCGACGAGGTGGCTGAGTAAGTCGTTAATGTGATCCCGCAATGCAACCCGCTGTGCGTCATTCCTGGTGGGCCCAGTGCCGAACATGAGTATTGGCGATGAGCCATAACTATCTCTTAATAAACCACTCTTACAACCACCATTTTCACTCAAGTGACATCCATTGGGTTCGCTGTCATAATCGTCTACCATGTCAACCGAATCCAAACCTCCCTTTCCGCCCTTCACACGGGAGACGGCCCAACAAAAGGTCAAGACTGCCCAGGCCGCCTGGAACTCAAAGTGAGCTGACCCTCACGACTCGTGTCACTCACCCGTGAACTCCATACCCATACTGATCGAACTTCGATTAGAAATCCAGAGTTCGTCCAGTTCGCCTACACACCGGATTCCATTTGGCGGAACCGCGACACCTTCCTCCAGGGGCGCGAGCAGATTGTCGATTTCCTCACGAAAAAGTGGGCAAAGGAAAAAGAGTATCGCCTACGAAAGGAGCTGTTTGCGTTCACCGATGACAAGGTCCGATAAGGCTGCTAAACGCCCACAGACTCATAGGGACACTTGCTGATGAGAGAGTCTAAACACCAACAGATCGCAGTGCAGTTTTGGTATGAGTGGCGCGACGAGGCGGGCCAGTGGTGGCGGACGTACGGGTTGGAGGACTGGACGTTTGCGCCCAACGGGTTGATGAGGAAGAGGCAGATGAGTGGGAATGATGTTAAGATCGGGGAGGCGGACCGCTGGTTCCAGGATGGGGTCGACGTAGATTCAGTGGATATTAGTGAGAAGCATTGGTGACGGTGATTTTTTTGCCTCTTGACCGTTTGGCTTCCGACGAGTATCCGTACACTAACGTTAGTGTTTTTTGATGAGCAGCGCTGTTTGTCTTGTATGATTCGATGAAGAACGCGATATCACATTGCCTTGAAATCTTGAGGTGGTGACCAATGATTAAGATCGCCCCCATGCTGTGATGGAGTGAAACCGCGGGAATAGGAGATACGCGAGCCGATGTTCCGTATATATCGTCATCACGCTCCAAGAGAAGATAGGCCGGCAATCCACGCTGGAATTGGAGCGAGCGTCGTGAAGTGGCGGGCGCACTCGTCGGCGTCAGGGCTGGGCCGTTCAGGTGGAGGCCGCTGGTTTGGGCCACCGGAGGTTCTGTTTGTCGGATCGTAATTTCGCGGATGGAAAAATTGACGGTGACGGGACAGGTCGGCGATAGCTACCACACTACCTTATGCATGCAGGCATTCCGAGAACCCGGTTGCCGGCCGCTAATGTCTTTGTTTCAAAATGGGTTGACACACACTAGAGACAGTGCGAGGCATACGAAGTGAAGAAGAAGATATGGAAGAGTTGACGAAATCGCGAAAAGGAGGGTGAACCCTGCGTCGCTCATCCACACGATTGAGACGCCGAGAATCACTTCCCTTCCGTCGAGAAGTTTGCCAAGGGGCCTGTAAAACTGAGTCCGTTCCCACGGTCCGTCAGTTGACCAGAAGGATACGGAATTAAGACGTCGTAAAACTGTCTGAAACCTCCGTGTGGAAGACGGTGCGTACGCCGCCCATCAATTGCCGTGTCGATGTTCGGCAAACTTGAAGACCAGCGAGGCCAATCTTGCTTTCTGAATTGGGGAGGAGGGGCCCCCACGAGGGTTGGAATCTCATATCCCGGTCGCGTTGTGGAGACGTCGATCAAGCACCGACCTATCAGGAGCCCCGATTCACTGATTTGCATCAGGGTTGGCTCGGATCTCCGAACTTGTTCCCTGGCTCTCACTTTCCCCCTACCGACGCGAGCTTGACAAGCGACCACTAACACCGTGTGAAGAATCTAACCCAGCTTGCGTGCGAGGGCGTGCTTCGTGGAAATGTTTATCAATCCCCCCCAAGAAGGGGTGTTTCAGATGTCGACCTGTCGCCATCGTATGCACGGCAATAATAACGCTGCACAAGGAGCCGTTTCCCGCCGATTCCGCGCATGCAAGGAGGTACGAGATACAAAATGGAGTCGAGACCCCCCAAGACCAAGATGCCCGACTCGGCTTCGGAGCTCCACGCCACAGAGTGTTCTGGGCGCCCCGGGGGCGCTTCATGATAACCGCATCCGTAGCACACCACATGCGGGATGTTAGGCGGGCCGCAAGGAGTTGCATGTTTGGCGCACCACTCTCCCGGACCTGCAGGGGTGGCTTCAGCCCCTGGAGCTTTTTTGAGTCGAGGTTCCAGACCTGGTCAATGTAAACTTGTAAGTCCATCGTGAAGACCGTTCCGGGTGTTTCCCTACTTCTTCAACCTTTGATTCCATTATCAACCCACCCTTTACAAGCTGCAGCAAAGCATTTGGAGGTCGTTGATAGGCCTCGGCCTCTGGGGGCGTTACTGTATTAGTGAACTCCATCATCGTCCAATGCTTCAGTGCCCGAGGCCTTTCTAGCCTAGGAACCACTGTTTGCCTCCTTATTATCATAACTTGGGTCATCAAACCTCAAATATCTGGGGTTTATCCTGTGTCTTATCCTTCGCCGAACACCCGCTGCTTCAACTATACCAGAAGCGCCATGGAGTACTTACATTTCACTTCCTAGGGCTGAAATCACGACAATTAACCTGCTTGATCGGTGCTTGATATTTTTATCTTTCTTCCAAGCCCCTCTCAGCTCTCGGCGTTGTCCTTCGATATGGCCCTGCTCCCGCTTCTCTTCCGGCGTTCGGGTTACGTCGAAAAGGCCGAGTCAACCGTTAGCCAAACCTCACTCCGTCAGACGAGAATGTCAGGGGAAACTCAAGAGAATGTTGGCTTTTGCGATTCCAACGACATTCCTTCGGCATTGAGTTTCGACAAAATCCTCGAAGGAGGGACTTGCCCGGTATGTTCTCACTTACGAGTTATTGGAAGTCAGAGACAGTCTAACAATTACTCAGCCCTGCACACTCGGCGATTTCATGAACTACCTGCGCTACGTGGAGCGATCTGCCGAGAATTTGCAGTTTTTCCTTTGGCATCGGGACTATGAACGGCGCTTTACCACCGCCAAAACGGCTGATGTTGCACTGGCACCCGAATGGACTCGGGGCATGGAAGAGGATGCGGTCCGGCGTATCAAAAAGGAGCACTCTGAGAGGGTCCGTCAACCACCAAAAGAAGCGGTTGAGTTATTCAAGGGTACCGATTTTGAGAAGGGAAGAGAGACAGTGAACCGCCCAACGTCGACTACCTTAGAGATACCGCGGAGTCCAACCAGTCTGGCTTTCGCATCTGCTGGAGCCAAAGATCCTTGTGAGTTTACTATGGAGGTATCTATGACCTCTCAATACCCCCGCACTAACAGTCACCAAGTCACAATACAACCCTTTCGCAGGGAGATAGACCGTATCATCGCCACTTACATCATGGACAACGCGCCACGACAACTCAATCTCTCCGATCAGGAGCGCAAATTAATTCTCCAGGCGCTTTCCTTTACCACCCACCCCTCAGCTCTGCGGACCATCGGCACACAAATCGAGGCCACGCTACGCCAGGAGGCACACCCAAATTTTATCCGATGGAGTATTAGCAACGGCAGTCCAGCGCGGATGTATTTTGCCTTCTTATTAGGGACGTTGACGATCCTGGGAGGGTTTGCTGCGGCCCTGGCGCTAACACTTGGGAGTGCGGGGAGGGGATACCGCGCGCTGGCGGGGATTGGGTGGATGGTGGGGTTTACGACGGTGATAGCGGCGAGGAAAGGGATGGTACGTTTCCTCTTTTCGACTTCATGGCCCCGATGGCTCTGAACTTTTCCCACCCCAAGAATGGGTGATGGGCTGTGAGATAAGGAAGATAAATTAACTCTACGATAGTGCCTGATCCTCCACGGCCTGCACCGTCGGCATATTCGGCCCTGGGAACTATTCATGTCCGACGCCGACGACCAGGAAGCGGCCATATCCACAACTACTGGGAAAAACATTACCGACACGTTTGGGATAGACCCCAGCATGGGGACAAATACCGGCTTTAGAGATAGAAAAGGGAGCAGCCACGAGGACGAGCCTTGGGTAATACAGTACCAGCAGCGCAACGTGGTTCGCAAGATATTTGATCGCGAGGTGTGGGTCGAAGAGCCTGCGTTGCGGAAGATACAGGATGGGATACTGGTGCACAGTTTAATCCTAGCGCTTTTATGCACGCTGGTGTTGACGACGGTGTTCGTGGCGGTGCCGGCTGGGATGTTGTTTTGATAGCAAGAATCGGGCCTTTTTTTATGTACAACACAAAATCCAATTTACTATGTATTGTTTCATGGAGTGGGCAACCGGTCATCGATGCGTACATGGTAGAATTTGTTTGATAACATTAGCTAGGCTTTCGTTGGATGGGCTGATGAATCGAGCTGATCCTCATACGAAGCACGGTGAATAGTAATCCGTTCCGTTGCACTTCGCAGCTTGCCCGGTTGATGGGGAGAGGGGGTCTGCGGGCGTCAGCCTTCTGACAATCCATTGGTAGCGCTTGGCCGAAAGGAACCTCCCTAAATACCAAAGTAAGCTGGAACCAAGTAACGGGTGAAGGACTCTACAGAGCAAGGCAATTCTTGCGAACTTGCAAGACACCTTGGCTTTGCTCCCTCCTTAGCTAGTTACCCCTCTGCTCCTGTTTTAGGGCTTCGTAGTTTTCCTATCCTCTTTTCGCCCAGAGCCCTGCCTCGGGCTGTTCGGCTCTTTGTCAGCGGCGTCACGGCTGACGTTGCCCGAGATCAGTGAGTTCCGTGGAAAGAAATAGCCCTAGCCAATCGGCTTGGTGGGGACTTGCCTCTTTTGTACACAGCGTCGGGGAAAGGGGAAGGATGGCTTATCGATAACGGTGAAGCAAGCGCCGTCCACCTCATCCCACCCGGTCGCAGTGACCTTGTCCAAAACTACACCGGGATGAGTTCTACAATGTAATTCTGAGCATCCTCGATTTTTATAAACTTTCACTTCACGCGGTGTGTTGCGCCCGAGAAACTCCCCTTCAATGGATATTCCTATGAGACCTCCCTGAATCCCCCGACAGTTTATCACCCTATTCCTACGACGGCGCAGCGATTGATTACATACCCTTACCACCTATACTTTACCTACAAACCGTCGCTATGCCGAGCGACATCTACCAAGCCGACCCTCCGAACCAGTCTCGTGCGGACGAGGGTCGGGAGCGGGAACGGGAACGCCAGCGGCGCCCGTCCGATGCCACTGCTTCCCGGCGTCCGGGTACTTCTGGTGCGCCGGCCGAGATTGACGAGACACTTAGCCGACCAGGCTCCGTCCGCATCAACGTCACGGGGGCCTTCATTGTCGACCAGGATACAACAACGCCGACAACCCCCGACGGGCGCAGTGGATCCCCCGGCCGCCACGAGACCAAAGATATTCGCTTGCCAAACCACACTGCCGTCGTCAGTCACATCGCAATTGACGTAGGAACTCCCATATTTTTGCTCCTTTTTTCGGGTGTCGCATGTGCTACCTATGATGTCATCGCGCTTCTCTGTTTTTTTCTCTGTTCTGAAACAAAAGCTAACATGAAGACCTTGCTATCATATAGATTGGCGGCTCTCTTGCCAAACTTGTTTATTTCTCGCGCGAGGCGCATTCCACCGAACCGGGCGGCCGGCTCAACTTTGCCAGTTTTGAAACGGATCGTATCGACGAGTGTCTCGAGTTCGTCAGTCGCCTTAAAGACAAACACCTGGAGTTAAACGGGTCCAGCCATGGATCGAAGCGTTCGGCTGACGACCTATGCGTCATGGCAACGGGTGGGGGGGCATACAAATTCTACGACAATATCCGCGAGGTCCTTGGGGTGGACGTATTACGAGAGGACGAGATGGAGTGCCTGATTATCGGCCTCGATTTCTTCATCACTGAGATTCCTCGCGAGGTCTTTACCTACTCCGAGACGGACCCAATGCACTTCGTCGAGCCATCAGAGAACGTCTACCCATACCTTCTCGTTAACATCGGTTCGGGCGTGTCCTTTTTAAAGGTATCCGGCCCGCGCAAGTACGAGCGTGTTGGCGGCACATCCCTGGGCGGCGGTACGCTTTGGGGCCTTCTCAGCCTACTGACTGGGGCGCGAACATTTGACGAGATGCTGGACCTCGCTTCGCAAGGAGACAATTCCAAAGTGGACATGTTGGTCGGTGACATCTACGGAACCGACTACGGCAAGATTGGCTTGAAGAGCACCACTATCGCCAGCTCCTTTGGCAAGGTGTTCCGCAAGAAGCGTCAAGCTGAGCAGGAGGCAGAGGACAGTGGTGGCCAGCGACACAAGGACCAACACCACCAGCACCAATTCAGCCCTGGCCACCCCTCCTCGTCCCCTACGTCTTCCCCTTCCCTACCGACACCCCCATCGCCCCAAGAGACATCACCAGAAGAAGCGGAACCTCCAGTCGACGGATCCAGCCCGCCATTTACAGCAGCTGACATCTCTGTCTCCCTTCTGTACGCAATCTCCAACAATATCGGCCAGATTGCCTTCCTTCAGTCCCAGATCCACGGCCTCTCGCACATTTACTTTGGCGGTTCCTTCATCCGTGGCCACCCGCAGACCATGAACACGCTCAGCTACGCCATCAAGTTCTGGTCGCGTGGCGCTAAGCAGGCGTATTTCCTACGTCACGAGGGGTATTTGGGTGCCGTGGGCGCTTTTCTGAAGAGACAGCCACGGAATTGGGGACGGCGTGGAAGCTTTGACGAGATAGTCGCACCGCACCGTCCGCTGGAGTTGAGGCCCAAGACGGATAAGGGGAAAGACACGGGGTTGAACCCGGGCAGTGGTGGGACTGGGGAGTAAGGTGTGATGAGTATTAGACGCTGGTCTTGTATTACGTCTGTGCTTTACGGTGGTGTTATCCGGTTACTGTCGGCGGTTGGCTGTTTGTCTTATTTTCCTTGGCGTTTTCTTTCTCGTTTCTGGATGACTTCTGTCCTGACAGCAAGGTCTTAGCGAGCATGGCGTGTAAACTGGTATACTGTTTCATAGCGAAGCTTGGATGGATGTAACAATCTTTGTCTTGTTTCATACCGTCAGCGAAAGTGGTCGAACTGATGTTGGCAAACATAGATTAGAAGATTATGTTTGATCACAATTAGCGTCGTCTCTTCGTGATGGTGCTTTTATTGAAGTTCCTCCTTGAGCTTATGACCTTCTGAAAGGTAGGCTGCAAGGACAGATCGCATGTTGAAGTCACCGCCGGACAAGATTGCGATAAAACGGTATGTGAATAAATACAAAGTCGGTCTAAATGGGAAAATCCCGAAATCCATTTCTGGAACCCACTTCAATAATAAGCATCACATCCCCAACCCCAGCCGCGCAACTGCTTCTTCACACTCCCCGTTCAAGCCTGTATAGCAAGCCCACACCTCCCCTTAGATGTGCTGCTACTTGCCTCCGAGTCGATTCGATTGCACGAACGCATCCAAGATTCGTCCTCCAGTATCCCTCATCCCTTTGACTCTGGTTCTGGTCCGGGCCACAACGCGGTGTACACCGTCTTTCTCAATCCTCTCTCTATAACCTCGACACAATTCTCCACCTCTTCCCATCCGAAACTAATCAAGTCTTTAACGGACGCTAGCTGCAAAAAAGGCAGACCTCATCGTTTTTCTCTCCCTGTTGAAAGTCTCTATTCTTCAGAGGCCCGGCCAACCGACTGCGAAACCCTTTCCCTCTCCTTTCTTTATCAGACTTCGATTATGGGTTAACCGCCTGCTTGGCCTCCTCCACCTTCGTCTCAACCTGCTCGGTCAGACTCTTTTGTGACTGTCGGTGCAGGAAGATACGGCTGCACTGGACGACGCCGACCATGCCGAGGAAGAAGTTGACTGCTGCGAGACTGTTTGTGTTTGTTAGTATTCCGGGCAGGCTCGATAGAAATCACGGCATATAAACATTTCGAGGGGGGTAAAGCAAGGAAACGGAGGCGGGAAACGCACAGGTAGTTCTTGGGCTTGATGATCAAGCACCAGCGAGTCCAAATAATTCCGGTCGAGGTGAGGGCCGCGTTTTGGGTCAGCGAGAGCTTCTCGGCGGGACGGGCGAGATCGGAGATGCCGGCGATGACGAGTGCCCATTTCATCACGGGGGCCCTGTGGTTTTGTGACAGGAATTGGTTAGCATACACGTTGAAAACTACCCTGCCGCGAAGACCCGCGGATTGGAGGGGAATCAGAGCAGCGGAAAGGAGATATGTTATTAAGTGATTGATTGATTGATTATACGCACCAGAAATGTACCGTCTTGACACCCACAGGGCTGTCCCACATGCGCTTCGCCCAGGAACCGGAGTTGGGGGCTTCAGCCGTCGTGCTCTGGAAGCGGGCGCCGCGGCCGGCTTGGTTGGGGCGGAAGAACTGGTTTGCGCGGAAGGCTGGGCGGGCCGCGCGGAAGAGATTGCTTGATGGTGGCATTTTGGCAGTCTTGTTTTTGTCTGGTGTGTTTGCGTTTGATGAGGTTGAGTGGAGATGTTGGTTTGGGGTTGAGCGTTCAGGTACGATTCGGAGTTGGGTCGATGGTGGGCGGATGGATGTGGCGGAGGGTCACGGACGGGAATGCGATAGGGCGGACTCCGGTTGTCGGACAGGAAGGTCTGGAGATTCTGCGAAGCGTCCGGGAGAGACACCACGGGGAGGGTGGCGCAAAGGTTGAAAGTAGCCGGTTTCTTGGTGGAGGGAGGATATTGGGAGATTTCTATCTCGGAATTAAGTGGACGGCCCTAAACGCGGATTGACGAGACGTGCAACTACAAAACGTGGTCTCCATCACCAATGATTTTTTTGGCGGGTTGGCGGGCATTTGTTGGGGCATCCCTTATCTTGGTCACGTGACATATTCCGATGTTACTTTGCCACGTCTTGTCTTTAAAACCTTTGTCGAGAATGGGATTGGATGGGAATTGCCTTGGGAGTTCCTTCATCTGATATTGAGCACCGGGTCCCTGGGAGGTTCCCTTCAGTTGTAGGGATTTCAGGGCGTCGAGTGCACTGGGTCTCCCCGGCGGCGGTATCTTGTCGATGTTCAAACTCTATTAACGCACTGGTTTTCAAGGCGACATCCAAGGCTGTATACGTGATTTGTGGCCAGTGCCTCAGAACGATCAGATACCGAGTTCTGCTGTCAAATCGCGAAGCCTATGAGATTCCCAATCCTGTCACAATGCGGACATTACGGACATTATTATGTCAGAACCAGCGAGATGTCGCGAGGTTGCCCAGAATTTGGAGAACTGCGTGCCCCACAAATACCTTCTACACGCATACCCCCCCTAAACCAACCTCCAACACCCAATAGTCGCATTTATGCCCCGACCCACCGGCGATCGCATCAATTGCATCGCTATCCGTATCCTGCTGCAACTTAGAAAGCCCGCTTCCCACCTCGCCCAGGCACCGGACGCCGACGCCGACAACGAATTGACGACCCCAACACCCGCTGCCGCCCACCAGTCCCCCCGGCACAGTATCATCCAAAATGTCGGCCCGATACGCCTTTGCCAAGGGCCTGAAGGAGGTCCGGTTTCTTTTCTGCCAGACGGGCGAGCACAGCTCCGCGACGAGGTACGCGCAGCACAGCATAACTCGCCCCCCTCAGATTTCCGCCCCGTGTTGCCCGCTGTGTTTGATAACAGATCGGCGGATGGGGGACCTAGAATTTACGCTGGCTAACGTGGTCTCTCCCATGTACCCAGGTCATTCCTAACACGAGCCTACCCGATCATGAAGAAGAACAACCCGACGACGCCGATTATGTTGCGGGAAGCGCAAGGCACCCTGCCCCGGATCTATGCGCGATACGGTCCGTCGACACCCCTCACCCTCACCGTTAACACGACTGTTGGAAGGGAGGTTCCAGGAGCTGACGTGGAGAAACAGAGTTTGGAAAGGAGAAGAGCGAGTCATTAGAAGGTAGGTTGCGACGGCCTGTTAGAGCTAGGCGGTCGGTTGGAATATGGGCTGACTTTGGGGGTTTTAGGGCTTTCGGACAAGCAGATCGAGGATGCGGTGACACAGCTGGTTAAGGAATAACGCCTTTGCGAGACGGGAGAAAGGCAGTGGGCAGCTATTTGGGGGTGGACGACGATTGTATAGTAGCCAGGCGCTGTACAAGCTATCATTATATCGAGCCCATCCTCCTGTTTCATTTGATCAAGACGTGGATAACTTTACGAGTGTTGGCCTGAGAGGGATTGGGGTTCCACCACCTAGCGAATTGCTGCTCATACGCTGCTCAAGAACTAGGCGAAGCATCCTTAGTGGGTGTATGGACGGGACGTAGGCGAACGCCAGGGACGGCCATGCACCGACATAGCATGACACCCCTCTGGAGTGAAAAGGGGTAGACCGCGGGAGCAAGAAAGACAGGAAGCAAATGCGGGCAAGGTGATCATCCGTTTACTGTGCAGGTGAGCGAGACGCCGGTTCTACCCAGAAGTCTCCTTAATGCGACCAGGCTCGTGAGACAAATGTTTTGTTGGGTGAGAAAAACAGACTTCAAGGGATCAAATGTACTCCAATAACATGGTTGGCTTCCGGCACCAGCCAATCTGCTGCTGCAAACAGCCCCTGAGCGGCCAGGTAAAACCCTAACCCTGTAGGTAGACATGCCATGCTGACTTGGCTGACAAGCTCAGGAGGCAACAAAGCGGCTTTGACTGCCAAATGTGGGCGCTTAAGGGGGTGTCTCGTGGACAGACATACATGCGAACGCCCCCGCTCTGGATCAAAACATAACATATATTCCGGAGCGCCGGCACTTTCTCATCGAAAACCAGTTTTCTTTTCTCCTTCTCTTCCGTCTTGTTTCGTAGTCATCCATACTCGTCCGCGTCGCCAAATCACCGGCCATGTCGAAATTCTTTGGCAACCGACACTCGTCGCCCAGACTGCCCCTGGACCAGTCGGCGTTCCTGTCACTTCTGGACCCAAGTGACATTTCAGCAGTGCATGAGCAGCAGCGGCCCACAGGCACAGGGGGTCGCACATCCACACCGCCAGCGGATTCTCACCACGCCACCAAGTCGTGGCTGGCTGCTGTGGAGAGTCGACCTTCGTGGATTGGGGAGCGCCCACCGACAAGGAAACTGGTGAAGGATATGAATGGATCGGGGAGGCCGTCGTTTTCGCTGGAGCTTTCGGAGTGTGATACTGCGGAGAAGGAGAAGGGGTTGGTTAGGAGGCAGCTTTCGAGGTTGAGGTTGCTGTATCGGGGGGGGGAGAAATGAGTTGGTGTTATCGACTTGACGCGTGGGAGGTCTGGTGGGGTGTTCTTTTGTTGGATGTTGCATGGAACGCAGCGACCAGCTTTACCCCGCCATCAGGGATTTGAGGACCTATCCAAGTCAAAAACTTTCTAGGGGAAGTTTGAGACCGAGGGGCCAGTCTAGGTACGCCTAAAGCCTGCGCATTCCCTATCAAAAACCAAGGACAACACTCCGACGCCGGTTCGGGTTGTACAATGTACCAGGGCCGGCCCTTGAGGAATACAGACCATCACATCGGCTTGGAGCCGGCGAAACGGACCCCGCGCCAAGACGGCCCCACAGGTCTACCGAGCCGAGAACGCTCTCTTATTTCCGGTTGGTGTCCGCTTTTTGTTTGGATTTGGAATTTCAACGACAACCACAAATTTGGGAAGCGTCTGGGTAGTTGGGAGTCTGCCCTGAATCCCCGGCCGAGCGAGCGCGACCCTCTTGCCCTCTGGGACGACTTGACACCGAGCTGCAACCGCTTTCTCTTTTCGACCTCCACCCTCATGCCCGCCTGGTCTCTTCTCCCCCGGCCCCAACCAGGGCCGGCAACGACGGCACCAACACCAGGAACACCAACGTTCTACCTCCTAGTCGGCGCAACCCTCGGTATATCCGCCTACCTCCTAACCACCACCCTCTACACCCTCACCACCACCACCACCACCTTCACCAACCCCAAACGCCCACAATCACAACCCCCTCTCAACCCAACAGACACCATCCCAAACACCATCCCAAACACCATCCCCTCCCCCTTATCCACCCACCTCCCCCATTTAACCCCCTCCCAAATCGCCGCCCTCCCTTACCCCCCAGACATCCTCCCCGGCGGCCGTTCCGTGCCCACCCCCTACGGTTCCATCCGCGTGTACGAATGGGGTCCCCCCGACGCGTCAGACAAGGTTTTGCTCTTACACGGCATCAGCACACCCTGTGTCGCACTCGGTGCGTTGGCGCATGAACTTGTGGAGAGGGGCGGGTGTAGGGTGATGGTGTTTGATTTATTCGGCCGGGGGTATTCCGACACCCCCCAGGGGGCAGGGGTGGAACATGATGGAAGGTTGTACACGACGCAGATCCTGATGGTGTTGGCTTCGTCACCGCTGGCGTGGACGGGGGATGAGGGGTTTCATTTGGTGGGGTATTCGTTTGGCGGGGGGTTGGCGGTGGGGTTTGGGAGGTTTTTTGCGAGGATGGTGAGGTCGGTTGTGGTTGTTGCTGGGTCGGGGTTGGTTCGGGGGGAACATGTTAGCTGGAGGAGCAGGGTGTTGTATTTGAGGGGGTGGTTGCCGGAGGGCGTGGTGAGGTGGTTTGTTAGGAGGAGGTTGATGCCGAAGAGCGGGAAGGGGAAGGGGAAGGGAACGGGGGATGGGGAGGAAGGGGGGAGGGTGGTTACGGAGACGACGATGGCTGCGGAGGTGGTGGATATCACGTGGGGGCCGGATGATGATGATGGTGATGATGATGATGGTGATGATGAGGGGGGGGAGAAGTTGGCGGGACGGCACGAGAATAGTGATGCAAGCGGGGGCCAGTCGTTTGACAATGCGGTGTTGTTTCCCGGGCGGCCGCAGCTGACCGTGTCGTCGGTCATGGAATGGCAGCTGCGGAATCACCAGGGGTTTATCCCCGCGTTTGTGAGTAGTATACGGTATGCGCCCATCTACGACCAACAGGAGGACTGGTTAGCGTTGGGGAAGATGCTGGCTGAGAGGAGAGAGCGGCCGGACACGCCTGGGCTGAGAGGTGGGAAACTTCTTTTGGTGCTTGGAGCGTCGGATCCGGTGATTGTGAAGGAGGAGTTGCTGCATGATGCGACGGCGGTGCTGGGGGAGGATGGGTTTGAGGCTGTGGTGCTGGACGCCGGGCATGAATTGGTTATGACGAAGACTGAGGAGGTTTCTGCTGTTTTGGTGAACTTTTGGGGGAAATTGAGGGTTGAGGTGCATAGCGAGGGTGATCTATAGAGGATAGATTTGTTTGCATTTCAAGATACCATTTTCTGGATTCTACTTTTTGTTGTTCGGTCTGTAACTGATCTCTAGGGTGTAATGGTTGCTAGGTGAGCTTTTGTTATCCCGGCCCTTTTTAGACCCTTTTTAGGCCTTTTTTAGGCCTTTCTTTAGGTCCCTGAAGTTTCTTGCTTTTTTCCTCCTTCTTTTTCTTATCTAGTTGTCGGTCTCTTTTTTTCAGGTTCTTCCCATCCATCCATATGTACTCGTCTTTAGGTCATTCTCAAGAATCACCTTCTGGGCTGAACGACCCCAGCGCTTGGCCCCACCACTGAGGCGCCCATGCCCCGCTGGAACTTTCTGAGCAGCCACTAAAAGACGCCATTGGCCGCTGTGACCTCCAAACTTTCTCGCCCATCTGCAAGGCTGAAAGAAAACACCAGAAAATTTCCCAAACATCACCACCGATCTTTCCACTTTCAACAACAACACACCAACCGCAAACCAGCAAACGGTGCGAAACCCGGCGATTCGACGGTCAATTCTCACGAGTACCCTCAATACCATACCGCGCCCACCAAAGCACGACCCCCAAAAACCCACCCATCAACCCATCAGAAACGAAGCAAAAAAAAAACAATGACCACCCCAACAATAAAACTCCCCGCCCCCCTCTTCGCCAAACTCTCCCCGCACCCCTTCCTTCTCCGCAACCTCACAACCACCTCTTCCACAGACTCCCCATCATCCTCATCGGCAGCGAGCAAACCAACCCGCACAAACGGCCGCGCCCCCCACGAACCTCGCCCCCTCCACCTCCGCCTCTCCTCCCTCTCCCACGCCCACGGCAGTTCCCTCGTCCGCTTGGGCGATACCACTGTGCTTTGTGGTGTAAGAGGGGAGATACTGCCGGTAGAGCGGATTCCGGGGTTTCGAGCTATTGCAGATCGGGAGGCCGCAGAGAGCAATGGAACCGGGGACGACAATGGATTTGGGGGAGCGGGGGGGGAACCAAGAAGTGGAGTAGGCAGAGGCGAAATAAAAGACTACGACCTGCTAGTCCCAAATATCGAGCTAGCAACGGGATCGGCACCGCAGTTTTTACCCGGTGTGCCGCCGAGCACGTTGGCGCAGACTTTGTCGACGAGGGTGTATTCGTTGTTGTGTGGGACGGGGTTGGTGGATGTGAGGGATTTGAGGGTTTGGCGGCGTTCGGGGCCGCGGGATGAGGGAAGGGGGACTGGGAAGGGGGAAGAGGAGGATGCGGAGATGGTGGATGTGGGGGAAGAAGGGGATGAGGAGGAGGGACAGGAGGAGGAGGGACAGGAGGAGGAGGGACAGGAGGAGGAGGATGGGGTGGTGGCGTACTGGGTGTTGTATATCGACCTGCTGTTTGTGTCGTTTGACGGGAACCCGTTTGACGCGGCGTGGGCGGCTGTGGTGGCCGCGTTGCGGAGCACTAAGTTGCCTGTGGCGAGGTGGGAGCCGGAGCGGGAGATGGTGGTGTGCTCGAGGACGGAGAAGAGGAGTCTACGCGTGAGGGGTTTGCCGGTTGCGTGTACGGCGGTGGTGTTTGAGGAGAAGGATTTGGGGGAGGTCGGGGCTGGCGTGGCGGAGGGGAGGCATTGGCTGCTTTTGGACCCGGACCGGCTGGAGGAGACGCTTTGCCGGGAGACGGTTACTATGGTGGTGGATTGTAGTGATGGGGAGACGAGGATTAAGAGCTTGGAGAAACATGGAGGTACGACGATTGGGAGGGAGCTGGTGAGGGGCTTTGCTGGGATTGCGGAGGCGAGGTGGAAAGAGGTTGACGCGGCTCTGAAATGAGTTCTGCTGTGCGGCACAACTGCCCTTAATAAAGGTGCGGCGAGCAGCCACTCAATCACAGTACCTACTGGCTATAACCGGTGAGACTGGCTTCAGCAGGCCCGTTGAGGTATCTCTGAGAAGAAACTCGGAGATCCGGGAACTGGCCTAGGTTTATGGAAGCCGACCCAGTCGGCCGAAGCCTCTATGAGGAATGTCGCTTCCAAGCGTACGGTGGCTCGTCCCAGCTCGACCAACGAGGACGCAGAATGAAGTAGACCTCGGGATCATGATGATTGATTCAACAATACGAATACATTCACGTGATGCTTTGCTGAAGATTACTGTGCGAGCGAGGGGCTTCTATGGTACGGCCCAGAATTACGAGACTGTGAGCTGGCAGGGCTCATTGCATTCAACGTTTTTTCTTCTGCCAAGGGCTTCGCGGCGGAGTAACGAGTTGCAGAAAAGAGGAAAAAGAAAAAAAAGAAGAAAAAAAGAGAAAAGAAAGAAAGAAAGAAAAAAGGACATGATACCTGGGTGACGGCGTGTACACTGGCGGGGTACTTCGCGCAGTGAACCAATTCACACATTTCCATGGTCAACATGACGAGACACCATGAGTGCGTGCCGAGATGTGTCAAAACCTTTCGAACCGCTCTTACAGGTGAATTCCAGAGCAGTAGATACAGGAAGACAGAGTTTATCTGTCGCCCAACCTGAAGGCCCTAATGAAAGGTCCTCGGCCGTCCGCAAAGCCTTGGTGTAAAGCGGCAATCGCGTGGTTTGTTGAGCGCTGATTTCGAGAAAAGAAAATCAGAGCAAAACTTGCGAGTTCCGTGGTTTTCTGTGGAGAGCCACTCATGGTCCGTGCGCATAGCTACTGTGGGCCAAAGGTGGACCCACCTGGTTCTTCAACTTCATTCAAATTTTTGCTGCCTGCGATTTCTTCTTATTCCATCTTCAACTCCCTCCCGACTTTTCCACACTCCGACTGCTCCAGACCGCCCGCTCCGCCAGGACGACTCTTGCTGACTCCATGTGAGATGGAGTCTCTGAGCGACACCCTTTGGGATGTCGTGATTAGCGGCACCGGGCTGCAGCAGTCGCTGCTTGCACTGTGAGCTCTTCACGCGACCGTCAAATTCTCAGTTTGCCCGTCTGACTGACCTAGCGTTCTTTAACATGAAGAGCTCTGTCGCGCTCAGGCAAGAAAATCCTGCACATAGATCCAAATGAGTTCTACGGCGGCCCCGAAGCGGCATTCAGTATTCAGGAAGCCGACGCATGGGTGGCGCGCGTCTCGGCGAGCTCTGATGGCGGCATCTTCAAGTCTGCGTCCTTCGCACGACCGGAAGAGGCTATCACCGGCTTATCCGCTTCGCGCGGGTACTCGTTAGCTCTGGCACCCCAGTTCATCCACGCGCGCTCGGCTCTTCTGTCGCAGCTGGTCTCTTCCCGTGCCTACCGCCAGGTCGAGTTTCTCGCCGTGGGGTCTTTCTACATCTTCAAGCCATCTCAGGACGCGGGCCAGAAGCCCAGCCTGACCCGCATCCCATCCACCCGCGAGGAAGTTTTCTCGACGACGGCCGTCTCGGCCAAGGCAAAGCGGTCGCTCATGAAGTTCCTAAAGTTCGTGCTGGATTACGAGAACTCGCCGCATCTGGAAACCTGGCAACCTTTCGCCGAGGCGCCACTGGTCGATCTGCTGCAGAGCAGCTTCAAGATGGACACCGAGCTGCAGACTTACATCGTCACCCTCACCCTCTCCCTGGACGGGAAAATACGCACCAAAGACGGACTGGCTGTCATCCGTCGCCACCTCTCGTCGATGGGCGTCTACGGCCCCGGCTTCGCTGCTATTTACCCCAAGTGGGGCGGCCTTTCAGAGATTGCGCAGGTTTCCTGTCGTGCCGGCGCCGTCGGTGGTGCTGTGTACATGCTCGGAACCGGCATTGAAGAGACGGAAATTGTCACCGGCGAAGGCGAAGGTGAAGGTGAAATCAAGCTTCGCCTCACCAGCGGGGACACCGTCAAAACACGGAAGCTGGTGCGCGTCGATGAGCGGCCAAGCGGCCGAGTCGGCATCAGCCGGGTAACAGCCGTTATCGGCTCGCCGCTCAAGTCCTTGTTTGAAGCCACTATGGAAGGGGCGCCGCGGCCGGCCGTATCAGTCATCGCCTTTCCGGCCGGTTCAATATCCACCGTAGCCGGGAAGGCCTCTGAGTACCCGGTCTATCTGTCTGCCCATTCTAGCGAGACCGGGGAATGCCCCGTCGGTCAAAGTAAGTTCACCCCCTTTGCTCTCCAATATTCTCTTCACGTACATGATGATCACCATTTCGAATACTTATCTACATTGTCTGAGCTTCGGCACTGACGCAAAACACCTCTGACATTCTGATGTACCCCTCTTCATTCACACGCTTTCCAACCATTCTTCAGTAGCAGAACTTAAGCTAACTGAAGACCCCAGGCGTCGTATACCTAACGACCCTCACCAACCCAAACGCGCAGGAGATTCTGAACAATGCGCTAGTAGGCTTTATCAGCGCCACAAGCGATGCTGAACCCTCCCCGGTCCTCTACAGGTTGCAGTACGAACAGCTCGCCGGCTCAGATAAGTCCCATATCGAGGGATCAGTATTCAATCTCCCTGCGCCGTCTGCCTCCCTCTCCTTCGACGATACGACACTAGAATCCGTTCGCGAGGCTTGGGCGATGGTTATGGGTGACGATGCTGGTGGGGCAGAGTATATGGTTTTTGAGGACCGGGAGGGTGCTGCGGAAGAGGATGATGGGTATGAGTAATGTAAGCAAGGTGTTCCAGGGCGGACTCCTTATCGCTATCTGAGGTTATGATGTTACGTATTAGGAACGGCCTAGGCCATAATGAAATTGATGAATTCTTTGATTGACTCAAGCTAGTGTTGCGTTTGTGTTTATTATCCCGTAACTCGGAATATCAGCGCAGCGACCTTGTCCAGCGGCAGTGATTATACCGCCTGTCTCCCTCGAACGTCACCAGATAGGCGCTGCTGATACCATCCCCACCGTCCTTCGCATTCAACCCATTCGAAATATGCAGCAAACTATTTCTTTGCCCTCCGTTAACCTGCAAGATTGTTCGAGATTTCCCTCGCTTTCCCCCATTTGGGAATAAATAGCAACCTCCCCGCCGACTGTCCAGCCATTCCATCGTCTCCCTCGTCATCTCTCGTGATGCTTTGCAAATATAATCAGATATCCCTTCCCGCTCAGCAGACCGTGTCCTCCTCAACCAGCACACTCTAAGAAAAGATACCCGTCAACAGTTCCCACGCCCCGCCGATCCGTCCTCCTTACCATCAACTCAGCAAGCACAGCGCCATCTCATCAACCCCAACCCAACCCCTAGGACACTTCCGCGCGCGTGTCATCACCAACCACCACCACATCACCACCCATCCCCATCCCCCCCTCCCAAAGACCCATCCACAACATCCACCCCCAAATAAATCCTCCCATACGGCACCTGCCCACCCTGTCCCTCCTGCCGCACTTTCAACACATTCTTCGTCGCGAGAGACAGGACGTGGTAAAAAGCCTGAGCCACGACTGCCTTTTTACAGTCCTCGCCTTCGAAGAGTGCTTCGAAGCGCACCGTCCACTGCTTGGTGTTGGTGTTGGTGTTATTGTTCTTGTTATCGTTCTTGTTGTTGTTGGTTCTCGAGGAGGGACTTGTGGGCGCGCCCTTGTCGCGCGCGACGGTGGCGACGTAATCGAGGAAATTGCGGCCTTCGCGGTCGAGTGCGGTGTGCATCTCCTGGGAGGTGGTAGCGGCGGCGTGTTGGGTATTGGCAGCCTGGGGAATGGCAGCCTGGGCAAGAGCTAGGTCACCAGCACTACCACTACCACCTAAGGCGGAGTGGATGAGGGGATCGAATCCGTCCGAGCCCGGGAACTGCGCCGCGGCGTCATCACTGAAGCGCTCAATCTCCGGGCCGGGGATGAGGAGACTACCACGGCCGTGGAGAGGGCTGGCGCTGACCTGGCGGCTGGGAGGTCGACTGCCGGCTGCCTTGACAGACGAGCTGGGGATCTGGGAAGATGGACGGTTCCAGGGCACGTCAGAGGGGATATCGGGGAGGGCGGAACCTGCTCGTCTGCCGAGTTCGATGGGTGGGAGGTCGCCATCGTCAGGAAGGGGCTGGTCCTCGTCGTCTTGGCTCAGCCGGGGGCGGACACGACGGATGTCGTCGTCTTCTTCGGGGTCGAGGGCTTCGAGGGCTGAGCGCCGGCGGCCATGGGGCGCGTCGATATCGTCGCCACCGGGGTCAGTGATGATAATGCCTAGGAGTTGGGCGTGCAGACCCGGGCCGGAAAAATGCGACGCTAGAGGATGTGGAAGGCCAGGGACGCCGGTTGGAGACCCAATGCCGGCGATACCGCGGCCGAAGACGAGGTTGTAGGCATTTTTGCGGGCGTCGGCTGCCGTAATGGCATGGCGTGGTTGGGATTTCTCGGCATTGGCAAGATAGTTTGTGGACCAAGCCTTGAGCTCATGCCTCGTGATTTTGGTCTGATCATCCGGAGCCAGAACCGGCCGGCGCCTTCGGCGTTGGACGGGGGCAGCTCGGCTAGCATCAGCTTCGTTTTCGGTCACAGCTTCTCGCTCATGTTGAGCCGGCCGCCACTCTGGGTCTTGTTCCCGGTTCTCCTCGATTCTCTGTTGGACAGGAAGAGGCGGGTCTGAATGGAAAACATTGCGTGTGCCGCCCATAACCACATCACCTTCCTCGCCGAACGGAAGAAACTCGTCCTGGGGTACAATTCCCGCACCTTCCTCGTCTTGCTGTTGTGGAAGTCGTGGCAACTGGGGCTCCTCCATGGCCGGTATGATGTTTCCGTCCGCGTCAATCTCAAAACCCCAATCATCGAGAGCTTGCAGCTCGCGCTCTTCGTCGCCAAACGGCATCAGCTCGTCGTTTTCTTTCGCAGGCGTCATGGTACCTGCTCTCGGAGGCCCGGGAAGAACTGCGCCACCAAATGGCGATTGTGAGAGGTCGAAACCGCGCAGCATGGAGCGGTTGGAGCTGGACAATGACCCATCCCGGTCGAGAGGCGAGAATTGAGAAGACGTCTTGCGCGAAGCCTGGCTGATTTGGGGGACAACGAGGTTACCGCCGTCATCGAAATGGAAAGCGGGAAGGTCCGGATTGAGATCAAACTCCGGGTCGTCCTCGAGGATAAGCTCTCTCCGCCTATTTGTTGTCAGTTCCCGTTCATTCAACACAACCTGAGAAAAGCTGAAGCGCAATACAAGGCCGCAGGTCAAACATACTTGGACTTTCCCGCCTGGGGATCAAGGGCATTCTCACTCCCACCCAGCGCGTTATAAAACGCTCTCATGTGCGACTGCACCCGCTCGGCGTCAGAGAGTACATAATGGCACTGTTGGGAATAGACTCTCGAGAGGCCGTACAGCAGGCTTCCCTGGAGACGCAAGGCGATCGGCGCCTCCGGCTGGAGGATGGTTTCGCAGGCCTTTTGGACATTGACGTCCTGGATTGCCTTTCTCGAGATCTTCCGAGTCGTGGATCTAAGACCTATGGTGGACACCAGCCTGATAACTATTAGTTTGGCGCTGTTCGCTGTGCTTGGCTGGATTGCTCGTACCAAACGGTTGCAACGCCGTATGCCTGGCTGGTAAGAACTGCGTGCGGTTTAGTTGGTTACTCTTGTCCAAATGGTTAAGACCCTGAAGCTTACTCTCATGACTGTAGAACATGTTTCTTGGTACGCGCGAGTCGCCCGCGCTCGGTCGATTGTGATACTTAGTCCACCAAGTACTTGACCCAGTTGATATAAGAATGAGAGTATAAGGGGTCAGTTATGCCGGGAGAAAGTAATGAGTGAAGTCAAGAGTGACTGTAAATGCGTTTAGTAGGATGTGAAGGGGAGAATGAAGGTAATATTGGGGGCGTAAATATTGCTGGTGTTTCCGTGGGCTAGAACGCGTCGTGTGTGTAAGGGTATAAGGTTGGAGGGGGTGCCAGCCGCGCTGGGAAGGTGATAAAGTTATGGAACGCGAAGAAGAGCGTGAAGACTGACAGTTGCCAGTAGGAGGGTACATGTTCTATGGAAGACGTGGCACACACTACTAACAATATTATTCTCTGACGCGGTGGGCTGCCGCCCGAGAAGGAAGGCACGACTCAACAGGTGCATTTCGGAAACACTACAAGCAATCTTGACGGGAGGAGACAATCCCTGGGATACTACGGAGTAAAATACACATTCTAGGTTACTCGTGAAATGGATTCCTCAATTTCAAAAGTCTTACGAGGGCCTCATTACCCCTTAGCTTGTTACACATCCACCACTTAGAAATTAACACGACTTTCTAGGCGGGCTTAAAGGTTATATCTGATAACATGCTTGGCTGGTATACTTTGCGGATGGGAGACACTACAATAAAACGACAGCGTTTGATTGTTAAATCTAGTTTTGTTACCTGACCTCCTAAACGGAGCACGCCAACTATCATTCCGGGCGGGTGTAAGTTGCGGCCGAGCCAACGGTGTGATGGAGGATTTCAAAGACGAATGGGTCGGAATCTGATTACTTTTGATTCCGGAACTATGATTTAGACACAAGGTTTCTATTGTAAAGTACCAGCCAACCCCTCGAAATTATAAGTTACGTATAAAGCCTGTGAAAGGAGTGAAGTGGAAGGAAGGACGTGTTCGGCAGGTGGGGCAGGGACCTCTGCGGAAATCGGCCCCGCCAGCCGTTATCAGCTGCTGACCAATAAAACGCCAGTCCCTACGTGCAGGGATCTGCGTTATCGCGCCGTCATCGCTTCACCCCACCAAGATCTTCCGAGCTCCCCCACTATACGCCGAGATTCCGCTCCGGCCGAGCCTTTAGAGTGATCACATCATTTCGAGAGATGCTACTGGACTTGAGCCGTCATGTCGAATTTTTAATCTGGCGTTTTGAGCGCCTTTAGTTTCTCATATACCTAATTGAGTGTCCTGGGGCGGTCTATTTTATAGATAGCCAGCCACTAACCACCAATTTTCACATTATCCCTCGTTCTCATCAACCCCCTCACCAACCGAGAGAAAAAAAGAAACCAAAAATCAAAATGGCCTCCGACCTCCTCACCACCCTCCCAGCGACCCTCCAAGCCCTCATCACCGCCCACACCACCTCCTCCCCCATCCCCTTCCGCGCCCGCACCGCCTACACCCACCGCACCTGGGCCCGCACCTTCTCCTCGCTCCCGGAACTCTACATCCAACCGCACACCCCCGCCGAAGTCCAACTCGCCATCACCCTCGCCCGCCAATGCCGCCGGCGCCTCGTGGTCGTCGGCTCCGGCCACTCCCCCTCCGATTTAACCTGCACTTCCTCCTGGATGTTGAATCTGGACCGTCTCAACCGGGTGTTGGCTATTGATCAGGCGACCGGGCTGGCGACGGTGGAGGCGGGGATAAGGGTGTATGCTTTGAGTGCGGCGTTGGAGCAGGCAGGGTTGGCGTTGCCGAGTTTGGGGAGTATTGACGAGCAGAGTATCGCGGGGGCTATTGCCACCGGCACCCACGGGAGTAGTCTCCGGCACGGGCTCGTGAGCGAGACAATCGTCTCGCTGAAAATCACGCTTGCCGATGGGCAGACACATACCTGCTCGGCGGAGGAACGGCCGGATCTATTCCGCGCCGCGCTGCTGTCGGTTGGGGCGCTCGGGGTGGTGACGGAGGTGACTTTGCAGGCGGTGCCGGCGTTTTCGCTGGCGTGGAGCCAGACGATTGATGCGGATGCACGGTTGTATGAAGGGTGGGATGGGCTGCTGTGGACGCAGGCGGAGTTTGTGAGGGTGTGGTGGTTTCCGTATATGCGGCGGGCGGTGGTGTGGACGGCGGATAAGGTGTCGCGAGAGGATATCACGGCGGGACGGGCGCCGGGGCATTATCATCCGAGGACTAGTTTCCAGGACAGTACGTTGGGGTATGTGGTGTATCAGAACTTGCTGGCGCTGTCGAGGTGGTTTCCGAGGATCACGCCGTGGATTGAATGGTTTGTTTTCGGGCTCAACTATGGTTTCAGCAACGGGGAGTCCACGCGCGTTAGTGGCTGTCAGGAGAGCCACAAAGCGTTTCTGCTTAACTGTCTCTACAGCCAGTTCGTCAACGAGTGGGCCATCCCGCTCAGCAAAGGCCCCGAGGCCCTGCAACGCCTGGGCGCCTGGCTCAACCGCCTCCAGCCCGGCGACGCAGGCTACGTCGACCACGGCATCCCCTTCTCCGCCGAGGGGCTATGGGTACACAGCCCTGTCGAAGTGCGCGTGAGCAACACCAACGTGCGGACCAGCGCAGCGGCGCAAAACCGGCCCTTCCTGGATATCACACCCGACGACGAGCCCGCGCTGTACCTCAACGCGACCATGTACCGGGCGTATCACCGGGATCCGGCGCACCACGCGACAGAGCGGTATTATGAGGCGTTTGAGTGGCTGATGCGTGATTTGGGGGGGAAGCCGCACTGGGCGAAGACGTTTAGTGTTACGCCGGGGGAGTTTGCGGATTGGTATGGGGAGGATTGGGCGCAGTTTTGCCGGGTAAGGGAGGAGGTTGATCCGGAGGGGTTGTTTGTTGGGCCGTGGCATCGGAGGTATTTGTTGGGTGGTGGGCAGCAGCAGCCGGCTGCTGATGAGAAGGAGTACGATGTCTTGGGGGCGTCGGGGGTGTTGTTGCCGCTGGAGGAGGTTGGGTTTGTGCATGAGAAGGCGGCGGATGGGGGGCTGCGTGTGTCGGGGCATCAGAATCCGGCGGTGCCGCAGTTGAATGTTGAGGTTTGGGAATAGCGGGGGTTGTTTTGGGAATACTACGTTGCGGAAGTTGATTTGTGGGCAGTGAGTGAGTGGTGTTGCGGCTCGAGCCAGTCCTCCTCCCCTTCTTATTTCTATATATGTATTCTAACTTGCGACGAGCGGGCGTGTAAATATGAAAAGAAGTCCAAGACGAAATAGCAGAAGCTCACCACCCAACCCTGCCGTCACACAGGCTAGTAAAGGTTTTAAACGGCCCCAAAAGGTCCTGTCGACCGCCTCAAGTATATCAGCGGGCGCACTTTCGGTTCGCGTTGGATTTGAACCGATGCCCTCTCTCCCCTCTCTCCCCTCCGCCATATGTGCAATGAGGGGGTTGCTTGAGGACATAGTTCTGGACTCATGCTCTTCAGCTCACATCCGAAAAACACAGCCAAACACAGCCTTATATGTATGTATGTACATAGTCCCTCACCCTCCCGATATCCCCCGTCATTCATCAAAACAAGACCCCCCCGCCCACCACACCAACCCCAACAATCCCCATCACCCTCAACCCCACCCTATACCCTCCATGCAAACCAGCACGCCCCCTAGCAGCACTACTCCCCACACCTCCCGAACCCGTCCCGTACCCACCACCTGCGGTACCACTCCCGCTGCCACTACCACTGCCGCTCCCGCTACCCCGGAACCCGCCGCCGCTGCCAAAACTACTTCCCCCAATACCGATGCTCTCGTCACCGGGGGAGGGGGGTGTGGGGGTCGGGGTGTGGGTTGTTTGTTGGGCTGGGACGCCTGTTAGATGGGGGAGGCCGGTGGGTTTCTCGTTAGTGTCGTCGTCACTATCGTCATCACCGTCGTGGTCGTGATCGTAGTCGTCGTCTTCGTTGCCGTTGTTGTCGTCATCATCATTGTTGTTGTTAGAGGGGAATGAGAAGAGCTCAACGACGGCGGAGGTAGAACTGTTAAGGTTGGCCTGGGCAAGCCCGATTTGGTGGTGGGAGAGGTCGTAGACGACATAAGCGGAGCGGAGGAAGGTAGCGCCGAGGAGGGTGAAATTAGACGAGGAGGGGGGGGCACTACTGCTGCTTTTAGATGACGAAGGAGGTGGAGACGGCTCAAAAAGCGCGGTAGACTGGATCCCAAAGACACAAAGCCGTCCTCGGGAGGGGGGGTTGTTGTACGCTGGCGGGAGGATATCGAGAGTAAGCGACCACAGCGGCACGGTGATGCGCCCCGTAGGCGGGAAGGTGAATGTCAGATGGAAATCGGGGTCGGTTTCCGCGCGGGAGCAGTCTACGAGGGCCATGCGCAGGTCGGGGGAGTAGACGGCGCCGACGGCGGCGTAGATGGGCTCGGCCAGCTCGTCAGGGAGGTAGGAGAGGGTGGTGCCTGAGTCGAGGACGGCTGGGGCCGGGTGGTTGAGGAGGGTAGCTGTTGAGAGGGTGCGGCGGGTGCCGTTTGTGTGGGTGAGTGTGACGCCGGAGAAGTCGAGTTCGAAGGAGGAGTAGGCGCTGCTGTCACCCTTGCGGCCCGGGCCTTTGTAGAGGGGGAGGATTTGCAGCGGGCCGATGAACTTGTCGGTGTCGATGCCGCCGAAGAGGATGGAGCCTGAGTCGGTGCGGCGGTCGTTGAGGTAGAGGGAGTAGGCTTTGGACTTGATGAGTCCCTGTCGGGCCATCTCGTCGATGATATTGGGGTACTTGGTGGCGGCCCGCTCGCTGGTGTTGAAGCCGAGGCCGAGGATGCCCGTGCCTCTGACGGCTTGGGTCACGTAGGCCATCTGCAGGGACTTAACGGTCGTCCCGCCGATGGTGAAGTCGTCGGTGATGTAGTCTCCCGAGGCCGAGGTGTCGTCGAGGTAGGTGATCTCGAATCCGTCCTCCTCGACCAGTTTGCTCGTGGAGCTCTTGGACGGGTCGAACGTGTCGGTGCAGGACATGCCGTAGATGCTTTGCAGGTCTGGGCTCGTACACAGATCGGCGTCGTGGCCCAGCACCCAGGCGTCGCTGCTCCCCGTGTCGAGCAGCATGGTGAGGTTCTGCTTGGGGGTTCCGACTTGTACCCGGACATAGTAGCCGCCGCCGGCTATGCTGTTGATGAGTCGTTCCGAGTATGGCCCCCGGCGGGCGAGCGAGGACGGCGTGTAGGTGTGAGGAGCACCGGGAAGCCCTCTTGTGACCTCGAACTGGACAACATTTTGGGACAATGCCCTCCCCGGAGCCAGGCTCAACAGGGCCGCGGAACGAAGTTTCATTGCCACTCGAGCGTTGTTGTGAGGCAGGTCCTTGTCACCACTTGACGATTCATCGGGCTCGGCTGGTCTCTTGTCAAACTCTTCGTTCTCCCCTTCGTTAATCGTCTTAGACACACGGCCAAGTTGTTAGTTTCAGGAGTCGCACGGGGCATAATGGAGACAGGGTCCGAGATGGTAAGCCCACGATGGCAACAAAAACAGGAGGCGGCCGCCCATTTTATTGTTTCCCATCTCTTTCCAACTTGCTTAACTAGCGGAGAAGGCGGGTTTGCTGGGGGGTCAAACGCAACAAGCCATCGCTGGTTTGGGGGTCCTTGAAATCAGATTTCCAAGGTCTGGGCATGGCTTCTGGGCAACGGGTCGGCAACGAAACAGAAACAAACTAACCCCGGGATAGCTTGGCGCCCAGAGCGATCAGCGTATCTAAGAGACATGCCGTTGACAAAAGCTGTGTTTTTGTTTCTGCTACGAGAAGCTCCGAGTGGTCTCGAGGTCTGGCTTCGAACACGCCGTGTCTCGCCAACGCCCTCGGCTCCAAGGACCTCCCCAAGATCGTGGTGTTTTCCCCGTCGCATGACACATGGCATGCCAGGTTGAGCGGCTTGGCTTGACCTCAACTGAAGGGCGCATTATTGCCAAGGCTGCGGCGCTCTTCTCGGCCTTGGGTTTGTCTGGGCGAACCTCACAATTCCACGGAGCCAAAGAGATCGAGGCCGGCGGGTTTACTGAGCGAATGTTGATATCAAACTGCGCATACGGGCAACTACAAAGGGGCTGGCTAGGACGAGTTGCGCCAAAGGTCCCCGGGATAACGTGAGCCAGCGGTGAATTGTCTCGCGGGTAGATCTTGAGCACGTTGTCGATCTGCAAAATTCTTCGCCTTAGTAGGTTAACTCGGAAGCGTTGCGATCGTGGCGAGGACGGTCGGTCGAAGGACTCTCTCACGAGTGGCCTTTTACTCGCGCTTCGCTCTTTTTCGCTCATCTTGTGACTTGTGTGACCGGGTTTTCGGCTGGCCAATGCTCGTCTTTGACCATCGCCAAGCGCCCAGCAGCTTGGCTCGACTCCTTGGCCCCATATCTGGACGTTGGCGTTAGCTCATCGGCCACACGGACGAAACCCAACCATGAGAAGGGGAGATTTGGGTGAAGGAATCTCGATTCGGTGTGGTCAGTGGCCAGGGGGCATCCCCGACTTTATTTCCGAGGTCAAATTCCGCTTTGGGAGAGCATGTTTCTCTTCCCTTGTCGGCTGTAGTCATCCAAGCGAGACACCGCTGAGTTACCGCTGAAACCCTGCATAGTGTATAGCGAGTACACTACTGCGTGGGTCGGTAACAATCGCTTGCTAAATGCGAGGAAGATACCACAATATCAAGAGGGAAAGTTGCTCGGTAGCCTGCAAAAGAAACCGTTTGGTTCTTGATAAAACTTGAGCTGAAGTCTTCCTCAGTGAGGAAGGAACAGGGATGACCCCACTCGGCCCCTCTCGGATTTCCGTAGTGGGACCAAAATTCAGACGGAAACTCACAGGATACCTCGACCCGGGTAACGACATTCCTTGCTATGGTGGTCAACGAGCAGCTTAAAAAGCCTTCGGTACACTGCATAGTACACGCCCGATGCGATACCCAGAGTTCCCAATGCGGTGTAACCAGACTCTTTGGGTTGATGTGGGGTGACGTTTTAGGAAGCAAGGGAGTTATGACTAGGACATTGAACATGGGAATTCCCTCCACTGCAGATCTCGAGCCCTCGGGTCCCGGATCTGGCATCCCGCTCAAGGTGTGACGGAGTGACGGGCTGGCCCGATAGCCCCACAAACTGTTTGCAACACAGAGCCGTGACAGGCCAAGTCCTGTACGGAGGAGTTCGAGGAATTCGGAGAGGGGCTTGATTCGAGTGGCTTTCCCAACTTTTTGCAGTGGCCCAATGGTCCCAATCCCGAACCGAAGCGGCCAAAGATCAGCAACACACACTCCCCTCTGCCGGGCTGGGACGGACTTTGCAGTACGAGTTCTGGATTGCACCTGCACATACACTATCCCAATACCACTTTCTGTTCCCGCGAGCTTTCCTGCAGCCAAATTTAACCCACGGCTACACGTGTAGTTCCCAACATCGTCTCGTTGCAACCACGAGCGGGGGGCCCAAGCACTAAAAACATTTACGGTCATTCCTCTACCTCCATAGTGGACCCTTTTTTCTTCTTCGTTTCCCCTGGTGTTGACCGCTGCTTTTTCCCACTTCGGATCGAAAAGTCGAAAACGCTGGATCCTATTTTTTGTGTTTCCGTTTCCTCGAAAACCCGGCAACCACAGTTACCCAACAAACAACGAGGGAAATAATATGCCGTAAGGTTGTGTCGCGCTGCAGCGACCCCGCGGCCTCTCTCACCCACAGTCCGAGTTTCCCGTCTGTGCCCGTGCCTGTGCCAGCGCCAGCGGTGCTTCTTCTCGTGAGAGCTTTGGGCTCAACGATATCACGCGACCGACCGACTGAACTGCAACAAACAAACAAAAACGACGATGCATCCCTCGATCCTCGACACCAGCATCATCGACCTGCTCGAGGCCGACCCCCGACCGTCCGTGATTGTCGCCCTGACCCCGCACCCGCCCACCGTCGTCTACACCAACCCGGCCTTTGCTGGATTTCCGACCCTGCTGGATCTGATCACTTCGAAAAGCGAGGACTGTCGGCCGCTATGGGAGTGGATTACCGGCGGCGCTGGTGTCGACCAGGCGCAACAACAGCCGTCGGGCAGCACGCATGTGTCAGTACCAGAAAGTGCGGGGCCGGCCGCGAGCGCGTCGTTCTCGTACTCGAATGTGTATTGGACTCGGTCGGTGGTGCACGAGCAGATGGTGGTTGTCGGCGCGAATGAGCAGTTGCCGTTGCGCCTTACGGATGGGCAGTCTCAGTCGTCCCGGACGGGAGGGTCACCAAAACGGGTCATGAACGGCGAGAGTGAGGTGGTTGCTGGTGGTGGTGGTGGTGGTGCTGCTGCTTCTGCTGACGATAACAACACCGAAAATCGCCCAGCAGCCCGCACAACACCGACGATCACACCCATCCTCTCAGTCACCTCAGTCACAGAAATCGAACCGTGTTTCAAGTCTACTCGGTCTACTTCGACGACAAGTCCCAAGGAAAGACCGCCTTCCCGCGCAGAGGCTGTCCAGTCACTCGGCCACGCCGTCTCGGACCCCGCCTGGATCTTGCCAGATATTACACCAGGTAAGTGGTCGCGCGCCGGGTTCATCCTATTGTTTCGAAACTAAGTAACTAACCAACCCCAACAGAACAACGCCCCTTCCTAGACGACATCAACAGCGTAGACTGGGCCAAAACCCCCCTCGGCCCCATGCACAGCTGGCACCGTAAACTCGACGAAACCGTCAACCAAATCCTCGTCGACAGCCGGCCACACGCTGTCTACTGGGGCCCAACCCACATCATGATCTACAACGAAGCATTCAGCAAATTCTGCGGCTTGCGACACCCCTCGATGCTGGGCATGCCAGTGCTGGAAGCGTGGGCCGAGGCCGGCGAGATTATCAAAGACACCATGCGGGGGATCGCGCACCCGGACAGGGATGTGGTGGAGCATGAGTGGCGGTTTTATATTGACAGGGAGTCGGAGATGGAGGGGGGCGCGCCTTGGCTGGAGGAGACGTATTTGAGGTGGTCGATGATTCCGATTCTGGAGAATGGTCAGTGTCTTGGGTACATGCAGCCCGTGGCGGAGACGACGAGTGTGAGGTTGTGGAAGCGGCGCGATCCGATGCTGGAGAAACTCCATGAGATTTTGGTGACGGTGCGGGATGTGGAGAGTTACTGGGAGAAGGCCATGCAGGGGCTCGCGTCGCTCGAGCCGCAGTATGATATCCCCCTGGCGATCCTTTACACGGTCGAGGAAGATCCCGAGGCTGCTGCGGTTGGGGTGGACGCGAACGACGCGGCGGCAAGGAAAGCCTGCCGACTTGTGGGTTCCCTGGGCGTCCCCCCTAACCACCCCATCGCGCCCGACACGATCAAGTTGGGCGGTGGTGGTGATGGTTGTAGTAGTAGCACCACCTACCCGCTTATCTCCTCCTTCCGCGAGACCTTTGACGCCAACCACCCGACATTACTACAGACCAGCGACGGGACACTCCCGCCATCGCTGCTAGACGACCTCCAATGGCGAGGCTTCGAGGGCGACCCCTGCCGGGCCGCCGTGATCTGCCCGATCCGGCCGATCAAGGAAGACAGTGTGGCGGGCTTCCTCTTCCTCGGCCTCAACCCGAGACGTCCCTACGACAACGACTACCGGCACTTCATTTCCCTCCTAACCCAGCGGGTGGCGGCGTCGCTCGCTTCGATCGTCCGAGTCGAGGAGGAAGCACGGAGGGGCCGCAACGCAGCTGAGCAAGCGGCCTCGGATCAAGCGATGCTCAAGCAGCGGCTGGAGGTACAAACGAAAGAAGCCAATGAGTCCCTTCAAATGTTCGAGGCCGTCGCCGAGTTCGTGCCCGTGGGAATGAGCTTCGGCGACCCAGAGGGCAACATCACCTACGCCAATGACGCATGGTACAAAATCACCGGGTACCCGGGAACCGGCCCTGTGCCCCGGCAGGGCTTCCTCTCCTGCGTCAAGGACCAAGACCACCATATCATCATCGCTGAGTACGAAAAACTCAAGACCACCCGCAACGTTGAATTCGAGTTCCGCGTGAAGCGGCAGCCATCAACAACAACAACAACAACCGACACAGCGACCGACACAGCAGCAGCAGCAGCAGCGACAGTGGAAACCCTTCCCTCGTCCTCCCTCACGCGTTCGTCGCCGAGCTTTGGAGAAGCCGAAGAAATCGACCTCGTATCGCTCGAAGACGTGCGCGAGCGCAACGTACTCGCCAGCGCGCGGGCCGAGTACAGCGCCGACGGCCGGCTCATGCGAGTCCTAACCTGCCTGACCGATGTATCCCCGCAGAAGAGCGTTGCGCGGGAAGCGCTGCGCCGAGCGCAACAGGCCGAGAACCTCCGGCGCATGGCCGAGTTCGCCACGGTCGGGTTATACGACATGACCGTTGACGGCCGGTTGCTCGGCGCCAACACGGTGTTCTTCGAGATGTGCGGGCTAAGGAAAGTCGACCCGGCGTGCGTGGATATTCGACCCTGGCAGAGCTGTGTGCGCAAAGAGGACCTGCCGCTGCTCACCAGTAAGCTGGACCAGATGGTGCGCGAGGATAAAGTGCAGAACGTCGAGATCCGGCTCAACACCACGTGGACGACGGAAGACGGGTCGGGACATAAGGTCGTCATGCCCCGCTGGGTGCAGGCGACGCTGCTTCCCGTCCGGTCGTCGTCTGAGGGCACGACCCAGAGTTTTACGGGCTGCTTGAGTGATGTCTCGCTGCAGAAGTATCAGTTGGAATGGGAGAAGGAGCGGAAGGAGGAGGCTATTGAGTCGAAGAGGCAGCAGGAGAACTTTATTGACATGACGTCGCATGAGATGCGGAATCCGCTTAGTGCTATCATCCACTGTGCGGACGCTATCACGGCGACGCTCTGTCGGGTTCAGGAGCTGCTTGGGGGTGGATTCTACGGGAGTGTATCGTCCGACCAGGGCGTGGGCGCGTGTGCGGGGGCTGGTGAGCTGCCGGTGCCTATGCATGCGAGCGAGGACTGGGCGGCGGAAGCCCGCGAGTTGGTGGATAACTGCATCGACAACGCCGAGACTATTGTTAGTTGTGCGAACCACCAGCGGCGCATCGTCGATGATATCCTGACCATGTCGAAGCTGGACTCGAGTCTGATCTCGATCACCAGGGTCATTGTGGATCCCATCAAGATGGTGAAGGAAGCGCTCAAGATGTTTGAAGTGGAAGCGCGCCGGGTTGACATCAACCTCAGCATGGTGGTTGACCCCGGCTACCACGAGCTCGGCATCAAGCACTTGATCTTCGACCCGTCGCGTCTCAAGCAGGTGCTCATCAACCTGCTCACCAACGCGCTCAAGTTCACGGTTTCCGTCCCGACGAGGAATGTCACTGTGGCTGTCAGCGCCAGTCTCAGCGAGCCCACCGAGGCCAGCAGCAAGGTCTCGTTTATCCCGCGCTCCGAGGAGCCCCTCGAGGAGATGTACGACCAGCCGGCCCCTCTCGACCGCGCCAACCCCGTGTTCCTGATGTTCGAAGTCGAAGACACCGGCGAGGGCCTCACGGAAGAAGAGAAAAACAACCTCTTCCAGCGCTTCGTACAAGCCTCCGGCCGCACACACATCAAATACGGCGGGTCCGGACTAGGCCTCTTCATCAGCCGCCGGCTCACCGAACTCCAACACGGCGCCATCGGCGTGTCCAGCCAACCCGGCGTCGGAAGCACCTTTGCGCTGTACATCGAAGCCTACCGACCAACAGACGAAGCCCTGCGCGAGATGTACGCCACCGAAGCCGCGGGCCAGTCCGCCCTGTCCGCCCTGCGCTTTCATCCCAGCCTCAGCCGCCGTAGCAGCAACAAGCGCGCCATCAGCAGCAGCACCCTCGCTAGCGAGTTCACTTTGCCCACGGCGGGGAGCGCGGGGAGCGCGGGGAGTGTGTCTGGGCCGAGCACGTCGGCTACCACCGCCGTCACGCCGAGTAGTGAGGTGGGGATGGGTCCCAGCCTGGGGTTAAGCCTGCCGTCGCCGTCGCCGCCGCAGATTAAGGGGGTGTTGGTTGTGGAGGATAATTTGATCAACCAGCAGATTACGAGGCGCGGGTTGTTGAGTATGGGCTTTACGGTCGATGTGGCGAATCATGGGGTCGAGGCGCTGGAGAAACTGTGTCGGACTGATCGGTATGCGCCGCCGGGTCCGGCAGGGGGTTTTCCTTTTTCGGGCGGGAGGTCTCTGTCTTGTTCGGCCCCTGGCAAAACCGACGCCGACGCCGATACTACAACCACCACAAACACAACCACCGCAGCTACAGCCCCAACAAGCCCAACCTCCCCCGCACCACCACCCACCACCACCACCACCACCCTTAACACAGCAACAGCCACCAGCATGGCCACCATAGCCCACACCCTCCACACCAACCCCCTCCACACCCACACCAGCGGCACAACCCCAACCCCAGGCGCCCCAGGCGGCACAACCCCCCACCCCTTCCCCCTCTCCATGATCCTAATGGACATCGAAATGCCCATCCAAGACGGGTTAACCTGCACGCGCCACATCCGCGAACTCGAACGCGCCGGACACATTGTCGGCGGCCGGATCCCCATTATAGCGGTCAGTGCGAATGCGCGGAAGGAACAGATCCGTGAGGCTCGCCAGGCGGGGTGTGATGATGTGTTGGTCAAGCCGTATCGGATGCCGGAGTTGTTGGAGAGGATGAGGGTTGTTATGGGGATGGTTGTGGGGGCTGGGGATGCTGAGACTGAGGAGGATAGGGGGAGGGAGGGGGAGAGCGATGGGAAAGAGGGGGAGAGCGATGGGAAAGAGGGGGAGAGCGATGGAAAGGAGGGGGTGGTGAAGACTGTGGTGGATAGTCTGCCTGTGGGGGAGGTGAAGGCGGATGGGGAGCCTGCGGTGGAGGAGAAGGTTGCCGTGGAGACGGTTGTGAGGGATGTTGAGGGGGTTGCGAGTGTCTGAGGGGACTACACCAGACAGACGTCTAAACTCCCAAATGGGGGAAAACACACCAAAAGGGAAAGGGAAAGGGAAAGGGAAAGGGAAAGGGAAAGGGAAAGGAAGCATTTACAGGTGCAGAAGGCGAGCGAGACCTCAGAAATTGGAGCTTGATGATGAATGATCATGAAACGAGCATTGGGTTGCATTGCATCGTTGGTGCTGGGTGGTCGAAAAGACCCGGAGCAGTACGGCAAGGGCAAGACGGAGTTGGCTTTGGCTGATCGGGCTGCATTCATTCATTCGTTTTGGTGCATTGCATTGCATTGAGGAACGGTGTTGGGGGTCTCTTTTTTTCGGGTCCATGTCGATGGGGGGTTTTCCATATATCGTTGAAGGTTTCGGCTTTCCGTTTTCCATTTTCACGGTGCATTTGGCTGGGATGGTCGGTGGGTGTAAAGGTTGTATATCCGGGCTTACGTGTTATTTCTTGTCCTTTTTTTTTTATCTCTTTTCCTCGCTTATTGCCCGACGTGGAGGCATATATGTTGTAAATACCCTTGCTAATTTAATTGCAATGGCTGCTGGATGCCAGAGCGAGGTCTCTGATTCTTGTGCTTGTGGCTGGCCATCGTGACTACGGTGGTTGGATTCTGGTGGATCAGTGAACGTTACTCGAAAGGGAGAGATACTCCGAAGCTGAGCTATACTGTAGATGGCATATATTGGTGTCATTAGTGCTCTCCGTCGGGCTACGTACTTGTAGCGCAATAAAATCAATGTAAATGATTCCAGTTAACACCGTTGGAGGTTCTTAACGATGTAATTAGTCATGATCACAGCAATCGAGGGACAACATAATAAAGCCACCTGCATGTTGAACTATCTAGCTACCTGAATCAGTAGTGCCAGTTCTCCGTGGCAAATGGGACACATTAATCTACGTGGCCTCTCAATGCCACAAATCGGCAAAATCAGGCAAAATCAGGCAAAGGGAAAAGGCCAAACCTCCGAACCAAGAAACCAGGAAGAAACCCGGATGACCGACCCCACGAGCCTCTCACGTCTCCCAGATCCCAATTCCACTCCTCCTTAATCGAGGCGTACCTAATCGAGGGAAATCGCCCAGGGCTCAGAATTTGATGCCAGCGCGAGCCCAAAAGTCATCGCCAGAGGTTAGATCCTTCTCATCAAACCGAATCAGAGGCTCCGTGTCGACCTTGGGAGATGGGTTGGCCGCATGGGAAGCGGCGGCCGTCTCATCCTTGACAACATGGCTGCCCACCGCCGCGTTGGACGGACGTCTCGGCGTGTTGGTGTCGAAAGATCCAGCGCTTTGGAGGTTCGCCATGGGCTCGCCAACCTTGAGGCCGGCGAATTCAAAGCCAACATTGCTATCCTGCGCTGTCTCGCGGGGGGCGCTCGAGACCCTTTTGGTAGGGATACCAGAACCGTTGTCGCCGTTCACTGTCTCATGCCTCCAGTTCAGCGGGCTGGCAGTAGCCAGGCTTGAGTGGCCGTTGCCCAGGAATTCAACCGAGAACGCGGAGTCGCCGTTGATGGGTGACTTGGCTGCACTATTGAACTGACTGCCCTCGAGAGCAGTACCCTGAGCCTCTTCTTTCTCAATAATCTCCGCAGCCTTCCGGAGTGCGCGGGCAATTTTCTGCGCTTCGAGCATCCCAGTACCATTAACCGTGCCGGTGGCGGCCAACGCCTCGGCCAGGGACTTGATCGCTTGCTCAACAGCACCCTCCTTATGGATGATAGACGGAGACGGTGACTCCAACTTCTTGGGCTGCTCTACGGTATTCTTCGTTCCAAGAAGATCCTCGGGAGCCTGTGGTAAGACAACGCTGTTGGTGGAATCGTTAAGGAGGTCCTTAGAAGCGGCCGGTGCCATTGTCCCAGCTCGGGACGCTGTCGTTCGCTTGGGATCAAGGCCTAGTGGGGCTGTGGGCGGAGAGGACGTCGCATCCTTCAGCATGTACTTCAGGACGTCTGACCTCCCAGAAGGTCCAAACCCATTTTTCTTGGGTTCTTGAGAGGCGGTCCACTGTGTATTATTATCATTGACGTCCTGGGCCGCCTCCGGAGTAGTCGCGCTTGGCCGGGTGGTAGTCAGAGGCAGCGTGGCGAATCCCATAGCCTCATCTTGGGCTGCTGCCATCTCGAGAAGATTCTCAGACAATTGTGAAACCGCAGATCTCTTACCCTCGGTCCTTCGTTGCCTGGGGGCAGGTGAAGGGCTAAGGATCTTGTCCCAGAGAGAATAGTTGTCGTCGATCGAAACCCATGGAGCTTTGTGAGTGCTTGCGCCCAGTCCTTGAGTGGTCCCAGGAACCGCGATTTGGGGCTGCACCTTCATCTCTAGCGTGCTCATGAGGCCCGCAAACTCATCCAAAGCCGAACCATTGCGAGCTGAGATGTTCTGGTGTGCCACCCCCTTATTCTGCGGCTCTTCGCTCTTGGAAGGAAATTGGCCCGCATCATTGTCCTCAGAACGGTCACTCTCCTTGGAATCTGAATTCCAGGGTTTGGCCCGAGAGTTCAGCAGAAAAGACTTTGGCGTCTGGTTGTTGATCTTCAGTCCACCAATTGGGCTGGTGTTTGACTTCAGGACGGGTAGCTGGATGCCATCGTCCAAGCCAAGGGTTGCGATCCAGTCCCGGCCAATGCGGGTGACCATCTGATCCTCTAGCAACAGAATCCTTTGCACAGCAGAGACTTTCGCCACGAAGCGGGAAATATCCCTGCAGACAAATCCCTCGATATCCTGGCGCGAGGCATGCGGGAGGTGGAGGGCGATAGCGGCGGAAAGCCAACGCGCAGGCCTCGGAAACCGGACGTTCTTGAACTCATGCTGTCGCTCACCAGGGAACACAGCGGCATATCCAAAGAGACGGTATGCCTCACTAAAGCTATACTGAAGCCTCTTATACTGCTCTTCATCCATCCCGTCCATCGTGTCGTGCCAGTACCTGCACTTCCGGTCGCCGGGGGTCGGGAGATTGAAGGCCTTGGCCACCATCTGTGCGAGGATAATGGACGAAGTACGGAACTCGATGGCATCAAAGACGCGCTTGACATCGTCCTCGGACGGAAAGTGGATCTGAGTAAAGTTGGTGAAGAGGTTGCGTGTACCACCGCCAACCGAGCGGTCCCAGTCGCCGGGGTTGGTCCCCAACTCGATGGCGATGAGATACTTCATATGGAACACCTGAGATTCTCTAGTACCTCCAAAAGCCCCCCCTAAAAACTCAAAGCGCTGAGGATGGCTAACTTGGGGACGATGCGGGCCCCAGCTCTGATTCCAGGCACTGAGTGAGCGTCCCTGTCTCGGGCCATACTCCGTCCACGCGTCCGAGAACGTGGTAGAGCTGTCAACTGACTCTGGACTAAGAACAAACCCATGGACGCGCGCAAGGCCTGAAAACCTGCGTTCTAAAGTCTCGTGGATCTGGCGCTGGAACTGATGAAGACCATTTGTCTGCACCTGGGTGGGTCGAAGAGGCATCGGATCGTTGAACTTTATCTTCTGACGATGTGAATCCGTTAAAAGGGGCGAATCGCCCTCCGTGAAAGACCGGATGAAGCGTTCGGCGAAGGCCCCACTACATGCTTTGGCCATGAGGCGCATCATCTTGTCGGATGAAGAGCAGGTATGGCCCCCCATCAACGAGGGCCTACACAGCCAACCGCCAGTGAGCGGAGAAGGTGTGATGAGCGTAACCGGAAGCTTCACGTCACCCAAGGCACCTTGGATGGCGGTGCGAATGTGTTCGACGGTCAGATAAACCTTCTTTTCGCCAAAGTCCATGCAGATGTCCTGTTCCGGGGTGACGGGGACAAAAGCCATTATGACGAGCGCACTCCGTTTCAACAGAGCAACGGAAGCGCGCTCCACCACATGTTCCAGAAAGGAATCCGCAAAGCCCTCCTCATTGGTAGGAAGAGAGATGATGCTCTGCTTGTCCTCGCCGACGATGTTGTGAATTGTGCCGTCGTCGACGCTATCAACACCGCCTAGAAATTTGGCAATGTCGAGCGAACTCAGCCATGTCTACTTTTTCGAAGGCGGTTAACACGTTTCACTTCAATTTAGGGGCCGGATGCTCTCATACTTGCGCCTTTCGGTCACCGATGCCGTTGGAAAGTAGCTTCCAGTGGAGGAAATCAGCAACCATCCAGCCATATTTGTTCTGGTCGGAGTTTTCCACCGAGACACCGCAGACGCCAATAATCTCGGAATTCTGAGGGAAGTCAGGAGGACAGTGCTATTTGAAAGTATTAGTTATAGATACAAGGTTGGCTGAAAGACCAAGGATTTCTACAGGATGAGCAAACCCCAAAATCCCAACAAGTGGACATTCACGGAAATGGAAAAGAAGGGCTCGACACAAGAGGGTCAACTTACCAGAAGAAGCGGCACCTCGGACATAGCCGCTTGGAGCATTCGGAACTCCTCGAGGCCACCTTCCCACGGGGCCTTGATGTCCACCATCGCTGCTACGGACCGATTAGTTGAATTGCCACCTTGCGAAATGCGCGAGCGGGAATACTCACCTGGTAAAGTGGAAGGAGTCTTCCTCTAGGTCGAAGGAGCCAACCGAGGACTTCGGCTTGGGTAACGGCTTGGGTAACAGCTGGGTTACCTCCAGTTGACTTGGCTTGTTGACGCAAAGTCGCGGTTGTTGGAGAAGGTGGGAGAGGTAGGTCGAGGGAAAGATGCAGGAGCTCAAATAGGATTGAGTTATGGAACACCCGCAACCTGGGATCCCGGCACAGAAAGGCTTTCAGGCCGAAACAAGGCAGGTATTCCTAGGAATCTGTTGAACTGGCAACGGGGTATCCAATGCAGGGAAGGACCTAAGCAGAGAAGAATGTTCCGGGCCGCGGGGGGAAGAAGTGCAGGTGGGGTTTGATAATGGGTCGTGACTTCCGGGACGGGGGTGTGACCTAGGTACATAACGTAAAGGCTCTCTTAATTCCGGGAGCATCTTAAAGGCCTACAATCACAGTGAGAAGCGCTCCGCCGCTTTGTAAGCTGCTCGAGAACAAAAGGCACTGTCACTGTCGACAGTATATGAATGGCGAACTCAAAGACCAAGTGTCGTGGCGGGAAACTGGAACTATCAAGCACTCAGAGGATTGATGGGAAGCCACATACTACTACTATCTATCACATCTAGACCATGGTTGAGTCTCTGTCATGAAAATTGGCGAGCTAAAGACACTTCAAATAACACCATCGATACTCGTCAACACCTCACAAGGGGTAATATGCAAACTAAGGCTTTGCACAATCGCCTCCTATTTACATTACACAGTCCCACCCTATGATTCCGCTCCATAGACCTACCTGGCACAACACAAAGAGGAATAGCAAACAAGAAAGACTCAAAGGGGGGTTGAGAAGCATGATAATTACAAGAAGGAAGGAGATAACTATCAAAAACAAAAACATTCAACGCCGGCCGCCGGCGATTCCGCAGTTGCTACCGAACTGAGTACTGATCTAGCGGCCAGAATCTTATTATCTGTGGGTAAATAGTCCACGTGATCTCAGGATTCAAAAACGGGTGCTTCTTTTCCTCTGCTAGTGCTTAGTGCTGTCGGTTGCATTTGCAAGAAAATGGCGGAGCGGACTGTACCAGCAATATCAGCTTTGATTGATTTCATCGGCACTCTCTTGTAATTGGCATGGTTATTTAACCATCAGTGTCTGGAAGAAAATCAACTAGCTTCTAACTTGACACCTCTTACATAGTAGAAAAGTAGACAACACTAATATAAAGAAGCCACAGAAAACGGGAAACGGAACCAGGCTTTTGATTAATTAATGACGTTTTCCGCATGATGAGTCTACAAAACAAGAGGCAGCACAATCTGTGTTAATTATGGTTTGCCTAGCCGGAACATTAAACCACCTTGTCTACCCTGTCGGATATGGGAAAGAAACAGCAGAGGTGTCGTTGGCTTCATTACAAACGTCCGGCTACGCCCGTCCTCTTTGTGTAAGTAGGTACCTAGCCTGCTATGGCCAAAAAAAGCGGCAGACCAAGTCCATGGATAACGTACTTTATAAGCGAGCCGAACATATAAGCGAGCCGAACACTCTCCACC